AATGGCAGCATGAGGATGCTCGCTCACTGTATTAGTATCATGTGTACAAGTATAACAGTCATGGCAGTTTCATGTGATCAGTTTCGGTAAGCCAGATAGAAATAGCGGGCAAGGAAAAAGGAATTGGAGGCGCGCACAACGATATAATGTGCAGTGAAGGGTATACTTCCGATCGTTGTACAGAGACGGAACCAATTGGTTGTCTGGAGGGAAGCACTAGGCCTAGAGCGATGATTGCTTTGGGTTTTTGTACTTACAAACAAGAATCGGTAGCCCATGGCATTACAGATCTCCAACATACTTCGGCCGCGCAAGTTCCAAAATTAACCAAAGCGGGTGCCGAGAATGGATTAAAATGACAATCAAGCTGAAAAAAAAAAAAAAAAAAAAAAAAAGCGGGGAGTCGTAGAGAATGTCTGATAACCGCAGGATATCGCCCCTATTCGTTGGGTTTCAATATTGATAGCCAATAATTGCTTGGAGCAATCACATACAGTGATTCCAAATATAACAGGCCGACAATATCCTTCAGTATGAGTGCAGACGACTCGAGACACGGAAATCTTGCTCAATGATCTACCGCACGTTCCGCGATTGCCAAGTGCTCGAATTGGCAATATTCATGTATGATATCCTGCAGTCAGCGACGTATTTGGTACGATCAACGCAGTACTTTCATGAGAGGGGCATTTGCTGGCTGCGGAGGTACTACAATTAGACTTAGCCTGGGGCCTTATCCGCCTGGGCAATCTGACTGGCCTGCGTATCCTCACCGGCATGCGTATTCGCTTCCGACTGCATTCGTGTCAATGGACCCCCTTTAGACTCAAACAAGTTCGTTTCTGGGATGGAGCAAAGACTATATAGATCCTATAAATCCTGAATATAATTCTTGTTCCAAAAACTACGAGAAAGTTTGCGACATTGAGCTGTGATGTCAACTGACCCACAACACCTCGAACTCTTTAGTCTACTGCTGAGCTTTCAAAATGGTCAACGAGTTTGACTACATTGTCATTGGGTAAGTCGATAGGCGAGGTCGAGTTTGTAATGGTTGCTGATCTTTATACTGTAGAGGTGGCACAAGCGGGTCCACCGTTTCCGCACGTCTGTCAGAGGATCCGACGGTCAAGATTCTGCTACTCGAGGCAGGCGCAGATAGTGCAGAAGTCGATAATGTGCACATGGCTGGTGCGTAAGTGAAATCATCTTTTTTTTTTTTTTTTTCTCTGAAGAAATAGTACCTATCTAACATGGCATAGGTGGGCTCTGAACCATGAAGGCGAGACAGATTGGGGGTTCATAACTCCACCGCAGCCAGGCCTCAATGGTCGCCAATGCCGTCTACCTCGGGGCAAATACCTGGGTGGCAGCAGCTGTGTCAATGCAACTGTTTGTGTACGTGGAGTCAAGCAAGACTACGATGACTGGGGGTTCCCAGAGTGGAGTGGCGATGAAATGTTTCGCGCCATGAAGAAGGTAATTATCGCAGCTCTTGAGATCAACCTGGTTCCCAACTGATCGCCTGATTCGCAGGCCGAAATGTTTCATTCTCAGGAATGGTTTCCCGAAGACAAGAACGCTCACGGATATGACGGGCTTGTCCATATTGAACCAGCGCCATGCGGGCCCCTTGGAGATCTTTTCTTGGACAGCTTCCAGTCCAAAGGCCTACCTTATATTCCAGACTTGTTCAGCACGGGCGAGACTGGCCACGGCTGCGGCCATGCCATGAGAACGACCTGGAAAGGCTCTCGGTCCACAGCTGCTGACTATGTCGCCAAGGACCGCCAGAGAGGCAATGTCGAAATACACTGTCATTCCACCGCTGACAAGATCATCTTTGAACGAGACTCTGATGAAGCTCCCCGAGCTCGAGGTGTTCAATACGTGGACAATCAAGGCAACAGACACGAAGCTTTTGCACGCAAGGAAGTTGTCTTGTCTTGCGGAAGTTATTGTTCCCCAGCTGTCTTGCTCCGCTCCGGCGTGGGCCCGAAAGCAGAACTGGACGCGCTCGGCATTACCTGTGAGATTGATCTGCCAGGCGTAGGCAAGAACCTTTCCGATCACCAGCTGATCTTCGTCTACTATGAAGTCAACGAGGACGGGCTCACTGAGGATGCCAAGATCCATCACGATCCCAACTCACTGGAAAAAGCCGTCAAGGAGTGGAAGGAGGATAAATCCGGGTGGCTTTCAGCATTTCCGTTTGGCACTGTTGCGTGGGCCCGCCTTGACGAGCGGCTATCGCGCGAGAATGCAGAGTGGCGAGGTTTTGACCGCAAGCCTGGCCGTGATCCCATGGGGCAAACGAAGAGTCAGCCCAATTTCGAGTATGCTCACACGATTGCCTACGGCGGGCCTCCCGAGTAAGTCGCGTCATTGCCATCTCTTTCGAAGAGTTCTCCGATTTCTCAAAAATACTGACACGAAGTACCAGGTGGACTGATTTTCCCAAGGAGGGCCAATTTGCCTTTGGAATGTGCTGCCTTCTCATGGGCATGCAATCTCGTGGAGAAGTAACACTCGAGAGCACCGATCCTCTCGAGAACCCCATTGTCGACCATAGGTACTTCTCTGATAGGCGCGATCTGTTGATGATGTCAGAGGGCGTCCGCTTTGCCAACGAGCTCATCACCACGGGCACGGGCACAAAGGACAAGATCAAGGGCTCCTGGCCGCCTGAAAAAACCCACCACACGTTCAAAACCAATGAAGATTGGCAACCATATGTGGAAAAGCACGCGTCAACGTCATATCATCCGGTGGGCACGTGTAAGCTGGGTCAGCGTGATGATCCGATGGCGGTTGTCGATCAAGGCCTGAGAGTCTATGGAGCCAAGGGTCTCCGTGTTGTTGATTGCAGTATCATGCCCGTGGCACACAGCGGTAATACCCAGATGCCAGCGTATGGGATAGGAGAAATTGCAGCCGAATTGATACTGCAGGACATGGGAAAACAGTGAATCATTACGAGCTCGAGTATTGTAGTCTGTACATCTTGAGAATGTTCCCCATAGTCGTTATGCTGACTGAAGGTGCAATGTGCACTTGTAGAACTTGATGCACCGAACAATATCATCCCCCTTGACCTTATGGGTAGTATCAAATTGTAATATTCAAAAATAACAAAAACAATGAAAGTTCAGAATCGCAAAAGCTCATCGATACCAGAAGTCACAGGATAAACCCAGTGCACTAAGGGGTTCGAAGTCGAAACCTCTATCCTATCTCGAGGTTTACGAATTTTGCACCTATACCATTCTACCAAGTGGCCACTGTCCGGGGTGGAATTACGCCATCACCGCAGGCGGTAGTCTGAGAGAGGATTTTGGGCTCTCATGGTTTAGGTACGGTTAAGAAACAAGGAGGTCATCAAGATTGGTAAGGCCTCCCGCCGTTTGCGTTACCTAGCCACCATTGCCATGGTCGGATTTGGAGGGTTGTCCCCCGTTCGAGAAATGATCAATCCTTCAGATGACAGTTTGGAATCTTCTTCGGTGGGGGAAAGAGACTTTGGTCTCTGCCCATTCGAAGTTAATGGTGCTGGTCGGTTGGGTCGCTCCAATACCCTGATTAATTTGATCGCGAAATTGCGCAACAGATCAACGTCTGGAACTGAAAGATCCCTCGCCCCAGACATCAATTAGCACCTTCAAGTAGCAGAGCTTTTCCTGCCAGTAGACCACATATTCAGAGCATTTGCCACAATGAAACAAACGTAAACACCTACCATTTATTTGCTGGGTCGACAGCACCGTATCCATCGCGAGTGGGCTTGTGACCATCACTTTCGATTAACGACCATAGTTCAGCAAGGATTGCAGGTACGTAGCTGTTTGAATAAACCTTGACAGACATGGCATAAACGTCAACAAACGCTTGTCAAGATCCATAGCTGAAAGGATAAAGGATTTCTGCTTTGCCCCGTGATCTGGCTTCCGGAAGCCTGCCGCCGCACGGTGATTCCGAGGCTAAGTGTGAGCCTGACGTCGACTGATATTGATCGTGACTGTCGAGGCCAGAAACATGTTTCCAAGTACAGGGTTTGGAAACTTGTAAAGCCTCTCTTGGATTATCGTTTCTATCCCGATAGAGAGCTCATATTCTGAATATCCTTGAGCCGTTGATTTATCGCGATTCCACTATCGACTTGATCGTTGGGCGGACTCGAGGAAGGTTCGTACCCAAGACCCTCTTGCCCAAGCTATGTCATGTTTCCCATGACATTACTTCTTGATTTCCAATCCGACGTGGAAAGTATAATGAAAATGCTCCCCGTAAAGCACGTTCCCATTGTTGAAGAAATACAAGACTAAGTCGTCGATGTGGTAGCGGTCTCGGTTCGGTGGCGTAGAAAATTGGATAATGTTTTCTCTCTCCAACATATTTTTGGTTTTGAATGAACCTTGACTCCGAGTTGAAAACCATCGATCCCGTCCATTATCTCATAGCAGCTGTGACTGCTTGTCCTTTCAAACTTGTGCATTGTGTTGCCGGCACACTCTTGCCTGGAAATGTCGTCTTGTCGGTATCGTACTCGATTCTCCCATGGGGTGTACTTATGAGTACCTAATCAAGGCTCGTATTTTTTTATATGAAGAATAATGTCTTGGAATGACTGCATTACATCTCGAAATATGAAGTCGAACATCGTTCCAATTAAGTATAACAATGGTCCGAGTTATCTACGAGCCGAGCTGGTTATCTCCGCTCCGAACCGCCTACGCGCCGTCTCTTAACTACGCGCGGGAGAGCCACTTGAACAAGCGCTTGGCGTGCGGGGAATGCCGGTCAAAGACTCCAGATCCCCAGAATGAATGAACTTTTGCTCCATCTCAACGAGAAACAGGAATCTCGGCCGGAAACGTTCTCATGCAGCCACGCACCCCAGTACCGGGTTCGTCATCTACCGCGACTCTAATGCGCTCTTAATGAACTCGAAACAGAAATACTGCAAGGGCATGCAATAAACAGACCAATTATAACTTCTGAATTTGCAATGCGTACGTATGCATACCCAGCGAAGCGATTAAAGTATTTTGACCTGACATATTGGGATGGACCCCATAATCATCACAAACCACCAATCACTCATCCTGGTGCCAGATTCCTGGGAGGTACTTTCTGAATGTTTAATGTTGAAGCTACTCGGTCCAGAGTAGTGTACAGATTCCAATATTCTTCAAGATTTGGTAAAGTTGTTACTGACCTGGGGAGTGTAGAAGCATGGCGAGAGATGAACAACTCGCCGTGTGTACCTCGGTTCGTCATCTCATATTGTAGCCCAGAACCCACATACATCATGAGACTTCCTTTCACATGCAGGAAGAGGTTCACGTATGACAACAATTGTTCTTTTGGAGGGATGCTTGTCACGGTGTGGGTCCACTTTTTGTCTTCTGTTTCCAGATATCGTCAAGCTACTGGCAAATCAGCCGTATGGGGAGAGATGCCTCACAATTGCTTTCTTAGATTTCTCGCCATGAATGGGCTTCTAGCTCAATAGAAGGCAAATGAATTGTATTGAAATGCTTGATTTCCCATGCAAAAGAAATTGAGACTAAGATCTCGACTGATAGCTTGCCTAAAGAATAACGACATACGAGGAGCTGTCCATGTGGCTCGTCTTTCAAGTCAGTATCGTGAAATCACCCGCCGGCACATTTTAAGCATTCGAGGACAGTGTTTAGCGAGAGCGGATTACGACACCATGGTATCGTTACATGGACAAGTGATGACTTTGACAGCCCCAAGACATGGGTATAGACGAAAACTATGTGCCCCATCGGTAATCAAGGACCCGCGGTTCGTCCAAAGCTGAGATCACAACCTTGCAGTATGCACACAACTCCGTCAGAACCTGCCATCACGACTCCCACTTCAATTCCCTTCGCAAATGTCTTTACTCATGATCCACCAAATTAGCCTCCACTTCCGCATTCGCCTGCCCATTCAAGCCACCTCCCGCACTTCAGATTTCCAAAGCCCGTTCATATCTGGATCACGGGCCGGTCACTTGAGCTCTTGCTTCTCGAATCCTCGTCTCAATCACATAACTCAGCGGCTGTGTAGGCATCGCCATCCAAGCGAGCGAACCCCCGGGCCAAACTGCACGGTCCCGAACCTGATGATTGCGTCGTCTTGAAAGAACCTAGCCACATTGAGTTTCCATTGGTACGCTCCTCACGTAATATCTTGCTCGGATCTGCAGGGAGACTTTATGTGCGCACTGGTTACCAATTCGGTGGCAGCTTGTCGAACCTTTGAGCTTGAGATGGCGAGCTTCGTGAACCATGTACTGCATAGATCAAACTGCCTAGTCCTCTTTTCCTTCTCTGTCTTTTCTTGGTGTCTTCATAAAAGTTCTTCATGGACCTGAGCCCTCTCACCTGAGTTCCCGCATTGAAAGGAAAAAGACCAGGACAAAAGTGAGAAATGCAGACCGTGACTGTCAGTTGCCATCGCGTATGATGCCAAGGGCGGGCCCAATCACGGCAAGGGATGCACGATGCACCATCCTGGTCTCTTGTTGGACTTATATAGTCCTCATATGGAAGATCGATGTTAATGTAACAGTGTGGATGTATCCGCATCAAGGCCTTTACACCAATTGTACCCAAGGTATTACGCATGTTGCAACCAACTACTCTTCGTCTAAATAGACTTCAAGGGCTCGAGAGTATACCAGTATGAACCGAGACAACCGACACGTAATATAGCGACTGAAATTCTAAGGAAAACCTTTCCTTGATGACGAGTCACGCAGATGGGGACCGGAGGTCACCTCAGTTTAAGCTTGTATTCAATAACCTTCCGAGATTCCTAAATTGGCGACGTCAACATGATTGTCGACACATATATGAAGGTGATGGTGGCCGCGATGTTGAACGGACACTTGAAAGAATAATTCGTTAACAAATACATCCCTTTCTGCTCTACAATACTCCCAATCCCTCAAAATGCGCTTCCAGGTTCTGCTGCTCGCTCTTGCTTCAGGTGTGGCTTTGGCTCACACCGGCCATGACCTCGAGGAGGAGCTCGCCAAGCGACAGGAATTTCTTCTCACCACTCGTGGAAACATTGCTCACTGTGCCTCAAAGGTCAAGGCCCGTGGTATCGAGGACCGCGCCATCGCTCGCCGTGCGGCGACTGTGCAGGCGCTTCAGCAGAAGCGCGGCATTGTCTCCCGCCGCGATCTCGGCACCGTGCTGGCCACTGACCACAATGCCACGGACACGGGGTATGATCTCACTACTCCCACTACTACTTTGTTCGCATCGAACTCGTCTTGCGTCCTGACTCCCGAGGGCGAGAGCGGACCGTACTGTGCGTTGAACAATCCACGAGTCCCCGCATACTATTGACTAATGATTTTCCCTAAGATGTTGCTGGCGAATACGTCCGCTCGGATCTGACCGAGGATGAGCCCGGTATTCCTGTGCACTACGACTTCCAGTTCTTGGACTACACTACCTGTGAGCCCATCGAGGGTGCCTACTACGAAATCTTCAACGCCAACAGCACGGGCGTCTACTCTGGCACCAGCAACGGCGGCAATGGCCAGTCTCAGATCGGCTTGACCTGGCTGAGAGGTGTCCAGCCCACTGACGCAGATGGTGTTGCTCAGTTCGATACCATATTCCCTGTAAGTAATCGAAAAGAATTTATCCAAAAGTGCTGAAGCTGATTTCTGTCTTTCCCCCAAAAGGGCCACTACGCCGGCCGTGCCACTCACGTCCACACCATCCTCCACCTGGACGCCGAACCGCGCGAGAACGGTACCTTTTACGACCTCACCGCCCAGCACGTCGGCCAAGTCTTCTGGGACCAGTCTGTCCGCGACCTGGTGGAGCAAATCTCCCCTTACAGCAGCAACACCAACCCCGTCACCTCCAACGCCGAGGACCGCGTCTTTGCCGTCGAGGTCGGCAACGACAATGACCCCGTCTTCAACTATGTCCAGCTTGGCGACAGCATCGAGGATGGCTTCTTGGCCTGGTTGACGATTGGTATTGATCTGTCGCGTACTCCCACCACGATCCACCCTGCTGCCATCCTTCGTGCTTAAGGCGGAAGTGGATATGGTAGTAAGCTAGAGGAGCTTCCGAATCTTATTGGGGAATACTATGAATGAGTATGAAAAAGGCGAGAAACGGGGCTTTATGGTAGCTACAATTTGTTCTTGATTGGGCACTAAAGCCATATTTTTACCTTCTGTACGCTGTTCAGCGACCGACTACTTTAAAGTACTTTGACTGTGTATACTGTATATTCTCCTACACCAAGAGGAGAGCACACCACACACAAAATCACAATCGAGTCTGATCTGGGCGATCAGTTGAAGGGATGTCTCGTTCACATTGACTACTGTCGGCCACGTCGTTGCACTGTCGCACAAGAGTCTTCATTCAAATCTGTTATCGTGCCAATCCCTAGTCGCAGTATTCTTAGTGATCGCATTTTCCATAATTGTAAACACCTACACAAGACTTTAGTCGGCAACAAGCTTACATTTCTGCTCACCCTTTGGATAATAGAAAGCTACATGTAAGTCTTGGAAATCACCGTCTGACTTCGTTTTAGCCCCTGTTTTTCGAATTTGTTTACTTGCGCCAGTGGTATCAGACGAATCAGCATTGGTTGAGGAATACCAACGGAAGAAAGGTCTGTCTTTCGCTGGACAGAAAACGTTGTCGGATCGGTACCCACGCCATAACTATGAAAGACTACTTCAAAAAGTGTCCAAAAAAATCATCATCGATATTAGTCATTTTGGAACGAAGAATAGAGGGGGCCTTTTCATTATATACATTGTTCTGCCACTAGCTTTCCAATGACGGACCACTCAAATTTAATGGGGACAGTCTCGAGCTCTAACACGCGTGTGCTCCTCGGTCCCCGTGGCCGGCCGCCTCTAGTCATGTTGAAATTGCAGTGAAATCCAGATTAGGCAAAGGATTTGGCGGGGTAAATGAACTTAGTGGTGTCGAGATGGATGCTATATAAGTCCTCCCCACGGGAAGAGTGATTTATCTATGAAAAGTCAGCTTTAAGCTAGGAGGGACCACGACCTGGCCACTGGCCAAGCATAGCCGCTCTGGGCTTCAATACGCAGAAAATGGTCAAGGCAATTGGTCCATTGTGCTTGATGCTAAAATTGCAGTGCAGTTTACTTTCGGGTCCTTCAAATAGCGTTGAAATCGCTATGTGCGATATGTATATTTGGAAAGCTGCAGGAGATGTGCGATGGAAATGAAGTACTTACATACCTGGGTACCTAACTAGGTATAGATGTATGTTAATGACGTGATGATAAGCCATCAATGATGCGAATAATACAAAGAGAATCCTGTGGCCGTTAGATCCTATAAGTCGCAATTGCATTGTCATAGTTGCGGTTCGACTTTACCCCCCAAATTCATGGTGATCCTACTAGATCGGAGCGTTTGGCAAAGACATCTGAACACTTAGACTATTTCGTAGCGAACGAGTGTTGAGCATGGGGAGAATGCAGGAAGACTGTTGATTGAGCGGGGGGAACGAAAAAAGAAAAAAGTCAGGCTGATTGCCGTGAATTCGCTTATGCAAGGATTGGATCTCTCCCGGAAAATAGGTCGCGACCCAGCACATCTTGAAAGAAGGCATCTTTCATTTTACGCCAAGAAGGCTTAATCGGTGGAGTTTAGCAGAGCCGAGGACATAGTGTGGGTGTAACCAGGTCCTACTGAACCATCGGAGGAGACTCGAATCTCTATTGCGACACTCACTCCCCACGACTCCGGTGCCTGCAACACGGACCAATGCTTGGCGAACTGCCAACAAGACTTCTTCTGATGAACCATCTCATTCGCTTCCCGTCCAGGACCGTCCTCGAGGACTTGGTCAATTGGATCATGGTACTCGTCCAAAATGATGTTATCGGACCAAAAGAACTGTGATGACCGTCCATGAGCGTTTTTACAGATCCGCTTAGCGCACAGCCAGCCCCCGAGCAAGCACAGCCCCCATTTTCAAGTTTGCGGCACAGGGTGGATGCAGGCCGATGGTTCAGAGTGCCAGACTATTGCGGCGCAGCCCCCTCCGTCTGCACTATGATGCTGACAATGATGGGCATTGGCTTGTTACTTACGAGAGAACTGTTTGTGATGAAGCTATTCACCTCAGAAAAGGCGCAATATTCATGCAATCACCGTCCGCGCAGAGGAATATACGTGTCAAGTAGCGAGGAGCACGGTAGGTATGCACAATGTTTATATTATAGGTAGAGCCTATAGTAGTACCAAGGGCCAACAGCCGAAAACTAATGAGGTGGGTTGTAAAGTCCATAGATTTAGTGGGTAAGTGTACTCCATAGCCCTGGAATATACTGGTGATGCGAATCGGTGGTCCTCGGTTTGCGCCGATATCGTTGGAATAACTTTATGATTCAGAGCAAATGGCAAACACAATCCAAGAAGCCATTGTACTCACCTTACTGCCTTGTTGATCAGGCCTCCTATTCACCATCGGTAGAAACTATGTACACAGGTAGCTCTGTAGGTCAGCAAAACGGCCGCCGCACTAAGGTAAATAATATCTGCCAGCTATCGTGCTTGCGGCCATGTGTGGCTAGTCTGGGCCGTCGCAAAAGCGACCCGATGGATCTGAATCCTTGGAAAGACCATGAAAAAGCTCCCTCCATTGTCACTGTCCGCCCACCTGCATTTGCAGTGCCACTCACCAACTACTAACGACCTTGACCTACCCCCTCCATAGGCAAGCTACTTACTACCTTCAGTGAGCAAGCAGCAGCAACCCGCGATTCTTTAATAAGCTTAGCCCAGCCTTGTCCGCTCGTTGGATCTCAGCTTTTTCTCTTGGAAACTCGGACACTCTCGCTCTCTTCGCTGGGAGACATTTATCATTGTTTCTGCTGCAGTGTCTTTTGACTGTCGATTGTCTGTCCCCTTTCTTCTTTTTGTGCACTTTGACTTTCCGGTGTCGCAGTGCGCTCTCGCAAACTCTCCAGTATGATGAACCACGACCAGCCGTCGCCGGCCACTAGCAATGCGACGAACCGCACAAACCGCGGCGGGCGTCCTAGGGAATGGACCCCGCCGCGCGCCCGCCGACTCACGCGACTATACTGCTACACCTCGCTCAAGGTCGACGAGATCCTCAAGGTCCTCGGAGATGAGGTCTGGTCGCCTGGGTATGTCTCTTTTACAGTCCCTGCTGAGAAATGTTCTGACAGTCAGTCATTTGCAGAAAGGAAGCTGCTAATAAGCACCTGAACCACCTGCTCGGCAAAGACCCGCGATGGATGCGACCGAGAGACCTGGGCGAGGCGAGGCAGCGCATTGCTGGGCTCAAGAACAGTGACCGCGCGAGATCATCGTCGCAGTCGAGCTCAAACACACAAAATCCCCTCTCACCAATGTCTGGAATATATGACCCCTCTGTCCACCCATACCAGAGGACCGACACCATGGACAGCAAATCCTTTGGCCGATCGTCCGGCTCGTCGCTAGAAAAGACTGACACCTTCATGTTTGGACAGCCTGGCCTGCAGCAAAGGACAGCCACAACAACGTTCAGCATTCCACCTTCGGCACGCCAAAATACCGGGACGCGAAATCTTCAGACCATGCAGAATCCATCCTACGCATCCTTTTTTCGCTCAATCCCAGGATTAGGTCGGCAGGGCACCTCCATGACCACCTCAACCAATTTCAGTATAGGAAGCACCAAGGCAGCTTGGAATAACATGAAAGAAAAGCTCAACGGCATCGAGGGTCTCCAAAAGTCGGATGTGAAAGACGTCTTCCGGTTACTTAAGCGCTACACCATTTCCAATGAAGACGGTACTGATCATTCGCGGTCTTCTCCACGCTCCGCCATGGGGGCCTTTAACCCTCCGACAATGGCCAACTTTCGGGGCCAGACTGAAGGTGTGACTTCTGTCGCAGACTACAGCTTGCCTGGTGATTTTGCTGGAACTAGTGAATCCATTTATGACAGTACAACTTGCATGGATCAGTTCGGTAACACCACTTACCACCTTGTCGCGGCACGAGAGAATATGATGACCCATCTCTTTCACTTGCTGTCACAAGAAAACAGCCCACCTAGCCCGCTTCTCAATGCGACAAACTCTGGAGGTCAGACTTTCCTCCACGTCTTGCATCCAAACTGGTTCGAGGAGGACTCACGACTAGTGATCTTAATCGAAACACTGAGATCGCTGCAATTCGATTTTTCCACCACAGATGTCTACGGTCGAACCTTCTTTCACATTCTCCGTTCGAACCTCAAGTCCAACTCGGGACTCATGAGAGAGATCACTAGTCTCTTTGGGAACAACATGAACTTGCTCAACCGACGTGACGCATTTGGAGTGAAGCCAATGATCTTGCGTGCCTCAACAATACCCGTCAACAGGGCAGAGGCGCGACCGAGCCACTTGACTATTCCGGGCACTACCGATAGCACTCAGCAAAAGATCAAGGAGCACACGAAATTTCTGAAGATTATCACCGATGTGAACGCGACAGATGATGGCTACACTAGAGAAGATCCGCAAGGGCGAAATGCTCTGCACTGTCTCGCCGAGGTCATTCTGGACATTGCGTCAATTGACGGGCAAGGAAACAACACAAAACCCCGCAAGAGAAAAATGGACGATCAAAACGAGCCCGTCCTCCAAACTTGCCCACTCAGTCATCGGATACAGTACCTCGACACCGTGCTGCAAGCCCATGTCGACGTCAATCACTACAATGCAAGTGGAGATACGGTGCTCATGTCATTTGTTTCCCATATTACCGACGGTCAGGACGACAAGGCCCTCGAGGAATTGATTGAGCGACTACTCAATGCCGGTGCCAACATAGAAGCTCGCAACCGCAACGGCGAGACGGTTCTTCAGGTCGCAGCAAGGCTCGGCCAGAAATTCGCCGTCAAGGTACTTTTAAAGCAAGGAGCCAACGTTCACGTCAGGAATAGCGACGGCAGAAGTGTGCTCCAAACCATTGATGACTACACCAGATTCTCGGGAGACGACGACGAAGCCCTCGCACGACTTGAAGCAACCAGAGGCGTGCTGAGTGGCCGATTCAGCAACTACAAGGCCGTACAAGAACCCAGTCTACTGGATCAATGGAGCTTCCGGCCACCACAGTTGCCAAATAGATTTGGGTGAACTACTGGCAGCCGTTTATGAATTTTGTACTTCTCTTCAACTTTTCACCATCCTACTTCTTCTTGTATATAGTCGGCCTCGCAGGCTTTTGGACTTTGAATTATTTTCTTCTCTTCTTCTTTTCACGATTTCGGATACCCATTATATACAAGAGGCGTTGGGCGGCATTACAAAAACGGGCGGGTTGAGACATGATGACTTATGTAGGTCAACGGCGTTTCAGGCTTTTCTGGTTAGGCGGGTTACTTGGCTACCTAGACACATGAATTTCATGATTATATGAATATGATATCCATTCCTCAAATTTATCAACATTATCAGTTTCGTCACAAATGGAATCTGTGCGTCGGGTTTCATGGTGTCGAAGGTGCGATGCCAAAGATCAAATCACATTCCAAGTAGATCCAACGAAAATCAATTGATCCCGCCAAGCTCTTCGTACATCTTGAGCATTATACATCCAAAATATTTACATAGTCAGGACAAGAATTTGAAAACGAATGAGCTTTAGTGAAGCTTGGTATGATTTTTAAGGTAGGTAGTCGTGGACTCTAGGGTTATTGGGTCAATGGGGTTGTGTAGGGGGTTCTTGGTACCTGCCTGACATTAACTAAGTGTATTGCTGGGAAGAGCAACACTGGGGGGCAGCCGGACCCAAAGTGCTCAGTTCCCTTCTGGTATCATCACTTCACAAGTACATCGAGTCGTCGGCTTCTTGATTCACTCCTTTTTTTTCTTGGGCATATTGATGCAGCAGCAAAGTACAATAATGAGGCGGGCTGGATCCGACCACTCCTCATTCGCTGTCTCCCTTATGAGGTGCTCTCTCTCCCACCTACCAAATACAGAGCTACCCACTAGTGGAGGCTGAGTCGCCGTCAAGCCACCGAACGAATTTCCCGCTGCTCCTGCTCATTGACACGAACCGACTGTAAGCTTTTGTTTCTGTTGTTCTTATTCGGATATTGATGTTAGAATGAATTAGATATTCCGCGCCTGACCAACCCCTCGTTGCTACCCCTCAGGTCCAGACCACGAGTCAACCTCCGCGGGCTTCGCTTATGGGCATCACCAAAAAGAGACAGACGACTACGGCCGTATATCTGTTTACACTGCCCCCAGCACCTCCATTATACACTTTCATGACTAGGTGCAGTTGCTATCCCCGGTCAAAATCCATGACACGGTCTAGGCCCTCCTATGCTAGAACATAGCTGAGTCTTTACCTAATGTTGCTGTCTGTCGCATCACTGCTGGGTGCATTTGCCTACACGACGTCATTTTTTTTCGGTGTGCTATTTACATCGATAGCTACCTTTGTACTTGCCCAAGTACGAAGAGATGCGCGTGTACTGTATGCCCGTCATCTAAAACAGCTGCCGAAGCATGCTTAGACGAAATGCTTAGAGGAATAACAGTGGCGAGGTTTCATGGTTCATCTCGGAGCAAGCTACCCAAGTGTAGAAATCGTCCTGTCACGGGGTGATTTCTTCAACGTCGGAAAGCAGATCTACACCTGAATATGGTAAAAAGAAAGCATAACAAAGGGGGCGTTTCAATTGGTGTTATTGCGACGAATATGAGCCTCCAGCGCATCTACCTAGTTTACGTTTGTTTGCAAGGCTGCCGAATGCTGCTTTCTCAACCCGTCTCACCGCGAATAACGGGGCAAGCCGGCTCAGATTCCGGGAAAACCTCTTTTGATGCCTGATTTAACGTGGGGGGATCAACATAAGCGGAAGGCAATCAGTTTCTCGTGACCCCGAAAGACCCCTGGAATCGTCGCCAAGTGACGATTTCCTGTCATGAACTTTTGGAAATGCAATCAGCTCTTGGGAACTTTTGCGAAAAGAGAGCGATGCCTGATAACAACCGTTGCACTTTTCAGGTGGACCACAGTACCCTATATGCAGCTCCGCAGATAACCCTCTTTAGTGGCTCGGAGTTATGCCAACCAGGAGACACCTGACATGGCTTGGCCCTTTGCCTAGTCTCAGGTGAGAAAGGGACAGCATCAGGTCAGTCAAGCGTGCCGGCATCTAGAACATCTATTGACATCATCCAGCAAATGCTTATAGTATGAAGAGGTATACCTGGCAAACGGTCTGCGCATTCCATTCTACCGGTCCACCGTCATGGCGAATCAGCTCGGGATTAGATGTTGTTTCCTGGCTGTCAGACTGTAGGAACGGACATAGTGGACTTTGGTGGATCCCCCCGATCAGGACTATTTCACCCAATCAGGCCTTTCAACAAGCCGTGCCGTCGTGACCAGACTGCCGCCGACAAATACGCCAGTCCCGCCAGTCGCAGCTTGACTTTGGTTGATAGGTAATGTAGTAGTTCTGTTTATAAAGAAGGCTTGACCTTGCGCAGATGCCCGATCTGCAATGCATCTCTTCCGACAACAATCGGCCAAATACTGTTGTTATCGAAAACGCCTCTTGTCCACAATTGCTTATAGTGCTGGATCACTGAGCTGCCTCGCACTTACAAGGGAGATACTGGTACTGACTGGCGGGACGCGCTAAGCCCACTATGACCCAGAAAGAAACGAACACAATGTCAGCGGTTATTATTAAGGGTCCTCATGCAGCGACCCGTACCCCGAGATCGACTGGCGCAGTCTGTTACCTTAAGTATTGACACACTTTCATCTTGTGCGAGCAGAGAGCCGAGAGGCCGCGGAACCATCACACGTTTTGGTCTAATGAGGATAAATGCGCAACTTTGCACGTGGTTGTAAGACACTAATTTATGATATTCTCTCCTTGCCTCTAGTCAAAATACCGAAGACGCCGTCGCCACCCCCCGTCCCCGAATCAACGCTCCCGAAGACCTCCAGTACAATCTTTTGCGCTTCACGTGCCAATCGAACCATGCGAGCGATAGTCCCCTACGCGGACCTCTTGGCTTTCGGATACTGGCCACAGAACAATCGTCACGCAAACGTATGGAGGCAATACTAGAGGATTTGGCTCCACGATTACCATCCCAAAAAACCAGTTGAAGTATAGCGAGGTTCCTCGATTTACGTCCATCACTCGTGCCAAGCTCATTGGCAAATGTTAATGGTCAGTGCCCGTGCCACAAATTACCAGGAGCAAAGCGATAGCTAGATGCTAACACGCTGAACAGCTAATAACCGCTTCCGTAAGAGCTGGGTGCAAATCTTTTTATATGATCTTATACTAGGGCAAACCGTTGAGTTAGATGAGAATTTAAGGTTACAAAGGTTACAAGTTGGGGTACACATTATAGTGTGCATCATGTCTCTGTTACTAAACACGATATATAGTTTTAATAATATATTTATTGATTGTGTTCAAATTGCATCAAGTGCATATTGTGATAAATCACGGCTACTGCTACTTCTTTGGTATGAGGACATTGTTCGCTATTCTCGGGCAATACTCGTCCGTACTGATCCACAATTTTATCATGTGCTTGCCTCAACCGCTTAACAGCATCCGTGTGGTTTACCGACACGCCGATAGAATATTAGCATGACGTATTGACCCAATATTCTGGAACTGCCCCAGAATTCCTCTTATCCCATGCGTCACTCTCTTTATCTCCCCATTGGGATTTTGTGGGCCAAATACAAGACATGGCAATGCATTCGTCTAGTGAATAGTATGAAGCCACCAAAAGTTCTATGGTTTTGAGCTAATGGCAAGATTATAATGCTGCCAATCCCCAAATTACGTGACGCAATTGGCTAAACTAGGCCCTGCTAGCATTGATAGTCAAAGTTCGAAACATATTGGATACGTATATATGTAGTAATGCTCTATTCAACGTACGTTTCTGGCCGTTTCTCACTCCTCGCGTGAGCACTGTCGATCATGTACCTATGGATGCAGAGATCAGGTATCAATTCCCGCGCATGCACAGCAATCCTGATAAATTGGCGTACCAGACCAGGCCTTGTCCTGGCGTGAAAAACGGCCAAGCCTGCGTGATGGCATAGTGGACACGGCTTTTTAGATGCATGATCCGCGAATAGCGGGGGAATAACAATGAGCATTCGGTTGCGGGGAGGAACAACTGCAAGGGCACCCCCGGGCGATTGACGACGATTCCATCTACAAGTGCATATAAACATTGCACCTCTCTTACATTGCAAGGCGTTTGGGAATTCGAGAGGCTCGACAAGGCGATTGAGACGTCTAAGCTAAGTCAGGCGTCATCATTTTGGTCTATTGTGGATGTACTACACATGCCCTGGCACCTCGATTCAACATGGGGTCCATCAATCAAAGCAACGGCAAATCCAGGTGGTTCGGATTTCGAGGTGGATGGCTTACGTTTTGGATTACGGTGGGTTGTTCTATTTACCTGGTATCTTTTGGGGTGCGCTGACTGACATATCCCCTAGGTTGCATGCGCCACTGATAGTGAGTAGCATTCAGAGACCAGAACTTGGACACTAGCTGACTGATCATCTTCGTTCATAGTGGCATTGTTCGGCTACGATCAAGGTGTATTCTCCGGCGTCGTCATTACGCAAGACTACTTGGACGTGCACGATTTGAACGGGAGTGAGAAAACCAACTTGTTGTCCATTGTCACATCCATATACGCTGTGGGATGCTTTCTTGGAGGTGACAATTTACCATGCCATGGCCATTGATGGACCAAGCCAGCTGACTAGATACGTGACAGCCGTGGTTGCCTTTACCATTGGCGAGAGGTTCGGCAGGAAGAAGACCATCATGATCGGATCTTGTATCATGGCGGTTGGCGCTGCGCTCCAAACCTCGTCCTTTAGTGTACCTCACATGATGGTGGGGAGGATCATATCCGGGTAAAACCATCTTCATTCACCAACATATGCCTTTTTGTCTGCATTTATGACGCTGACTTCACATAGTATCGGCAACGGGATCAACACGGCGACAGCCCCGGTATGGCAGACAGAGACTTCGCAGACAAAGTGGCGCGGCAAACTGGTTGTGCTCGAAATGACCATGAATATTGTCGGCTTCTCCATGGTCAACTGGATCAACTTTGGTCTCTCTTTTGCCGGCGGCGCGATTGCGTGGCGGCTGCCCCTCGCCCTGCAATTCTTGTTTCTCATTGTCCTCTTTGGCACCGTACCCTGGCTGCCCGAGTCGCCTCGGTGGTTGATTGCTCACGGTCGCGAAGACGAGGCAATGGTCATCTTGGCCGACTTGGAGAACAAGACTCCTGCTGATGCGGTTATTATTGCCGCCAGGAATGAAATCGCTTACAGTGTTCGCTATGAGCGGGAAAATGCCATTCGATGGAGAGATCTTGCTCGAGGTCACGCAGACGGCGGCACCAAGACTGTTCGTCGACTACTGCTGGGCATTGGCTCACAGGTGAGTTTAATCCATCATCAGGACAATCCGGAGGGTGTGGCGGGACACACACATAGCTGACAGGCCCCAAACCATAGGCCATGCAACAATTCGGCGGCATCAATATCATGTCGTATTACTTGCCAACCCTTCTCATGGAGTCGGTGCATCTCAGCGATACCATGGCCCGTCTGATCGCTGCCGTCAGCTCCGTCGTGTACTTTTTTGCCGCTCTGGCCGCCGCGCCTTTGGTGGAACGATATGGTAGAAGAATCATGATGATCATCTCGACCGCCATTCAGTTCTTTTGTTTCCTGCTCATGACCATCTTGCTGTACTACGCCCAGAAGGAGAACTTTCCTAGCCAGGAAAAAGTAGCGCAGGCATCCGTCGTCTTTTTCTTCCTCTACTACATTGGCTTTGGGCTGGGTATGCTGGGAATCCCTTGGCTTTACCCGACCGAGATCAACTCGCTGCCCATGCGGACCAAGGGGGCTGCCGCAGCCACCATGTCGGATTGGATCACCAATTTCATCGTCGTTGAGGTCACACCAATTGGTATACAGAACCTGGGCTGGAAGTTTTACATCGTCTGGACCGTCACCAATGCGGCATTTTTGCCAGTCCTGTACTTTTTCTACCCAGAGACTGGTGAGTGCAATTCAAGATCAATCTGGAAACCCGAGACTGTACTACGCATCTTGTACTGACAGACTGCCCGCAGCCGATCGTACGCTTGAAGACCTTGATGCCTATTACCGCGAAAATCCGTCGCTCATTGTCACCCGCGACCGCAATGCAACCTCTCGCAAGCGGCCGGGGAAGTATGCAGAGATGCAGCGAAGAGACATTGTAGAGGCAGAGACGGGCAGGGAAAAGGCGATTGTCGAACACGCAGCTTGATTGGTAAATCCAGCGCGAAAACGCTAGAGTGCATGCTCGGTAAAGACAGGATGATACATATTTTGAGGTAGTCTACTTCTGAAATTGAAAGGTTGGGTTCAAGGGTAAACAATCATACTCTCAACATAAAAGCTGTTTCCAAGAACACAAAACTCCATTCACAAGCCCGGTTTGGTGGAGGTCGGACTCCCAAATGAAACGGCATCTACCGAAAGGTGGTGGAGCTCGATGACTGTCTCAAAACATGGGAATTTGTGCTGAAAACCATCTGATATTCGGTTCTCGCTTCGGAAAGCGTCCTCCTGTGGACACCGGATGGCCTTTTATCATATGAGTTTTGGTAGCAGAGGTGTGTTTCCAGCTTCTGAATAGGTAGTAATCACAAACTCCTGAGCTGGTTGATTGAGTAATCATCTGAGATATCTATTCAGTCTGAAAGCGTAAACCCATCAGACCTTGAGACGACAACATCTTCACGGCTCTCATAGGTACTCATCGAAAGCTCACGCAGCTAGGCCGTGGCTGCACCCGAACTCGGCCGAGTCTGCCTCACATAAGTTGCGACAATTATTGTCGCTCTTACAGCAGTATATTGAATTCATGGAAAAGTTTGGTCGTGGCAGGAATTATATCCAGGCCGGACCCCCAAAACCAAGCTTTTTAGCCATGTTTGTAGGTTGGCCCGATACGATACGTACGCGTAATGGGCTGTTCGTTTAGTGGAGCAGGCTTTCAACCAAAAAGATGCTTCTTTCGGCCCGTTTGAGTCGATCGACGGACTGTCGTGAATACAATTCGGTCTAGCAACAAATTTTAGCCACTTTGGGATTAAAACGTTCTGTTTCAACTTTTGTCTCTTGAGATTTATTTCCGGATAGAATCCTGGAACCCGTTTTGCTTGAAATTGGCTGATATTATATTCAATGCAACTTTGGCAATGATTAAGAAATGGTCAGTCGGAATGAACAATTTCATATACCGCCGAGTCTTTGACTTCGTTTCTCCTTTATGATCACCCGCCCGAGTTGTCCGCAGCTATCGGAGAGCGCCATACTTGGTGGGCCGGCGGCGCTGAGTAACACTCTTAATAAGCATTATACTGCACCCCATACAGGGAACGCACGTGGCAGGCAAGGCAGCGACATGCCATCATCAGAGTGTCTTGAAAAAAAGGAAGAGAAACAAAATGGCAGACAAGCATGTTGTGGCTCTGGTCGTGGCCTTGACGCTTTCCACCCGGATGGTATCACGATCGACTCGTTACGCGTCCTGCCCCGTTCAACGGTCCCCGCCATATCCATTTCCTTCCCGTTTGTGGACTAGGCTTGTACAGAGCCGTATAGAGTTTAAAGGGCTGATCGACGTCAATCTTCAAAATCCAACTACCGAAGTCCTTGAATTAGCCTACTTTTTGCACCGGATTTTTACTTGAGTCCCCTGGTCGTCTCCTTGGACCCCTCCCTAGCCATGGCATATCGTAGCATCAGTCGGCCCAGAGCTCTGGTTGCAGGCTCACAAACGGGGCCAGCCGACAGGGCGAGACGCGTAATGGGTTTGACTCGGGGACCTGAGCAGGCAATCGATAGCTTCAGGGCACTCCATTCAGCCTGCGATGACGGGAGCGAATTCTCTCAAGGGACCCATTCCATCATCAACAGTTTGTGTTGCGGCGAGCAACTGGCGGCGACTGCCGCCGTTGGTCGGCTTGTCTATCGTGAATATGATGGCCTTAAATGACGTTTTCCCTCCTTGATCCAGTAAATCCCTTATCGTGAGATCTCTATTCATTCTTTTCGATACCAAAATTCAATCTTTAGGCGCAGCTTTGTAGCCATGAGGTTGCCGTCGACCATCTCCGTCCTATGGGCTTTGCATCAAGGCTGGCTTGTATCAGCCGATGCATCCGCCAACTACACTGACTATTTGCTCAGCTCTGGAACTGGTAGGTTGAGATTCTCGACATCTGTCTCGTATCCAATACTCATCATATCGTCAAGTCAAACTCGGCGAGTGGCAGGATGCCTACGACAAGGCAGCTGCCTTTGTGCAGTCGCTCAACACGTCGGAGAAGGTCTCCTTCATCGGTGCCGGCGATGCCGGCAATATGAGCGCTTTGAAAATGCTGGATTCTTCGACCAATCCCTTAACCTACTTTTTCGTCACAACCTGGCCTGCTGGTCTCGCCATGAGCATGACCTGGGATAAGGAGGCTATCCGCGGTCAGGGGTCGGCTCTTGGTACTGAGTACCGTGGCAAAGGTATCAATCTGGCTTATGCGCCAACACTGCAGCCGCTGGGACGCTCGGCATGGGGAGGTAGAACGGGAGAGACCTACGGACCCGATTCCTATCTTGCTGGGTATGTACCATGAATGCCACATTGACCATCAAAGATATGTGTATGCTAACTTGAGCTTCTCCAGAGCCATGGCAGGACAGTTTGTCAAGGTAGGAAATGTTCAACAGCGATGTTGTGGGCAAACATGACTGACATCAATTCATCCAGGGAATGGCCGATTCTGGTGTCGTAACAAGCGCCAAGCACTTTATCCTCAACGAGTTTGAGACGAACCGAATGGGCACGACGAGCAGCAGTGGCGGCATGGGAGGTGGCATGGGCGGAGGTTCGAACAGCAGTGCTCCTCCTTCGAAGCGTGCCGAAGATTCCTCCTCATCGGATGAGTCCTACAGTGTCCAGATTGATGACAAGGCATTCCACGAGACATATCTTGCACCATTCTACGATGTCGTCAAGAGCGGTGTCGGCGGTGTCATGTGCGCCATGAACCGTATCAATGGTACCTACTCGGTCAGTCAAAACACGACGCCAAAATGGATTTTGACTTTTATACCAATACTGACATTGTGGATAGTGTGAGAGCCAGCAAGCCCTCGGTACTTACTTGAAGGTTGAGGCTGGTTTCCCCGGTCTTGTCCACGCCGACGTGGGTGGTCAAAAGACGGCGCTTGGTTCGGCCAATGGAGGAATGGACCTTGGTTCTTCGAGCACCTGGAGCGAATCGACCATTACCGCTGCTCTAAGCAACGGCAGCTTGACGGAGGCCCGACTCGACGACATGGTCATCCGCAATGTCATGGGTTACTACCACCTCGGCCAAGATGAAGGATATCCCAGCTATGCTGAGCCCACTGCTCATGTCGACAACCGCGGAAACCACAGCGCATACGCCCGCTCTTACGCGGCCGACTCTTTGGTACTCCTCAAGAACACCAACAATGCCTTGCCTCTCAAGGACAAGAAGTCTATCAGCATCTTTGGTTACCATGCCGCTCCCAGATACGTTGGCGCTAACACGGCGCTGTCCGTTTATGATGGCGAGCCACCAACAATGCAGGGCCGTGAGTACATCCCAGCTCCTAGCCAGTCATGACGATATCTAACCAAAAGCAACGTTAGACATGTCTGTTGTAGGTGGAAGTGCCATGGGCTCTCTCGCATACCTCTCCACGCCTTTCCAGCTGTTCAATCAGAGGGCTGCCAGCGACGGCTTCATGCTTCGATGGTGGTTGACCGATGAGAGCACCAACAGCTCCAGCGGCATGAGCGGTTCTGGTACTGAACTGACCGAGTCCACCACTGGCGTTGCTGATCTCTCTGATGCCTGTGTCGTCTTTTTGAACGCATGGGCTGGTGAAGGTGCCGATCGCAGCGAACTCCGCAACGCCACCCAGGACACGTAAGTTTTTTCAATCTGTCCAACTCACAGATTCGAGCTAACCCGTACAATCCAGCCTGGTCACCACTGTTGCCGATGTGTGCAACAACACCATTGTCGTGATCAACACGATTGGTCCCCGCCTCGTCGACGCCTGGATCGAGCACGAAAACGTGACCGGTGTCATCTACGGCGGACCCCTGGGCCAGGAGTCGGGCAACGCCATTGACGACGTGCTCTTTGGCGCTGTCAACCCCTCGGGCAAGCTCGTCCACACCATTGCCAAAAACGAGTCCGACTACGACCAGGGCACGCTCGTCCAGGAGACCAACCTGCTGCTCAACTACACCGAGGGCAACTACATTGACTACAAGTACTTTGACCAGCAAAACATCACCCCGCGCTACGAGTTTGGCTACGGTCTGTCGTACACGACCTTTGAATACGATTCGGCCATTACCGTCGCAAGCACCAGCAACCTGACCAGCGGCTACGCGACCGGCGATCTCGCCATTGGCGGCCGCGAGGACCTCTGGGACGTGGTCGCCACGGTGGAGGCGACCATCTCCAACACGGGCTCGCTGGCGGGTGCCGAGGTCGCCCAGCTCTACGTTGCCTTCCCCGAGGCCGCCGACGAGCCCGTCCGCCAGCTCCGCGGCTTTGAAAAGGTGACGATCCAGCCCGGCGACCAGGCGACCGTGGTCTTTTCCCTCCGGAGGCGAGATCTCAGCGTGTGGGACACGGTGGCGCAGAACTGGAAGGTGGAGAGCGGAGACTACACCATCTCTGTCGGTGCCAGCAGTCGGGATCTCAAGGCCGAGGCAACTTTGTCAGTTTAAATATGTGATATTCCTGAGTTGTGAAGCAAGCCAGTCTGAAAATTGACATATTTCTCCCCAACTTTTCCTCTTGTCGACCTGATCACGATGCGATTCCAACTAGGATTTGAGAGCCTCCCAAGTGAGGCATCAACTGTCACGAACATTAAGTAGGACGAATTTCTTTCGCAATGGGATCGTTTAACAGCTTCAGTCTTTGAGACGTAGTTGGAAGTTTTGATCTTGTCTCGCTAATGACCATTCTCTACGATTTCTGACTCGATCACTGATATTGAATGATGTCACAGATCCAAGCATACCTCGTTAGGTGGATAATCCGCTAGATATGTTTGAACCAGCCCCAGAGAAAGAAGAATCGTGTATGCCAGAATTGAGGCGCAGCTATTTGGATGCCGGTGGATGCCAGGTACCGTGGAATGAAGAAAGGAAAAATAGACAGGTGGCAGAGCAGGACCTGTGGTGGTCGATCAATACCCTATGTTGACCGATGCTGACTTGCTGAAGTCTTAACTCCATGCAAGTTGAATTTGACGTACAGGAAGGCTGTTACCTTTCTCCCGTTCGTCGGTTTATAGTCGCACCGAAGAAAAGGGGGTAATTTCCATTGCTCACATGCAGCTCAACATTGCCGGCGATGATCTACGATTCCGTGCGAATTTCGCTTACACCCGACACCCAAACTCCACCAGAATCATGTTCAAGACGCAATCCACAACAACCTTCTTTCGTAAAAGCACTCATCAGACACCTGTTATGCATCAAAATAAGCTACAAGGAGAATGCCGTCATCGTGGCAGCAAGAGGGGCGCATAGAAGCATTTCAGAAAACAAAGGCCCGATCGCTTTTCGTATCGATGAGGCAGTGGTCCCTGAAAACCTTGCTTATAATGGATACACGATGCTTTCCACTTATGTGAAGGGCAATGAGGAATGGGCGGCCGAAGGGTGAGGCGCTCCACAAGGTTGACCGCATCTCGCAGCCGGGCCCGAGGCTGAACTGGGAATTGCCTCGAACTGAAGTAAATATCATTGGCGCCATTTGTCACGAAGGATTCCAGTCCCCAGATTTAGGGTCATCTTGGAGTCTTGGCTGACTTAAGGCTGCACCTTGTGGAGGACACTAGTTTGGCCAAATGGGGCGGAGCAATCCCTAGATGATCAGATCGTATGCTACACTCGACACTAGATGCGGGCGGATAAGCTGCAAGTGAGCAATACATAGTACAATATCCATTACCCGACCTACTTGCTTGCATGCTGCTTACTGTCTGCCATAAACGGTAGTTGCTGTTATCATCCCTGGAGTGAAAACATAAGCCTCAGGCTGATCGCACTTATACGACTTGGCAGTTTTGGTTTCCTGTCATATTTCCCTCGATAGGCGAAAAGGGACCGGGCCGCGCGAGGAAGCTTATTGGCTGATGGGCAAATCCGGAGCCAAAAAGGGAAACATTCCAGAAGGGTTCCAAGCCTTGTGTGTGCATGGCCACAAATCCGCCGATCCATGAGCCATGCAGCCACGGGACTGTGCCGAGTATGCTACTGTGACAACCTGGGATTATGCCATTCGCCACACTTCCGTTTGCCTTTTTGGAACCAATCATGAGATCAATTTGAGTTTGGAACAATGCGATTTCTTAGATGTAATGTTCGCCGCATAGCCGGCCACCTCTTTGGAACATTTGTGCTCATTACCCCGTTGTCTCGGTGGCTCATGGCGGAAGAAGACTAAACAGACCTATGCAATTAATCTCTGTCCGATTGTACAAGAAAGGTACTGTCCGATAAAGGCACAAGTCCGGCTTGACATGAACTGGCAGATATATTATATCATATCATGTAAGCGAGGGCGCAAGAGATGACACATGCATATCTGAATTGCGGTCGGGCGTCGAACATGCAGGCAGTCATTTAGTGCCCCGGCTGCAGTTAAGTCGATGGACGGCAGTGCTGGGTCACGATGGGCGAAAATCTTGAAGAAAAGCCGCTGCTTCGAGTGGAGGGATTGTTGAGCAATTTTACCAGCTGATTCCTCCTGCGAGAATTGCATACGGCGCGGCCCTGCTCACAATCCTGGTTGTCTGTTGTAAGATGGGTTAAATTGCGCATCGAGTTGCCAGGAACAGTAACTGCGGGAAATGGCTCTTCAAAAAGACATCTCGTGATATGTCTCCTTGTGCAAGGGCAGGCCAAAGTAAGATCGCATATTCCGTGCAGAGCGGATGGTCTCGCTTCCTTTGCACCTCGAGAGATGGAATGTTTCGGTTCCAACGCAGGGGGGCGTGAATGGTTTCAATGATCTGCATTTTGGCCAAGCTTTTTGCAAGCTAGCTCTTTGCGGACAACCTTTACGATCAATGGTGCATTCCGGTTGCCAGGAGAGCCGGGAGAGCTCTCAGGTCGCCCAAGAGTGCCCAGCCATCCCCCCCCCCCCAAGAAAGAAAGTCCCCCTGCTGGCTGCTGATGCGCGAGCGCGACCCTCCATCACCGGTAAGCGGCACGTTCATTGGAGACTTGGCGACTGAACTACCTGTCTTGGACGCCAGGGTGAAGTCCATGACAACGGCATTCTTGAATGAATAATTTGCAGTCGAGTTGACTGCGAGTAAACAGAAGATTATTTTCTAGATGCCTGTTGCTAGTAAGATTTGTCATGTCTGTAATGGACCTAGAAGCAAATAAGGATGAAAACAAGAAATGCACTACAGCAGACCGCTTGAGCATCTTTCGGTGGTACGTAGCTAATGGCGAGAAAGGGATAGCATTCATTGACCCAAAGCGACCGACCATTGGCATCAACCTGTCCTAGATCCGACCAGTCTGCAAGTGTGTGGAAGCGGAGATTGATGATTCTCCTGCACATTCGAGGTATTTTTCTCTTCGATTTCTTGGGTCAGACGGGACAACTTTATTCAATCCGATGCGTTGTCCTCGTATTTCCGAAAGGCATCTCTCACCTCCAGCTCTGCTTTGGGTACCGAAAAGTCCCTACCCAAGCCCACTAAAATGTTCCCACCGTCGCCCAGGAAGGCACTGCCCCAGTGGTCACTGTAGTGTACACTAGCTTCCTCCCCCGCAGTGCCACCCATCAGCCCAACACCCTGGCAGCACGCTAAACTCAAAGGGAAACCGCTACAAGCGTAAACGTCACAGATTCACATCGCACCACGTCTGATCTTGTCTCGCCTCTCTCTCCTCAGCTGGGGGAAACAAATACTCCCACGCACAACTACATATATGCCGTGTCCCCCCAGTCGTGAAAGCATCGCTTTAAAGGTTCATCAGTTTCTTGGCGATCTTCTTGAAGAACACGTACTCTATAAAAGCACCTCTTCCTTTACACAACTCTTTGCGACTTATACGTTTTGAGTCTCGACGCTAGTCCACAATCAGAAGCTTTGTGAAAGCATCAACTAAATATTCACAACAACCTGGATATCACGACCGAGTCGTCTAGCAGCATCATGTCCGCCACCGACAATAGCTCTGCACCTCTGCGCAAGGACAAAGGTCCTGAGACCAATGGTGCCAGTGATGGCCATATCGGGTTTCGCCCTCAGCAGAACATGACTGTTGAGCCCCCCAAGCCGCGCGATCTTCAGCCAAGCTATGCCTCTATTGTTGGAGACGACGCCAACCCCGAGGGCTGGTATGGATCAATGAGTAAGTCTTTACCGCGCCTAGATTACTTCCCATTCCATCTTGAATCAAGTCTCATGCTAACACAATGATTCAGTCAACGCCCTCGGCGCTTGCATGGGAACATTGGGTGCGGTTCCGTGCATCATCTGCTGTCCCAACCCCTACAAGCAAGTTCATCAGGGTAACGTGGGCCTGGTCACCAAGTTCGGCAAGTTCTACAAGGCCGTGGACCCTGGCTTGGTCAAGATCAACCCGCTTTCGGAGCGTCTGCACCAGGTCGATGTCAAGATCCAGATTGTCGAGGTTCCCAAGCAGACTTGCATGACCAAGGACAACGTGACTGTCCATCTAACTTCGGTCATCTACTACCACATCATCAGCCCTCACAAGGCCGCTTTTGGCATCGCCAATGTCCGCCAGGCCCTTATCGAGCGTACTCAGACCACCCTCCGCCACGTCGTTGGAGCACGCATCTTGCAAGACGTCATTGAGCGCCGCGAGGAGATTGCCCAGAGCATTGGAGAGATTATTGAGGATGTCGCCGCTGGTTGGGGTGTACAGGTCGAGTCCATGCTCATTAAGGACATTGTTTTCAGCCAAGAGCTGCAGGAGTCGCTCTCCATGGCCGCCCAGAGCAAGCGTATTGGAGAGTCCAAGATCATCGCCGCCAAGGCCGAGGTGGAGAGCGCAAAACTGATGCGTCAGGCCGCCGATATCCTCTCATCTGCACCCGCCATGCAGATCCGCTACCTCGAGGCCATGCAGGCCATGGCCAAGTCGGCCAACAGCAAGGTCATCTTCCTCCCCGCCGCCAATCAGACCATGGGCCAGGGATCTCCGGCCTTCAACGCTGCTCTGCAACAGGAAAGTCAGAACTTTGGCGAGAGCTCGGGCGGCGATGCCCACGACTTTGGCGCTGCCGACCCGCAGTTTCAACGAGCTATGAACGCCCGAGTCATTGAGAACATTTAGTTGAAGATGACTGAAGCGCTCAGTTCAAAAGCTGGAGGTCAGAATACCAAGTGATAGGATACTTCATATCCTGATCACAAAATGAAATTCTCCAGAATTTGGCATGGAAATGACTAGTACGAGCGGCGGGAGGGAGGCTGAGACGCGAGAGTTTGACGATACCGATGACTGTATTTTTTTCCGTTTTCCTGTTTTCGGATACCCCTATGGATACCCAATATCGTTCGCTTGGAATTTTTGGTTAATGTAGCCGGCCTGGGTTCAAGGAAACTACTTGGTAAATCCCGAATGGCAATTATAGTAGTAATGAATCAAAGATGAATACCATCATCGAACACTGAGTGCAAACTCTCAAGTCGAGCCTGGCTAGTTCAATGGATATCATGGCATATAATCTATCTGGCTAATCAAACCCCTTGAATTCGTCGTCACCCTTGGCTGCAGCCGCTGCCAACTTTTCTTGATTTTGTTTCCTAATTTGTGCCAACATGTCCTCCAGTTCGCGCTCTCTGACCTTTTCATCCTCGGTCAACGTGCTCACGCGCTCTGCTTCACGCTTCTTCTGTCTCTTTTCTCTCCTCACGGAGCGCACGCCTTCCTTTTCATGCTTGTCACTCCATGCCTCGGTATTGCGCTTCCGCTTGGCCTTGATGGCCTCGGCCTTTTCACCATTGGCCGGGTCCGCCGCCTTCTCCATATCAATGCGGCGCTGCTTCTCGCGCGCCTTGTCCTTGAAGGCGAAATTGTCCCAGTCCATTTCAATGCCGAGCGACCGGTCCCCCTCAAACGTCTTGGCCTCGGGCATTCGGGGCAGTCGGAGCAGGCCCCAGCCCTGCGCCAGATCCGCCCAGTTCAGGTCCGCCACCCGGAAAATGGACGAGGCCGTGTGGGAGCTGTAGCTCCGGACCCACGAGACAAAGGCGCGCTGGCCCTTTTCGTGCAGGCCGCGGTCCTCCTTGACGAGATCCCGGATCTTTTCCGTTGCCTCGGCGCCGTCGGACTCGTTGAGCGTGATTTCGGGGTATGTCAGGGGTTCAATAGGTGTCTTGCGAATTTCGAGGAAGGGCACATAGTCCTCTTCCCGCCCGGGCTGTAGGAAGAGCACGGAGAGACCTTTGCGTCCTGCTCGGCCGGCTCGGCCGCAGCGGTGGAGGTACACTTTGGGGTCTGAGGGGGGGTCGATTTGCACGACGAGATCTACTTGTGGCACATCCAAGCCTCGTGCAGCCAAATCCGTCGTAAGCAGGATCGTCGGCTGTGCAGAGCTGAGGAATTTGTTGAAATTCTTTTGTCGTACGGTTGAATGGTGCTTGCCGTGCAGTGGTACGCAGGCGTAGCCTTCGGGCAAAAGCGCAGGGAGGAGATGTTGAAAGTAGTCCACGGCGGCACATGTAGAAAAGAAGATAATGCTCTTTTGTGGCCTCGGGTCCAACTTCTCGAGTATCTGAGCTAGCGCGGGCAACTTTTGCGATGCCGGCGTAAGCTGGTATTTCATGGACAGACTGGCCGGTGTCCGTCGTTCTTCTATTACTCCGCCTGTCTTTAGACTCTTGACTTTGACCTGAATCTTTACCGGGTTCCTCAGTCCAACACGAATAATCTCTGAAACGGCATCGCTAACACTGGCGCTGAAAAGACCTGTTCTCCTTTGTTTCGGCAATCTGCTCAGAATGTTTTGCAAATCTTGCTTGAACCCGAGATCCAGAAGTCGGTCCGCTTCGTCCAGCACAAGCACCTCGAAACTCGATTGGTTGCAGCTCACATGCGGCGACTGCAGCAGCTCGACTAATCGACCGGGCGACGCAACGAGGATGTTCGGGCAGTGCCGCAGGAAGAAGCTGAGGTCCTGAGCAGGAGTCGTCGTACCTCCTACGAGGAGCTGAGGCAGTATAAAGGGCGTAGAGGTGATCGGTCGCTTCTCATCGCCATCGAGGTAAGGAAGTAGTTCGGCCGATGTTGGGTGGAACTTGACGAGGTCGACGAGGACTTTGTGAATCTGCGACGCCAGTTCTCGAGTAGGCGAGACAATGATGGCGGCAACGTGGCGCGGCTTCGTGGGCTCCTCGAGCCGGAGCAGGCGGTTGATCACGGGGATCAGATAGCTGAGCGTCTTGCCGCTGCCCGTGACGGCCTCGACAACAACGTCCTTGCTGGCGCTAAAGAGTGGAAGCACTGCCGCCTGGACGGGCGTCATGCGCTCAAATCCAGAGCTCGAGAGGTAGTCGAGAATCCATTCGGCGAGCGGCGGGGTGAGCGCATCCCAGGCGCGCGTATCCTTTTTCGTTTCCTTCTTTGTCGCCTTTGTTTCTGGGCCCATTGCGACGATTATCCTCCTCTGAAGAAGGACGAAATCGTAGAAGATTGCAGGCTTGAATGGTTGTGTCTCAGCATCTCGAAAAGATAATTCTTGAAATTTCACGATAAGGTTGGCTTATCGTTGATAAGCGCCCCGCATAATGGGGCTCCATCAGTGGATCCACGTCTTTGTACCTGGCGGGTCCCAACTAAGTTTAGGTACATTAACACCTAGCGACTCAAGTGTTGTCACGTTCAACAATGGTCATTCATATACTCAGAGAAATTACCTATACAAGGCATAATGACTAATTTAGTATTCTGCAAACGAGGATGTCATTCAATGTTTCCTCTGAGCATAACATTGACCCAACTCTGTGAAGAAATTCCCCTTTCAGTTCCTCTCGAAGGCTGCGTGCATTATCTGTTTGGACGGAAACCAACGCGTCTCTGAGTCTCGAAGTGAACCATTTCTTCGTTTCTGATCCTTCGTCTGATGCTATGGCACCAACCATGAGGTAGCCCGAGGTAAGGTCTGAATAGCAGCAGGGCCGAATGAACATGCGACACAGTGCTTGTCGCATCTCATCAGCTGTAGAAGTGCAATCAACAGCTGGCTCTTGTGGCCAGGAGAGATAGAGAATGAGCTCTATTGTCGTCGCAGTTATGCGAATAGATGGCTCCTCGTAGCTTTTCAAAGCTCGGGCCTGTAGAAGAATGTCCAGCACCTGCTTATTTATTTCCACCTCCTTGAGTCCAGACGTTTGACTTGGCGGGGCGTTTTGAACCTCTTCGATTGATTTGAGAACCTCAACGAGAGCATCACAGGCTATTGCTATCTCTGACATCGCTAGGAAGCCGTATCTACAGATCGCCTTGACGAGATTTCGGTGGTACCACCGAGGGAACCCTAGCACAGCATTTGTCGCATCTCTGATAAGCGTTTGGTCAGTCCACTTGAAATCGGCATCATTAATCAGAAGAACCTACGAAATTACCAAATCGTAGAGCCAAGACGGTAGGCGTCGTTCACCGTGTTCATATCTATGGTTGACCATCTGAGTGAGCCCGTCCATGTGGATATTCCATGCTTCTTCGTTGTGAACGAGTCGCTCTCCAAATGCCATGGTCACGACTGTCCCGATAATGGCATCTGTATACACGGTTCCCGAAGATATGTGCCGAATGAGGATGCTGGTAGCACTCGACCAGCATTGATCGGCTATCTTTTGGCATTCTTCATCTGGCGCCAAGTGTCGTAGCTCAATGGCAACGGTTGTTTGCAAAAGAGAGGGCTCAGAACAGATGAGTCGCTGCCAATTCTTTTCAACAGAGTTGGCGGGATAACCTTGGCCTCTCAGACGAAAGAGAGACGACCAGAATTTGGTCACTGAATTGGTTTAGCGGGCATGTCTATCGAAAGTCAAGTGAGACACCATACAAGATTCAGCTCGGGAGTCATCATCGCAAGCCTTAGGGACGGGCGGTATCCATCCACTGCGGAGTCCTGCTACAAGTGCCCGTTGCATATCGGGAAGTTGTTTTTGGTGCTTTGTCATTGAACCATGAGCATCCGACGTCTTCGCAGCCGCCGGCGCCTTGCCTAGTCGCTGACGCCGCTTTGCAAAGTTCGTCTTGGTGACGTGGGCCCTCATCCGCTTTGCTGCCGCGTGCGACAAAGCAGGACCGTCGGTCGTGTTGACAAATGTGAATGATGATGAAGCCATGGCTATTCCACAATAGGAAAATCAATTTCGAAGCTTGGGACAAGAAAGTCAAAGAAACTGGAGATGAAAAGACTGGAGATGCATTTAAGCTGCAGGTACCATGGTACGGGTGCAATCCCCGCGTGCCTGTTGGTCATGTCATGTATGCTTTCTAATCATAGACTTGCGTTATACCCAGAACGGAAAATCAATTTTAGGTGGAACTCGATACCTTTGAACCAATCATGAGGCTTAAAAGAATAAAGTCATCTTGTATACTACTAGTATTCGGACTTGTTCTTAGTGCATGTTGTCTTGGTGTGGTAATAGGAAATGAGTATAAATATGTCAAGAGCAGCAGTCATTCAATTCGAGATCAAGTTCGTCCACGCATGTCGCATTCATCACTTTCGTACAAGTCCTTACTACAAATTAAAATGGCACGTCAGTGGATTTTGAACAGTCAAGATGGCTTTGAAAAGTCGCTCGAATACCAACACGTTGAAATCCCAAAGCAATCTGACCTGAAACCGAATGAAGTTCTTGTCAAACTATACGCTGCGAGCTTGAACTATCGCGAGCTTATTATAGCAGGCCCTCTGGTAATATCCCGTCGTAATAGACATTACGCACTATACTGACTGCCAGCAGGGTGTCAATGGGCCAATCAAGCCACCCATCGTACCTGGATGCGACGGAGCAGGCGTCGTCGAGGCTGTCGGATCCTCTGTCCAAGATTTTCAACCAGGAGATCGAGTTGTGACGCAATTCGCTCCCAATGTTGCCGAATCTAGGGGAGACGACGCACCATCCACCATGGAAGATGTGCCTTTCATGCTGGGCCAGGGAACAGATGGCACACTTCGCTCTCACGGAGTCTTCTCAGAGAAAGCTCTTGTTCTCGCCCCCAAGTCCCTCGATTGGATTGCTGCTGCAACTTTGACATGTACCTGGACCACGGCTTGGAACTCTCTCTTCGGCGTCAAGGGCTCCGAGGTCGGTTCCGATACCTGGGTCCTAGTCCAAGGCACCGGTGGCGTGAGCGTCGCCACACTCCAGCTTGCAGTCGCAGCAGGGGCCAATGTCGTCGCAACCACTTCGACGGAGGAAAAGGCAGCACGCCTGCGCTCTCTCGGCGCTGCGCACACCGTCAACTATCGCACCAACCCGGAGAACTGGGGCCTAGAGGCTAGAAAGCTCACGCCCGGCGGAAAAGGATTTGATACAGTCATTGATGTCGGCGGCAACGAAACTCTCGGTCAGTCGCTAGCCTCGGTACGTCCAGATGGAACCGTCATGATCGTGGGCCAGGTCGGTGACAATGTCGACATGGTTCCGCTCCACGCTGCGTTGTTTCATACCTGTGTTGTGCGAGGGGTTCTAGGAGGCAATCGGGCACAGTTTCGCGAGCTGGTTCAATTCATTGACAACAAGAAAATCAAGCCTGTGGTGGACGATGCTATTTTTGAGTTGGCAGAAGCCAAGGATGCTTACAGACGTCTCAAAGAGAAGAAACACTTCTCCAAGATCGTAATTCGTGTTGACCATCAAGAAGTCTAGTTCTAGAGCCTTTTATCTTACGGTATAGATGGAAGCTCTTCGTAGTTCAGTAGTTTTCGAAATTCTTGGCAAATACCAATAGGTTATAACGCCAGTTCCCCAAACCCAGAAGACACACTCAAGTCCTTGATGAGTGGCATAAATGCCGAGGATCTTGGGCAAGACTCACCGCTCATGATGATGTACGCCTACTTGAACGGTTAGGTTTTGAGCGAACTGAGAACATGATACAGTTGTTCTGATCTCCCTCTTCTGCTAGAAAAGTACAAGGACTTATCAGTTTTATACATCTGATGAGTCTCTGCTTGAAAAAGGAGCATGGTCTTTCAAGGAGTGCTCCCCGTATTTCTGCGTGGGACTATATGAGGCACGGTTTTCTATGAAATCTAGATTGTTGCTAAACACATGGACATTATGAACTGGGCTGATTTATTTCCATGTCGTTCACTAGTGCTTGAACAAACTAGCTACAAGCACACTCAACAGTAGAACCCATTCATGAAAAGGCAAGCAATTCCAGGAATAAGTAGGTAGGTATAGAAGGAAACATTACAGAATGCTGGCTGGTAAACACTATCTTTCAGTTCCGCATTTGAGACCGAGGAGACCATAGATTTGAGGAAAATACTTGGCAATGTGTCGTAGACCAGCAAACCACTAATAACATCCGAGAAATAACAGTATAGCCTGCTGACGAGAGTTTCTGTCCTACACGGTGATTATTGGAGTAAGGTTTGCAGCATATATTCTCTCATGGACGCTTATTTTTTATTATTTATGTTGATCTCAACTCCCCTTTGCCGAAACGCGGCTGTAACCCCAATCCTGCGCCGTTTTTTGAAAGGGCGTGAACGGAACAAAGAAAACTACACCATCTGCTGCAGCAGCAGCAAAAATCATCTTGCGTAGGACCACGCTTGAATTATGCCTACTTAGTAGTGGTTGTGTCCACGCTGGTGCTGATTGGGCAGGAGCTTGTTCCCGTCACAAGTGTTATGTATTTTGTAGATTTTCGTCCATGCTCCGGTTTGTGACACATGGGCTTCCATAACAATTCGTCTCCCAAAATCAATGAGGCATAAATAGCTCCGACCATGGACCTAAGAGTATATTTGTCTATAGAGTAATGTAAGTTATAAATTAATTCCAGCAACTTCTCATGCGTGAACGCCCACCAAGCCTTGGATAGGTAGCTGGCCAATCTTGAAGTTGCGCAGCAAAATACGAGGGGTGTATTTGGGAGGCATCGGAGGTTACAAATGCGCCGACGAGCTCGGAGACTAAGCGAAGAAGTAAGGCCTGCTGCAGCCTTTCCAGCAAACTACCGAGACCCGAGTGAACATGGGAGCCAATCAATTATCGCAACTAGATGCTTTGCCCTTTGTCTTCTCTCTTTGTACTAGACCCATGGCCATTTCCTCATGGCCATTGCCACTGTACGAGGAAGACGAAAGAAAAACAATGGAGGTAAAAGTAAATTATGACCTTCGGCGATAGGGAAACGCAAGAAGCGAGCAGCAGCAGATTGATCCGTTAAACAGAACGAGGCGACGCAGCAGGTTAAAGACCTGAAACCCCTCCTGGGTAGGTATTAACAAGTTAAAGTTAGAAAATAAAAACAGCCAAAAAAAAAAGGGAAGAAAAAAAGCAATTTTCAAACAAACACTAGCGTGACCAGATAGTACATAGACGACGACCATCTCTGGCTGGGTGTGGAAAAGAAAAGAAGAAAAAGACGTGCTGCATGGTGCTGGTACCAAGGCCAGCCACGCTAAAGAACCAGGCAGAAAAGCAGGTCTCTTCCAGGTCTGCTTGTGGCCACGCCTTGGACCCAGTATTCTCTGTACAAAACACAAAATCCAACACGACAAACTTCAAAGTCACCATGAAGTCTGCTACTATATGCAGCCCCCTTCCCGATGATGCTGCGTACAGAGTGCATTAGTGTAGGAAGCGTTGATCGCGCCGGATGCGTGGTGCACTTCTTCTCCCTCCCTCCGTCTATCTCTCTTTTTTTTCTTTTTCTTTCTTCTTCTTCTTTTTTTATTTTTTTTTTTAAAAAAAAAACATTCTCTGTACCTTTTCCCGCAAGCACCAAAAGACATATACTATGACGAGGGGCTCAAGTCGCCCTTAGAGCTTCCGGCCCCGTATAAGTAACATTTATCTACATTATCAAAACAATCCTAATAACTATTCCTAGCATGTTCCTGTATTTTTACCATTTTATTCGGTTAAATCATCGTGGGTTTAAGGTATTTTGATGTCATGTATTTCGCCCTTTCCATGCGTTAGAATCTGGTGTGACTAGTCGGGCTTTGGCGGCTCAACTGGTGCATGGATTCGTTGTATATGCAGAAAGACAGATCCGGGGCGGGATCTGAACCTAGTCCGACCAGGAACGCCCACACGTAGCTTCATACTAGTATACAATTATGGTAGATCTCGGTTCTCAGAGTCTCACATCTCGCATTTGGACTTTACTGGTGAGTACGCGAAGGATCCGATTCGCTGCAAGAAGCTGGGAGTACAGAGAGTTGTGGGCAGCGATGACGCTACATCGGAGACGGAGACGCTCACTCTCTCGCTCCGACACGGAGACATATTCATTGTGCTTGGTGGACTAATGAGACGGCAAGACCACTGTAGCCCGGGGCAGTTGTTGGCCCCATGTACATGCCATGATTGGCATCATAAGTGCATCGAGTTGCAGAATCCATATTCCAATGGATTACAGGGACAACACGGAATGCCAAGATTATTACTACTTGTGTTTTGGGCCCCCCATACCCCGTGCGCTGGAGCGCCAGACCAGAGTCCAGCCCATATTTGGGCCAGTTTGAGGATTTACTGCGGCCTGCATAAAGAGAGCGAGATTCCCACCTCTTGAATCGAGAGGAAACAATTGAAATAATCTGCAACACTGCGCGCCGATTTTTCTTCACTTGATTTTACAAGTTCTACAACCGACGCCGAGCTTGAATTGGATTGCGTTCGTGTCCTCAGACAAACAGCACATTTATCCAATATCATCTAAGGAGAACGACCATGGTCATAATACTAGGTAAGCTTCATAAGACTTTCATTTAGCATGCGAAAGGGTATGTCAACTGACACAGATATCTAGCCGACTTGAAAAGAATATTCATCGTAAGCTTTGGCCCCGATCGCATATTTGTCTTTGATCAGCACTGATCACAGCCGCTCTTCAGAGCATTGATGTAGTAGCGACCCTCTCACTTGCCATCTGCATCACCATGACAGCCGTTCAGACATATGCTGCGTCCATCAAGCTTGCAGAACACCGTCCTTCTACGGCGGGTGATGCTGATCATCTTGACATCATACAATCAGCCATCATGCAGTACGTTGGACTATACCTAAGGGTCACACAAGCAGGATGGCAGAACAGTCAGAGAAGTCGAACAGTATATCTTTGGGTCATGGTCAGCTTGGTTTGCCCTCTGGCCGGTATCATCGTATACCCCAGACACAGTCATCTCAGTCCCTTCTTCTTGTTTCTTGGGACGATCGGGGGCAGCCTCACAGATGTCTGCCAACTGCAGACCCCACCGGAGAACACGTTGGTCACATAGGTGCTTGATGATTCTGAGATGGTAGTTGGGTTGAGAGTAATGAAATCTAGCGAGACATCAGCATGGAGGGAGCGACTCGGCTGTTTGCAGTTCGTATGATGCCGCATTGTTTTGATGGAGCTCGGGGCATTTGATGGATCCAGCGGTGCATAGCGAACAGGTCTACTGAGGATCACGGTTTTACGGGATGGCGTTGGACAGACTTATAGACTTCCCCTTATTTTCGCAATATACATACTTTTTATCAAGCACTCGGTGGCCCCCCTCCTCGTTTGTGAAGGTATCACAATTGGGACCGTCCAACAACCGCTTGACTACCTCAAGATGATGATGCTAATCTTTCGAACTCGAAACTTAGTAAGTGGGTGCACTTAAAGTCTTGATCATTTCAAAGCGTAATAAATTACATCTCAATCCGATTTGAGAGATGCGATTAAGACGAGCAAGCCATTAGTCGTATCTAGCCTCAACTTGTTAGGGTATCTGCTTTCATACAGACTGGAACCCATCCTGTTACTACACAGCTGACCAAGCCTTGCTCAAAAACATTTGATCCAACTTTGCGCCCGCTGTTACATTATCTACCTTCAGATTCAGCCAATGTTGATTGGCAACTTGCTCGTCAAAGACCCATTCATTGGAACCGTTGGGATGGACATAATTGTACCCGTACTGATTGCCATACTCAAAGAGCCCGGAAGACAGCCCGTCGATTGCGTATAGCACAGTCAAAGGATCCCACGAGTACCGAGCGCCGCCGTGCGTATAGTACAGATAGGCCTGGCGCACAGGATCATTCTCGGGGCCTTGTGCGATGAGCAGAGCACCACTCGTGACGTTACCACCCAAGTCGGCACCGGAATACACGATTGACCCGTTCCAGTTGTTGACGACATGGGCAGTAGCAGTTGGGTTATCGCCCCAAAAGTTGTATTCGTAGCCAGATGGGTAGTCACCGCCCATGATGACGAGCTCCGATACCTTGGCCGAGACTAGGGCCGGTCCATCCAGGCTGGAGTACTCGTCTGCGGTCGAGTTCAACAGGCCCGAAAGCTACAAGATGTGAGCTTTGATCTTCGACAGGCAGCCAATGCTAATCATGTACTCACATTTTCGAAGAATCCAATCGATGCAATAGTGACACTATTATCTTCTGCCTCGGAGAGAACTTTGCGATACAGAGCCACGGCGTCCCAGGCATCATCAGCATTGCCCCAAGTCAAGTTTCCTCCAGAGTGATGGTAGGCGATCTTGCTGGCATATTCTCCCAACTGGTAGTAAAAGTCATCAAAGTAAGAGACATTGGCGAATGGCTTCCGAATGCCGATGGGCACATTTAGACCATAGTGGGCGACAATGGCCGAGGCGCACCAAGCCGAATACGACGAGGGGTAGTTGATGTTGACAGCCAGAAGATTGACGTTTGTCGCCGTCGTGGCGATTAGAAGCGCACCGGCATCACTGTGCACAATGTTAGATTCCCGCATTGGGGCACGTATAAGGAGATACATACTCGACATCACTAAACAAGTCCGTATCTATAATCAAGTTCTTTCGGGTCGAATTGCATGATGCATAGCCCAAGGGGGACAAGAGCAGCACTAGCGGGAGCCACAACCGAACCATGGTGATGATAGTTGTCTGACAACAGATGCGCTTTGCAAGTCTGAAACACAGAAACGCACAACAAAGAAGAAGTTAATTCCCTTGATATTCTGCGCACGATCGGCATCAAAATACAGACTTCATTTCTACCTCCGACAAACCGATAAGGATATTTTGCTTGCGTAATAATTGTAGGGGGGAAAGATATGCTATCATGCTCATTAGTACAGACATGGCCTAGCATCTTCGGGTTCTCGGTGGGGCTTTCATGGTTTACAATACCAGGTCCAGGTCTCCAATTACAGTGGGTTGAGCATATTATTCCGTAGTCTTGGCAAATATTGTTCAATGACTATATGTCGTCGGGCATCGATCTGTCAGAGTAGGTGTGTTGCAGTCTCTGGACAACCCGGTGAAAGTGTTGAGTTTCCTTGGGATTTAGACAATGAATTGTCCCAGTACAACACTGTTGTGTATGAACAATGCCGATGGACTTTCTTTGTCGTAAGTGGCCAGCACGGCACAAGATCCGGCAACGATGGGTGAGCTCCAAAGCATTTGTAGTTATGTGATAGATGAACTTCATCTGTACATAAAAGAATCCAAAAATCGTACTAGTAAGACTATCGAGTCGTGAGAAAGATGAAGCACCATCTCTTTTCCGCCCGTATACACGGGATCTCCGGGACCCTTTCAGAGGGCCATAAAAGGTAAGTCAAGATGGCGAACAGCAAGTCAGCTGCCGCGCAGGCCCTTGAGATCACAGAGATTCTGGTACTGATACTACGCAAAGTCGATATGCATACACTATTGGTATCTTGTCCGCGTGTGTGCCGATACTGGAAGGCTTCTATAGACAGTTTCGAGTCCCTGCAAAGGAAACTGTTCTTCCTCAAGGATGAACTTGCCACGCCTACTCACAACCGCCTTTTAGCAAAGCATTTCCCTTTTGCTTTTGAACATGCTGACGCACCACCAGAAAGGGATCTCCGTTTCTTCTCGCGAACGACGAAACTGATAGCGCCAAAACACGACGTCACCTTTCCCGATCTTCCGTGGATACGTGACCGACAGGACGCCTACCGCCGACCAGAGGCCAGCTGGCGACGCATGCTCGTTCACCAGCCGCCTTTTCCTGGTGTGGGCTGGGTTGGCACGAGGCGTTCCAAGGAAGTCATGTTTCATTGCATACCAACGCCGAGGGAGTCCTTGCGGATAGAAGAACTCCTTCGAGCCGTGTTATCTGGATTTCCCACAGAACATGCAACCGTTGATCGTGTCGCGCGTTCATTCCGTGTGATTTGGCGTCATGTTCCACCCGACATCGTCAATGCTTATCCCAATGCACGAGCTGGCGTGCTTCAGAGTACAGTCAACACACTCCGGCAAGTTTTTGCTGAACAATGGAGCGCCTTTGGCATCATTGTTCATCAAGACGTTGACGACTTGGTGTATGCTTCGCCGGATCCTCAGCAGTTTATATTGTACGATCTACTGCAAGACGATGAAGACTAGTAGAAACTGTTAGAGGACCTGAGTAATTTGAAATTTGGCACTGGACTGAGATGATAGCCTTGTGTATAACACCAGAGTCAGTTCCATTGCTTCATGTACAATAGACTGAAGGACTAGTAACTGATATTGCCTATAGGTAGTTAAGTATTTTAATTATGTGAAACAATAATATCATTGATTCAAATACGGCATAGGATGCATTGATGAAAGAACTGACCCACGGGGGTTTGCTACAGTCGAGAGAAAGTGTACAATGTTATTGCAAATGTATGTACAATACACAGTGCGCTTGTCATTGTTGCCCCAAAACTGGCACGGTCTCTCCAAGTGCAAGCTTATTGCCCCTCCAAGGCTTTATCCTAGCAACCACAAAGACGGCTTTGAACGTGGCCTTTGAACCATTCTTCTTTGTCATTCTTCATAATCATCCATAATGCCACTGTGAGTCTTGGTCGTTCATTGTTTACGAATAAAAGACGGTAATGACTAATCACTTTAGATAGCCATCTTTTGGGTAAAAAGTCATGGAACGTGTACAACAGCGACAACATCGCGCGGGTCCGGCGCGACGAGGCAGCTGCCCGTGAACGTGAGCTGGCCGAGGAAGAGCGGCAACAAGAGGAAGACGCCGCACGACGCCTCGCTATCTTGAGAGGCGAAGCTCCGCCTCCTCTAGAGCCGCCAAGGGATGACCAGGCTCTTGCGGATGGAGACCGAACCCGCCATGACCGGCATCGGGACCGCGATGGGGATGCATCGGGAGGCCATGGTCGCGAGCGAAAGAAGCGCAAGCGCCACGGCGAGGATGATACCGACTTTGAGATGCGTGTCGCGAGGGAGATGGTCTCGGGGCCTGCAAGGCCACGGGGCGATGACACAGAGGGGCCAGGCGCGGTGATGCCTCATAAGAGCAGTGATGCACCTCTGACCGATGCATCAGGACATATCGACCTTTTTGGCGAAGCCAATTCGTTGGTTCCTGATAAACGCAAGAATCCAGAGGCGGAAGCCGAAAAGGAACGTAAGAAGCGCGAGTTCGAGGATCAGTACAGAATGCGCTTTTCCAACGCGTCCGGCGCACAAGCTTCAGCGTCTGGACCTTGGTACGCGCCGGCATCTTCCATGCGAGACCAAGGCCTAGACCGTAGTGAAGCGCAAGCGCAGCACGGAACTGACGCTTTTGGTCGACCGGATCCCGGCCGGAAAGATCGCGATGCAGCAAGGATAGAGGCTAGCGATCCCCTGGCAATGATGAAACGAGGTGCAGCCAAGGCAAGGCAAGTGGAAAAAGAAAGACGTAGTGCAAATGAAGAACGGGAAAAGGAGCTGAGGAGGTTACGACGGGAAGAAAGGAGAAGTGAAAAGAGACGGCGGCGCAGGGATGACCGCGAGGACGACGGAAGTGATGATCTGGAGAACTTCAGCCTGGATCAAGACAAGAGGCGACCTGAAGAGCGCGATCATGAGAAACGGCATAGGCATCGGCATCGCCATCACCACCACTCGAGGCACCGAAGTCCCCAGAGAAGCTCCCGCAGTGAGAAGGCCGAGAGCCGGCATCATGGCCGCGATCATGATCGTTTAGGACGATGACTATAATATATGATACACCAAGTCAATAGAGATATATCCTCATGGAAGGCCAACCTTTTCACGTCCACAAATCTCCAAATGCTGCTATAATGGGAAGTCATACACATATCTGCCAGTCAATGAGAGCCTCAGATTGAAAATACTTTCACAGCAACGACGAAAATACAGAGTTTCTGTAAAACAAGCATTATGACAATAAATCTTAGCATGGGGTATCTAATCGATCGTATTTTAATCCAAGTCTGTGTCGCCACTGTCGCTTCGGCGGTGAAATGCCATAGTTGAACGTGGAACTATTTGTGGCGACCTTTTGTACTTCGAGCGGTCGTATGCATCTCCCCATCACTCGTCCCGAGCCTCCTCAATTACGACTTGTACCACTGCTTTCCCTCTCTTCCTCATTTGTTGCAATGTTCCCCTTGAAGAAGAATTCATCGCCCTTCTATCGATTTGTGGCACCCATAATCCTTGATCGAGACGATGAGTGAAATCGCCTTGCCGTATAGCCTTCTAAGAATCGTTTGATATCCATGGCAGCTCGACTTTGACTGGGATCAACTTCTTTTCCACAAGAGCGACCATTTTATCGCACCCTTGCATACTCTTGAGTTGAGTCTTGAGGTCCGAGAGCGTCTTCTCCGACAAGCCTTCCTTGCGATCGGTGAGAATGTCAATGCCTTCCTCGGTGAAGAGTGTCTTGGCAAACCAAATGACCATCCAGCGCTCGGCATCTCCATCGGGCATGTGCTCGCCCCAGCCCCAGCCCAGCACCTCCCAATGTGATGTGAAGGGCTTCAGTAGACCCTTTCCGCGCCAGATGTATGAGCCGGGACCCAATGTCGTGTCAATGCCCTTGACGTTCTTTAGCTTGGCGCCCTTCTCGTACTCAACCAGGTCATCGAAACTGGTGCCGTCTTCGATGGGCTTGTAGGTGATTCTGACATTCTTGGCAGACTTCCACATGGACAATGTAGAATGAGCCACTGACCATGTGCGGTAGAAGAACTCGGCATGAGGCGTGGTGGGCGTCTTAGCGTTTGATTCACTCGCATACCTTGAGGGGTTGCAGAGTGTGATTGCCGGAGTAGAAGACATCGTGAAAGCGAATGCTATCCTCTCTAGGCTTGATGTCTCTGAAAGCCAGACACGTGACTTGTTGGAAAAGATGAGAATATTGGTTCTATGAGGATGAGGCTACAAGGGCAGTGTACGCAGTATTTGTTCCGAAGTAGAGTTGGAGGCTACCGTTGCACTACATCCCAATCTCGGATGGCGGAGCTTCCGGCACTTTGCTGCAAGCTATCGACCAAGGGATATTGGCATCTCGGACCTACCAATAGCTATCCAGGACGGCTCCAGTGATGTCAGAGCGTCGATACAAAATGCGCCAGGGTCCAGAAAGGACGTCTGCCTGTTATTGATAGAAAATAATCAGCAAGAGAACTCTGGAACATGTCAAATGTGTTCCTACATTAAGCTAGGTACTGGGCTCAGTTGGATGGTGCCCCTATAATGAGCTCTAATGGGCTAGTGTGCAACTACTAAGAGGAATCCGTAAAGTGCTAGTCTGACAGCCATGTGCTTCTGCCCTGCCGCTTCACCGCCTTAAAGATATGCTGAACAATTGCGCAAGCTGTTGCAACAGCTCTCAAAGAGTGCCTGATTATAGTTGTATTCACGTGTGCTTTTCACTGCTAGCTTCTAATGCTGCTAGAAAATGCCAAAATTTTGCACTCTCCCTACATACACTGCAGTTCCAAAACAGTACGTGGGTATCTAGCCACGGCAAAAAATTATAAGGCAACTAGTTAGTGTTCCCAAAACTCGCCCCGCCCCCAGGCCACCAGCAATCGCAATCCGTCGCCCAGTAAAGGTATCTGTCCTTGAAACGGTCTTCCCCCACCGGCAGTTTGCTAGAGCTCCGAAATTCTTTTGTTCCGGTTCCCAAACTCCAACCACACACACGGAGCTTGAGTAGCGGTTTGTGACCGAGTAGCAGCAATCCATATCGCGACTCGACCACGAAGCAAAAGGTGCTTTTCTTCTGAGGAACAACGTCTTCCGACCCTCCCCCATCATGGATGATGACAACACAGACGCCATGGCCGCAGCCATGGGCTTCTCGAGCTTCGGCGCACAGCCCAGCGCAAAGCGGCGCAAGTTCAACAGCAACACCGACTCGTTCATCGACGCCCCCTCCCGCAACACCGACCATGGCAACGGAGCCAACGCGATGCCGCTAGGCATCCGGTCGGCAAAATCACAACCGTCGGCGGCCGCGCCGCCGCCGCCGCCACAGCCCAAGCAAAACGAAAACGAGATATCGCTCGAGGACGACGAAGACGACCCCGAACCCCAATATCTGGACACCTCGCGCCCAGCCGCGTCAGTTGGAACGGCCCCCACCCCCGGCGATGCCGCCATCCAGGCAACCATTGACAATATTATCGGATCGACGGGCGCTCCCGGTCCAGAAGCTCATCATGTCGGTGGGCATGGTGATCGACACGGTCCTCGTCAGGCAGGAGGCGATCGGCGTCGAGGCGGCGGTCAGCCTTGGTGGGAAGACTATTACGATCCTACCGCCAACATGAACCCGTGGGAGAAGCTGGAGAAGCAGTCCGGCCTCGAGCCCCTAAATAATGACTGGCTTAGCTGGGAGGAGTCGAAGGCTCGGTGGGAAAGCTTACAGACTGGGACGAGCCATCAGGAGGCTGCCTCAGCTGCGGCGTGAACTGCGCCCGGGCTGGCATCGAGCGCCTATGGGCAGATACTCCCGAGTTCGACGGGTTTACTTACTCGAACATAGCCGCTTCCACCTACAAGACCTCGAAATCCTCGAGGCTCGTATACGTTTCATATGGATCAAGACCCTATCCAGTCATGATGGATATACAGGGGCCGTACAACGTCTCGGGTCAATCGTCATCACGTGACACCCCAGAATATCACCACAACCATGCCCAACCCACCTTGGCACTGGGCAACAAGACGAACAACACGATACTTCTAGCGGGGCGAGCCTTCTTATATAGGGTGACTGGCGCGTCCCATCGAGCCACATGGGTCTCGGGCGCCTTGTTTACGCGACTTTTCACACAGCCACTCACACAACATGGATTACCGTCGTCAAAAACGGGAAATTTTGTACCATTACGCTAGGAAGCCTATTATACGTCCAGCTTCATGTGCCGGAACAGGGAAGAAGAACAGAAGAAATACCCAATTCTACCGCCACACCCCCTCCAGGGGCCCTTCAACCCTGCGCTACCCAGAGCGCAAGTGCCAAAGGAGCAATATCCGAGGTCCTAAAACGGCTTAAGGCCGTCTGAGGGCGTGAAACTATTTACACCTTCTCCATCCTCGTCAACCTTGCCATGTGTCTATTGCCCCGAGTGTGTCTCTAGGACGAGCCCCCGTTTTTCAGCGTCGGCATGTCTACCGAGGCCGTGGTTCTGTGATGCCCAAGGCCGCTGCTTGCATATTCTGCAGCCCTGCCCGCCTAGTCACCACACCGGTTGCCCGCTTTGTGCGTGGATCCCCCGTCCCCTGCTAGATACGATGGAGTACTACTTTTTGAGAAATGGTGTACCTTGAATCTCCTCTCTCATCCAATCATAAGTCATGACCATCTCGAGGCGGCCCCCCTGCCCGCTGCTTCTTCCCATCTTTTGCGTCAGCGTGGGGAACCCACTGTTCGCTTGCCTTTCCGACGCAGGAACGCCCGCCCAGTCCACACACACCCGCTCCATCCATCCACTTCTGCCCAAAGGTAAAGCAGCGAGGAGATGGGCGCTCCCCGATTGCCGCGCGCTTGTTTTTCAAACATCAATTGTGAAAGAATACATGCAGAAAACCCCGGTCATGGCAGGGGGAGGTGTGTAGATAAATGTGATGAAGGAGCGACAGATCTGAGATCTCGTCCCCTCCCCTCCACTACCCCAGAAAACGCCGAAAATGAAGATCCGCTAAAAAAAATAATGTGGTAAGGACATGGGTATCGAGAAGTGGGTAAGGTGAGTTTCGAATGCAATTGCTTGCATGCGGCTCAAAACATCATGCAACCTTAAAACTCGGGCGATGGGTATCGCTCGCGAGCCTTCTTGTACTCCTTGGAGTGCTTCCGCGAGGCCTTGCTCTTCATTGACCTGTAGAAGTAGTTAGTCAACTGAGTGCCTTTAAATTTCCTCCTTCAATGTCCGTGTTACTTACGAAACCTTCTTTGATGTCCACTCCAGGTTGGCATGAACTTCCTGGGCATCCTGCACACCCTCGGCAAAGCGAGCGCGGGACTTGGCCAGGCGAGCTTGGGCTTTTGCCTGCAGCTCGAGTAGCTCTCGGTGCTTGTTGTTCAGCTGTCCAGATCTAAACAGGAATTAGTACTTGAAGTCTCTTCATCCCAAGTTGGAAATAAGAATACTCACGTCTGTGCCTGCATAGCCAGGCTGCGGTCAAGCGGGATCGGGTCAAAAGACTCGGCAAAGCGGTCATGGATGTAGTCATTAAAGTCTACACCACTGGCAGATACTGAGCTTTCCCAGTCACCGCTGGTGCTACCATCGTAGGTGGAATCGCCTACAGAGTAGCTGTGCCCATAGGACGGAACGCCAGAAGTGACTGAGGCGTCATTGTCCTCGGGAGGAGATACAGAGTAGGCACTTCCACCGCTGTGGTAGTACGAAGGGTACTGCTCACCCTTGGTAGGGATGGGTACAGCTGTAGCGTAGTATTGCGTAGAGTAGGATGCCATTGTGTTCTTCTGTGCTGTGCTAGGAAGGATTGGATTGTATACTAGTGTATATGCTTGACACTAGATGGTGTAGTGGATGTTCAAGGTGGCTCGAGTGTATGTGCTATGGGGAGACTTGAAAATATTCAAAGGGGATTTTTGTCTTTCAAAGTGCAGTATGAGGCTCGTGCTGTGTAGTCTCGAAAGTGATGAGGAAAGAAGAAGAATTGAACTCACCAACTCTCAAATTCCACCCCTATTTATACTCATCCCGAGAGGGCCCCGGACCCTCGAGGAAGGACTTCTCTCCATCTAGGAGGATAACTGACCACGACATCATTCGTCGAGAACATTACCAACCCCGCTCGATGGCAACGATGAAAGTCGAAGGGGATGGTCGAAGGGATCCAGACTGGAAACGGGACTACGGGTGACGATGCTCTAGTCCGGGACCCTAGTGCTTGTCACTCACTTACCCGTTTTCAACCTTCTTACCGCGGCATGAAGGACACCAACGCCAACGGTCACAGCGGGCGGCGAGTAGAGCCTGGCCGAGAAGAGGGAGGATGATCCTTGACCATTGTTCTCGCCAGTCACAGGCGTCTCGACATCCATTGGGTACCCCAGTGTTGGTTCTCGATCGATGGATAGAGAGAACCCGCTCATCTCCTCGTGCATACATAGTATGCTGAAAGGCGCATCTGCTCCTCTTTTCGGATGGTGCTGGTGGATACGCCGCAGTAGGAGGGGGAGTGTGGAAAGCAAAACGAGCAATTTTTTTGAATATTGTAGTTAAATTTTTTTTTTTCGTGTCTGGATAATCCATAGACAGTTAAGTCATCATTTTGCCAAGAGTACATGGTCTTACCGGGCAATTGTTAGGCGTGCGTTTAGTCTCCGGATAGAGGCCACCGGGAAAGGCGTGTAACATGTGGAAATATCCCACCGGCTGACGGGGGGTAACTTACCTTCTTGGGCGACTTAGCAGACAAAGAGTGACGATCGGAGGACGAACGAATTGCAGTCCTATGCAGGGCTCCATAGGCGAGGAATACGTAATTACAAGTTTTTTCTTTGTCGAATGTACTTTTTTTTTCTGGGACGTTGACGGATGCTAACCGTATTCCATTGTCGAATAGCGTGATTCAGGGCGTGCGGCTTACCTATGCATTTTGACTGGGTGGGTATACTCGGGGGGGCCAAAGTGAGTTTAGATCAGGTCAACAAACTTCAGATCCATACCCTGGAGAGGAACGGCCGTTGTCCTTTCCACACCCCCCTTCTTCGAAAGAGGATGGGCCTTTGAACGGTAGTATCGTAGACAGACATACCACAGACATAAAGATTGATAGTCGGCAAGGCGCCCTAGATCGGGTCGTCGGTGGTAGTCTCCAGAACAAGCGCGGAGGCGCTAGCCGTTGGCAAAAGCAGCGATGGATTTTTCCCAAATGGCTGCTACCAATCCATCCATGCCTTGTCAATGCCCCATGCCACGAGCCGGGAAGTTGGGAGGAATGCAGGCAGGCAGGGAGGCATGCAAGCGGAGCAGGTTGATCGTGGGCGGCTGGCATGAATGACGGAAAACGTTTTCGATCGAGAGAGAGGCATTTGACCACGGCGCGGGGGGGTTGAGTGGGCAGCAGCTGTCTGGATGCAGGAAAAAGAGAAAAAAAAAACGCCACGATCGTTGGTAAGTACGCACGTCAAAGGCGTAAAACGGTTGTGCCGGAATACATTACCTGCCTATGACCAAGGCAGAGACGGAGTCATGTCAGGCAGGACTGCAGCAATGGTCGGGCATATTTTGCCGTCGTTTGTGTAAATGTATGATGTGTTGTCAAAATGTCCCAGGGGGTGGGATGAGATTTAACAAATGCGATTCGACAATGGTCCTTTTCTCTCTCAATTGCTGTCGTAAGCTGAATTAACAATAATTTTTTTCTTAAGACTTGAATTGAATAGGCAATGAAATGTACTCGAGTATATTTCCAAGGTTGGGGAAAGATGGACGTTGAATAAAAAAAGAATGGGCACGTTCCAATGCCTCCTCCGGCTGCGGTAGTAACACCCACCAAGAAGCAAGGACCTGACATAGGTGGTACCTTGGAAGACGACATCGACCCTCTCTAGGCAGGCAACACAGGGCTCGCTCGGTTCTCTTCATCGGCTGGAAGGGACCCTGGACTGCTGTTTCTGCTTTGGGTTTGGAGGCGCGTCAATCAGAGAAATTCCAGAACGTGACAGGGGGTCATTTTTTGATAATTTCGTGAATTTTGGAGTTTTCCATTGGCCAAAAATTCGGAAATTCAGAGCTACAGAGACGAGACACCGGCATGGGTCCGATGGGTGACAGCCTGGGATAATCATATCTGACACAAAAAGAAAATACCAGTGCTGACTAGGCCTGTTGCGGTCCGGTGCCGAGCTTTAATTCTTCAATAATCAAAGTCTCGGTTCGAATCTCGAGACCAAGTGCCCCTCATTGCCCCGCCTTTATTGCAAGTAAGGAATAATGACGATGGTAAAATGTACAGGGGCTTTTATGCTCCCGATCAAATCATTGATCATGGTTTTGAAGAGGCATGTAAGCTCAAAAGATTGCGTCTTCTCGCTCATGGTGCGCGGACTACGTCGGGGATCAGACGGGAACTGGGGATGGGTATTTCGCAAGAGGGAATGAGGAGGCAATCAAGGCTGGCTGGCTGGCTTGTAACCTCATGTACCGGAAATGGCCACCCAAAGTCCCGAATCTACAATTGTATATTCCCACGTACATCCATCTTCCTCCTACCTATCATTGACGGCTGTGCTGCATGTGATTTTAGCTGCGTCCGAGATACGTTGACAACTAAGACTGCATGTCGTGCGTTGGCTGTGCCGTGCTTATGGAGGGTGAGAATGAGCAAAATGTGTCATTGGGGGGCTCGCTCCGTCCCGTGGGATAGTGATGTATTAGCAGGTATTAGCAGTCTGTCCAGCTTGGAACTCTCGGAACTGGTGGGCCATTTCTGTTGCAACTTTTTTGGTTTCTGCAATCTCTGGCTCGGCGGTAGCATAAATTTGTTGACGTTGGAGGCGGTCAGTAAATCCACTTGACCAATATATCATAAAAAGCACTGTTTTCTTAGTGTAAAAGTGACAACCTACAAGGCTTCAAATTCTGCCCTGAAACACTGGGACTCTCTGCCCTTTTACTTACATGACCACTTACCTGGCCGACATTGGTACAGATCAACCACCACCACCACCAGAGGAGGTCTCCAGTCACTCGGTGAGGACAAGGGTCCCCCTTCGGGAATGCGACATCAACATGCACCTCAACGTGTTCCTGCCCTTATATTATAAATTGTGGTTACACAGACCAAATGGAGACATCCCTGCTTGACGGTTTAGTCAAATATCCTTACTTTTTCTCAAGTACTTCAGATACGCGGCATCTCATCGCGGCCGCAGAAAAGTAACCCATTGCCACTATTCAGCAGTGGGCTTGAGAATATACCTTAGGCTTCCTCTTTAAGGCATGGGATTGTGGGGTCATCCCCGAGAGGCAACTTTTTTTATTCTACACACTACAATTACCTACCCACCCCCCCAAAACGCAGCACCGGAATGGCGAAAATGCAGAACTCGCCTGGACATGGTTGCGGTCGGTTGTAGGCGGTCTGCACGGTTTTGAGACTGTCCTCCTACCTGTATGGATTCCCCAGCCAGACGTTGTCGAGGGGTGGTGACTCTCAGGCTAAGCAACGACTTGCCGATACAAGCATTATAGTCATCCAAGAAAGCCCCCAATGGTAATGCATAACGTCGGAGACTAGGATAAATTCTTGAAACTTCCTTCTCTCGGATGGAGTCATCTCAACTATCGTTTACTGTGTGATTGTCGATCTGGTAAATTTTCTCGTCTGCCGAGATTACTATATATGTAGGTAATTAGGTACTATGCCATGTTTGGATCGGAACACCTGAACGGCCATCTCGTCACCGCCAAATGCCGCTCACTAACAACAAGCCAGAAGCGAGGAAGGAAAAGAAGAAACACTGGTCACAGTGACGAGTAGACCAAAATGTAGATCCGTGGTATTCATCAACATGAGCAGACATGACACTTGACTAGGTATGATCTATGATGGTGCCATGCTTGATTACTCTTTATGACCGCCTGTTCTGTACAAGCCGGAGGCCACCGCCCCATTACGCGAGGCCGAGACCTTATCAGCACGATTAGTCTTGCAGGTGCTCAGACAACTTGGTAAATTGCGAATCTCAAACTGAAGGACACTGATGCTGGCAACGAATTCTATGATAGGACCGAAAGACAGCCGAGCAGCCTCCCTCTCCCTCTCCCTCTCCAACGACTGGGAGCAGTCGGTCTTGCCCAGTGGCGGAAATCTCCTTCTGACAGCCATCCTCGTTCGGTTGCCTGCATGCAGACAGGACAATGGCTGATGATCCGGGCTGTATGTCTAGTTGCACACGAAACGCCATGATGAACCCCATGCTTGCTGTGCGGTGAAAATTGGGGGTGGGAGGAAAAGGGCCCTGATCATGAGATCTGGAAATACTCTAACCTGCAGGCTAAGCCTACATACAGGTGGACGGCGACGCGCGCGCGCGCGCTGCAAGGCATTTCCTCCGGTGCGATGACCTTTGCCGCAGATTGGTGGATATCCGGCGCTTCGCACTCAGGAGTTATCATCGACACCGCTTCAACGCAGGATCCCATAACATGGCTGAGATCCCGACCGTCAAACCGCTGCAAGGGAGCCAAGATCACCCCCCGATTGAAATGAAAGGTGGCGTTAGAAATCCTGCAGTCAAAGGTGCAGGCAACAATGCAGAACGGTTGAGAATATCATGGCTTGTTGCTTTGCACTAAGTCTGCAGCTATAACCCAGTGTCGCGCGCACTCTGAAGCTACCAAAGTAGGCCTGTCCCTGCTGATAGTCTGTTAACAGTCACATGGGTCGCCGTCATATCGTTCCGAAAGTGTAATGGGGTAGATAATGCCAGTATTTTTTTTTCAAGTCAAATGCCCCGAGCCCGTCTATAGAATTGACCCAGGCAAAGTCTTCCTATCCTTGTCTTCAGATAACGCCAATTATGCACCGGTTCCACATCACATCACCATGTGTGTCGTCTAATCCATCTAGTATTAGCCGAAGATCTTGAGAAACCCCCAGATGCCAATGCCGCTAAGAACCGGAATTGTGAGATTGTCATCCCAGCCAAATAGATCTATGACTTCGCTACCCGCAGCAGCAAGACCAGACCAGATACTCATGACGGCCAGTGCAACTGTCCCACTGACGGTTGCTTGTTCTTCGCTGAGGCCCAAAAGGTCGGCAGCGGCGGCTGGTAGTCTGAGTAAGCCATTAAACATGAATGGATTCTGCTCATCGCCCGGGAAAGCTGGTGTGTGGGGTGCAACCCAGCCCCAAAACCATGCAGCAGTGACGACGCCGACCAGGAATGCAGCTAGCGATCCTGCGAGAGACTTTCCTCTTCTAAGGCGCGGCGTGTATCTACCGTATAAGCGACCAAAGGTACTGGCCGCAGTGTCGCACCAACTGAGTAGCATGACTGATACAACAGCAATGTCCTTGGGAAAGAAGTACAGGACGGTCCACGCGCCGAGAAGATACCAGATGACGCCGTTGTAGCCAGAGTACTCGCTCTCGCGCATGAATGCTCCGAGGCATTTGACGTAGAAGCGGTTGAGCGATGCGTACGTGTGTCGCAGAATATCTGTCGTTGCGATGGGGATCAAGAAGCCCATCAACCACGGCGTAACCCTCGAGGTCTGCGTGCCTGACACGTAAAGCCAATACACTAGAAAGCCGATAGACACGTGAAGAACCTTCCGAGGTACTTCATGCTTGTGTATCAAAGTCTTGAAATGCCGGTGTATGGGAATCAGCCCAAGAGGGCTGGGACTTCGGCTGAAGTCGCGCCAACTCCATCCCGATGGCGTTGCGGGTGTGGGCGGCGCCAAGTGGCCATTTGATGTCGTGATCATGCCGTTTGCGTGCTCCGTGACTTCCAACTCTTTGGACTTGGAAGCTTTTGTCGAACGCGTGCCTGTATTTGACGCGAGGCCTGAGACCTTGCGAGCCTTTATAGGACTCCGAGATCGCGCGCGGGCACGTCGGAGTTCGGGGTCCGACTCGCTCTCATCGACGCTTTCTTCTTGTATTGGTAGTTGCGGGGTTATGCTGCCAGTTTGGCGTCTTCGGGCTGCAGAACGAGTTACGGGGCCGAAATAGCCATCGTCTTGGGTGTCTGAAGGGGTTGGACTCGGTGATATTACACGCGGCGTGGCCGGGATACTCGATCTGGTGCGAGTAGACATGTTGTAGGGAAAAGGCGGCAGGGTCGGACAAGAAACGACGCCGGTAAAGAAATGTCGCAAATCGTGAAATCGTAAAGGCCAAAAGGCAGAGCGGAGATGTTTGTCTTTTCTAGACTCACGCGTAGTGAGATGGTGGGTGCTTTCGCCGAGTAACGAGGCCACGAGAGCTACCGGATCCAGCGTGAATAAGTTTGGTGATGCAACAGAGACGAGCTCTGCCGCATAATGTTCTGGTAGTAGTAATAATAGTAGATGGACGACAGGGGTCGGCGGAAGCAGATGGAAGAGGGACTCTCCTCGACCGCGGCTTCGTGGAAGAGCACATTAACGGTGTGACGGAGACGTCAATGGTCCGAGACAAGATAGGCTGCTGCCAACTAATCGACCAGCTTACAAAAAAAAACCTGCGCGGTGACGGGAAACTCGATACTGCCGAATCTTGGTTGGAACGAAATTTTCGAGGCGCAAGCGTGGTGACATAAGACGGCCCTCACACATACACAGCCTTGGGGGGAAAACAGAATGGCGTAGATCCCTGGCGAATCGCAGAAGCTGTGTGATAGGATTTCATGAACCATATTTTGACCCCACGCGAGCACAATGGGGCCTTTTGGGCAAAGCTTGGTCCCATCGCTTCCGGCCTGACGGGCTGGTTTTCTAGTCAGCTGCTTCTGACTGGTGCTACACTACGGAATCCAGTGGCTGTCAACGAATCAACTTGTCACCATTAGGTGGGTTTTCTTTTTCAAGATCACATGTTCCTGACAGATAGTAAATTCCGTTTGCCATTATTTGAACCCACTGGAGCCATCGTCTTTGACAGCATTAGCCCATCGCCTTATAATAGTTCTGTGATTCTTCTCTAGCATAGGGGCCTACCTACTTGGCAGGTAGAAGGTCGTACATCGAGCTAGACGCGATTCATCAATGTGGCGGCAACTTCGAATGGCCAGCCAGTGGTGTATTCACTGTGATGTTGACCATTCCAACGTTAGGTCAAGCTTCCATGACTAGAACAAAATAGATTGTACGAATTTGGCTACGTATTGCATTATGAAAAAATGCAAGATGATCTTGCAGATGCCCTTTTGGTTGAGAAAAAGAAAAGGTACTCAACTCTAATGAACTATTGATAGGAGTAGGTAAGAAGATGCAATCACTTTATCCCAAAAAAAAAAAAAAAAAAAGGTAGCTACGTGTCGTGTAATGGAGAAAGGCAGAAGAAGTCTTCCGATCTTAGAGCTCATATGAAGAATTAATCATTCGTGGTCTGTGGTACTGTACTGCCAACTAAACAATAAGCCGGGTCTAAATGGTGACCGATCACCCCGCGTGGCTGATGCGCGCTAGAAGCTCCCTCCCGTCATCCATCTCGCTGGGACCCCACGTCACAGGGGCTGTCGCTACGAAACGTCAGCTGTGACAAGCGAAGCTCCAGGCTGAACTTTGGCACCAATCGCTCTTCTACTCAACAACAAAGAACAGCTCATCAACTTTTTCTCTGATGAGCTTGGTGATTTAGGCAGTACTATCGTGATTTCGCCTTTTTATCCCACTTAAAAGTCCTTATATTCACCCTTTTGAAAAGAGTCATTGGCGCTCTTGCTTGAAAGGACAGATTCATTGCGCTGGCTGAACTTTACTGCGTAAGTGCTTCATTGAGCCTTTATATCCCGAACCTTGAGGGTGCTGACTATATATCGTCCCATCCAGCATAGACAGCCGCAGACACGACTTCATCGATTAATTGTGTTCCTTTATTCCTTTGGCCCGCCCCTTGGCTGCTTTGTTCCAATCAACGACGCCTCCTGATCAACCCCAAGAAGCCGGGGCGCACTGAGCGTAACATCATCGACACACCCGCTCCGAACTGGATTGACCGAGCCAATTCATTACAAAAACAATGGACTCGAGAAACGCCTTGTTTGGTAGGGGCCCTCGCACCGGCTTGCCAGGAAGGCAGGTCCAGGGCGGTCCTCCGCCCTCTCGGGATTATGGCGGCCCTCCGTCAGGCTACAACACACCTCCTGCCTATGGCGCTCCTCCTAACACGAACCGAGCACCACAGGGACCACCCGGAGGTTATGGTGGCGGTGGTGGTGGGCGACCGGTGTCCCTCGGCATCGAGAAGTTTGCAGATAATAGATACATCTTCGGAAACCTGTCGGCCGTGTCACCGAGCGACTTTCAACCCCGCGATTCCGGACCCGATGTCTATGTTCTTCTCAAAGGACCGTCGTTGTCTGGTGAGTATGTAGTGACTGCCCGACCTCTGCAAGGCTTTCCCCCGGGAAAGATCAGTCTGGCGGAACACCAGCGATCGTGGTGCGGCATCTCAATGATGGATCAATTTACGGGCGAGGTGTACGATCCATTCTCAAGAGGCAAGAACGCATACCTCGGCACGCTAGACCTCGAGATTGCTTTTGCTCGATCGAAAATGACTGAGGAGCCATACGACCAGGACAAACTCGCCGAAGAGATCACGCGTTTGTTTGCAAACCAAATATTCTCGCCGGGGCAAAAGTTCTTGATGGAAGCCCAGAGTATTCCACTCATGTTCACAGTCAAGACAGTGCAGCTTGTCGATCTGAGCATGGAAAAGGGTGGTACTTCTGATGCACCCAGTTCGAGTGATCGTAACGACCGAGGCATACTGACCAACGTTACTACCATCAATTTCTTCAAAGACGCAAAGTCGCCGATCAAGCTCAAAGGCTCAGCTAGGCGACCGGCAACCAACGCCATTCTGCGCCCAGACTTCAAGTTCGAGAACATGGGAATTGGTGGTCTCGATGAAGAGTTTTCCACCATCTTCCGACGAGCCTTCTCGTCCCGACTACTGCCGAGCGGACTGGTTGACCAGATGGGCATTCCCCATGTGAAGGGTATGCTTCTTTACGGTCCTCCTGGAACTGGAAAGACTTTGATTGCCCGTCAGATCGGAAAGATGCTCAACGCGCGTGAGCCCAAGGTCATCAATGGTCCCGAGATCTTGAACAAATTTGTTGGTCAGTCAGAAGAGAATGTTCGAAAGATGTTTGCCGATGCCGAAAAGGAATACAAAGAAAAGGGCGAAGAAAGTGGCCTGCACATTATCATCTTTGATGAACTGGATGCTGTCTGCAAGCAGAGAGGCAGCGGTGCCGGTGGAGGTACTGGCGTCGGCGACAGCGTTGTGAACCAGCTTCTCACAAAGCTCGATGGTGTTGACCAACTCAACAACATATTGCTTATTGGTATGACAAACCGAAAGGATATGATTGATGACGCTCTGCTTCGTCCTGGTCGTCTAGAAGTCCACGTCGAGATTTCTCTTCCTGATGAGCACGGAAGACAGCAGATCTTCAAGATCCACACGTCCAAAATGAGGGAGCATGGCAGAATTGACGGCGATGTCAACCTTGCCGATCTGGCTGCACGGACAAAGAACTTCTCAGGAGCAGAGATCAACGGTCTTGTCAAGGCCGCATCCTCGTATGCTTTTACACGACAGGTCAAGATTGGAGATCTCTCCAACCCCTCCATCAACTACGATGACATCAAGGTCAACATGGAAGATTTCGTTCGGGCCTTGGACGATGTGAAGCCTGCATTCGGTGTGTCGGAAGAAGAATTAGCTGATGTTGCCAAGCATGGCATCATTCCCTTCAGTGCTCACATTGAGCGTATTCGTGGCGATGGACGAAACCATGCCAGTCAAGTATCGACGGACCCCAAGCAAAGATTGCTGTCCGTCCTCATTTACGGACCTCGAGGTTCTGGAAAGTCTGCCATGGCCGCAGATATTGCAATGAACTCGAACTTCCCATTTGCCAAGCTTGTAAGCGCCAGCAACATGCTTGAGATGGGCGAGCAGGCCAAGATTGGCTACCTCCGAAAAGTCTTCAACGACGCTTATAAATCGCCGATCAGCGTTGTCATCATCGATGGTCTTGAGCAAATCATTGAGTGGACACCTGTCGGCCCTCGGTTCCAGAACGGTGTCCAGGTCGCTATTGCATCGCTCATGCAGACGGAACCGCCGAAAGGCAGGCGGCTTCTCGTTCTCGCTACCACTTCTAGGCGCGAGATCTTTGGACAATTGGATGTGCTTGAGTTTGATCACGAATTGGCTGTCCCCGCTGTTCGCGATGTGCAAGAGTTGGGCGCAGTCTTGAGTTCTCAAGGTGTATCGGAACAAGATGTCAACGAGGCACTGTATGAGATTGAGACTGTAACCGGGGGTCAAAAGGTTGGTCTAGGTGTCAAGAGAGTTCTGGTTTCTGTCGGTGCTGCTTTCAACAAGGTACGCAACGGTGACAATCGGCCGGTTGGTCAAATCATTGCCGGCGAGCTGCTCCAAATGATGGGATCCGCCTAGAGAACTTCCCGCGATTTGTATTAGCATACATGGCACAATGATATAGAAAGACATGTTCATCTAAATACAAAGAAAGCAATTCATGTAAGACACGATGCCAAATATGCAAAATGAATGCTTTTCTAGTGCGCCATGCACAGCATGCGACACATCACAAAGGACAACAATCTGATATAGTACTGATCGTCGTATATCTTCAAAAAGTCAAAGATAATTTACTTCCAAGGAAGTCTGATATGCACTATGGATCGAAAGAGTGTCAGTTTGCCTGATTCATCATCCACCAGAAGAAAATGATAAATGTGGTCAGTTAATGCTATGTCTGTGCTTCAGCAACTCATCATCGACAGGATTGCAAGCGCCACGTCTCGGTACTATTTTTTTTTCTCTTTTCCTTTTTTACCCCATGGCTCATGGCCATATTAAGATATTCCTCCTGACTCGTGGTCTAGGTGCTATGACTCTGTGTTGAGCACTCTGAACCTGCATGTCATATGGCCGAGACGGACTCAGGGGGCGTCGGCACGTCTGCGCATACGGAAGGAAAGTATGGCTGGCAACTGCGGAAAGTTGGTGTGCGCATACGTGCGCTCACTGATCGCGTCCTCTTCGGTGAACGCAGGCTCTTCAAACGCATCCAGAACCAGCCCGGCGCGGAAAAAGGTCCCAAAGAGCTCCTGCATGGATCGATGGAAGATGACCTGAACCCCCGAATGTCAGTATCGCGTGCTTTACATTTAGGCATATTGATTTGTGCTGCGACCTTCTTGTTCCCCCCCCCCCCCCCCCCAACAACAACAATGTCAATCGCGATCACAGCGACGTACCTGTTCGGCTGGTTGCCCCCAGACTGCGACACCGCGATAGGGCGGAATGTGCAGATATTCCCGAATCACCTTGGCTCGATCGATCGGAGGCCGCTGCGTACTGCCCGGGTTATAGTCGACCACCTCGAGCAAACGCGTAGCCCGCGAGGTGAAGAAGACCGGGTGAAGGATCGTTGCTACAAAGCTGTGCACAAATTGATAATTCAGCGGGAGAGTCCCTTACCAATAATGACAGTGGTCTCTGAAAGAGGCCATGTCTTTTTTCTTTTTTCTTTCATGACCCTTTTTTGCAATGAAGGAAAGAAAAATCGAGTAATCAAGGATCAACTCACACTCCGTCGGCCTTCAAGAGTTTCGGGAGTGCGTTGGCAAGAGGTTCGATGGTTGCAATGTCCATGATTGCCATGTTGATCAGAATAATATCAAAGCCGTCAGACTAGATAATTTGACCTCATTCAACAAACGAGTTTGAATTTGCATATGTTATGGATTTTTACCTTGCTGGGGTCCTTGAGCACGTCCACAAGGGCGTCGTAACTGGTGACGTCCAGCTGCCTATAGTCAATGCGATCCTTTTCGGTGGCCGTCAGGGCCCGTTTCTGGGCCCGCTCAAGCTGGGCCGCCGCACCGTCCGTCGCGAGGACAGAGTCGCAGCCATTGTTGACGAGCCAGCGCGCCGTGAGCCCGTTGCCCGTCGCGAGATCCAGGGCGCGGCTGCGACGGTCGGGATGCACGTGAGAGGCCAGCATTCGCCGCAGTGAAGGCTCTTGTAGGCGCTTCCAGTATTTGTTCCCGTCACGACCGACGCCCTCGTCCCAAAAGGCAGAGTTAGTCTCCCAAGACGACAGTGACTCGGCATGGTAGTCCATGGTTGGATAAAATACTTGGGTTTCAGGATGCAGAGTTTGGGTGATTTAGTTTTGATGGCTGTTCTGATAGAGCAGGGGACTTATTTTTCTTCCTCTCACAAAAGTGTTGCAAGGTGGAAAAGAGAAATCATAAATCTCATCATATCAAACACATTTTGAAGGACTTATAAATTGAAGCCGTATTCATGTTTGAAGCTTGCGGGTACCGCTACCTTCGGTGTGGTGACTCACGCCGGATGGCTCCAATACTTTCTATGCTCGATCCTGATTGGCTGTCAACAGACACGATGCTATAGCCACTCAGTTGAGCTGCCAATGTAACACCACGGTAGAGCACACTGAAAAAAGAATAGGACAGAGTAACCAAGTCAAGAGCTCGGATAAATTCCCGTTCGATTATTCTGCATTAAAACTTGCGTCTTCGTAATCAAAACCGGTGTCCAAGAAGGGTATCACATCAAATTGACTCAGCTCCATTGGCAGCAGTCCATAGAACATATCTCCATCTGCCGATTCACCAAAATCCTGCTGTAGGCTTTGGGCATTGTCATAAGAGCCCGTGGCATGAGGAGTTGCAGTCTGCTCTGGCGGTGTGAGACCAGAGGTACTTTTCCAAAGACGGGTCCAGGTCTTGAAAGTGTCGTAATTCGTAGCCTCCTGGGCTACCTGACTAGGTGCGCCGGGAGAGGACCTTTGCCTCTGAACATTTTGGAGCCGAATAACGGCCCGCTCCAATGCCTCTATGATACTTACTTCGGATCTTGCCAACATGCAGCCAGTAGACATTGTCCTAATCAACTCAAGGCCCCGCGAGAGAGCTTCACGGATAGAGGGGCTCGGCTGTGCCAGGGTTTGTGCCAACAGGACCAGAACCGCCGTGAAGCAGCTCATGAACTCGGTCACATAGGACGCGCGCGCAAAGCCAACGTGGTCGCGCAGCATCTGACACAGGCTGATGATCTCCAGAGCACTGTCTACCGAGTCTTTCACAAGACCTGCGCGACCGATGAACTGTGCCGTCTCTGGTACGGACTCCGACGAGGCAGCGAGTGATGAAGACGCAAGCATAAATGGTTGGCCTAGAGACAGACGCGTATTCCAGTAGTATAGCCTCAAATGGATATGATTTCGAAGGCTTCGCAAGTCCATATGCTTGATCGAGGCTACCTCCCAATGCAATGGCTCCCTCCACTTGATAAGATCCTTTCGAATAGTGAGCAATTTGAAGAAGTGAGCCGAATCATTCGACTTTCGAAGCAATGCCGTTTGTTTAGATATGGTTTGTGTCATGAGCGTAAGATTGATGAGGCCGAGCTGATTTTCAAAGCTTGAAACCTCCTTTAGGGGATGTAGCTCCGGGATATCGACCGGTCTCTGGACAGTTACATCGAAGGGGTCCAGGAAATGAGGGCGCCCATACTTGATGCTTAGTTGCATCTGCAAGATGTAGATTGTCCACCAAACCCGCCTCTTAACTTCTGCCAAGGTCTTGCTTGGCTCTGCGTCGTAGTACTTCTGGTCATGCATTCCTTGCTCGACTCCAAGGCTGAGGGCATGGCTCAAATACGCATAAGACGTGCCGCTCGGATCCAACGAAAAGTTATACGTGGCCATCATGAGGAGTGCCTGCACAGACTGAAATGAGGGCGATACGATGATGTACGGAAGCAACTTGCGAGCCGCCCCGTGAAAGGTCTGGCCAATGTCGTCTTCTGAGAAGTGGCTTGGTTTCGGATGACCTTGAGTAGTATCTCTAGAAATGCTGGACGATTCCATATGTGCAAATTGAGTTCCGCACGCCATGACCATGAGTAAAATACAAACGGTCGGGCTGTCGTCAGGTCCATTATCCAGTGATCTAGAACAGCAGCGGTCCAGGGTTTCGTAGATCCATTTTTCCTCGACGTAGTATATGCTTGTCTGGATGTAGCGAAAGAAAACCTCAAGTAGAAACTTTGCAATGGGTTGAGGGGGTAAGCAACTGAGTGCATCATTCAAAGCGTCAAGTTGAAGCTGTGTATCCAGGGAGACATCAGTATTGGTAGCATATAGTTCTTTTTGGGTAACCTGAAGTATGGTGGTCAGTCTTATTGCTATATCAGGTCAAGAGAATGGTTACCTCGGATGAGTCTAGATTTGGGTCATCGTCGATGGCAGACCTGATCGTACACATGATGGCATGTAAAGACAGGTCTTGACAGCAGCCTTCTTATGATAATGAGTACCCGGTAATTACGTCAGAGCTCCTAGAGGGATGTCAAACATACCAGTCTCTTTGTTGTCCAGGCTGTGTGTTTGGGTCTTTGCCACTTGCACAGTTTCGGTAGATAATCCATCGATCATGACAGCTTGGTCCCGGCTTGAGCGGTTTAGTGGACCCTCTTCCGGTATTGATGCAGCAAGTTTGCGAAGTTCCTGGTCCGTCAATGGTTTTCCAGTAAAGTAATGTGCCAAGACTTTTTCCATGCAGTATAGCCTCTCTGCACTGCCCATTCTGTCTTGGGGGTTTTGTGATCTATGCCATGAAGATTAATTAGTACTAGGCATACTGGCCAGGAAGCATTGTGTGAAGACACTCTACCTTGGCGCAACCCCAGCACCGGTGCTTTGCTGCTGATGCTTCGGGATAGTCGATCCATCATGGGAATCGCGAATGGTCTCGTATTGACATCTCACACCCAGCCGAGCACACCGTCCACAACCGAGCTGGCCGTTGCACTTTTCTTTCTTTCTTCTACACTCATTACAACTAGGCTCAAGTCAGCATTGCAAGCTACTCTGTAAGGGCTCTAAAGGTTCTCTGGTGGGGCCCTACGCTCGTGCAGTACGTTTTCTTCTCTCTTCAGGTACTCTGGGACGGGGCTTCCGGCCACCTGGCTTTGGAGCACTACGGCTATGGAGCACAGGAGTTGGCGGAGCTTCCAGAATCTGTTGAGATAGGTGGACATTGGGCTGCTGAGCCGCCAAAGGCATGATTGCTGTGTTGCCGTTAATGTGACCAATTCACTGTACAAGGTACTGGTGATGAATCTCACATGCGAATAGACAGACACAGATCCGGCGGAAGCTGAGAACCGTGGTGGTCAATGGGCGGAACTGGGGCCATGCGGAGGGAGATGTGCTAAGCTACTGAGAGATCCAGATCTATTGGCTTGCTGCGCGGCGTTGTATCTTATCTTGACCCGATGCTAGATCCTAGCAACCTCCCTAGGAACGTACTAGGTAAGTACATGATGTGACTTGTCTGGTGTGTGTCTCCAACGCTAATTCAGTGCGCAGTCACAAGCGATAGTTGTGAACCAGATTTTGACATAGACTATAGTTGTAAAATGCCTCGCAGAAAATTGCTTGCGTCTACTAGGTATGCTATACAACTCGCCGATGACACGATCTAATATAGGGTAAGATAGTGGACTTAGGTAGGTAGCGATGTAGTACCAGCTAGCGCAATGATTTTAGTTGGTGTTAGTTGGCAGGTCAGAAGTGCGTGGTAGCTGAACAAATGAATGCTTAAAGACCCATATTCATATCACGCCTGCTTATAACTATTTTTTTTTATTGAAAACCCCCATTTTTTCTTTCTTTTCCTCTTTAGTATAGTCATATATAGTCGACTAAGCTATTGCTTGGAATTGAGAAATGGGAGAGTACTACCTCTTCCGAGTTCTATTATTTATACATGATTGTCATCTCCTCAGAGCGACTTTGTTCATCCGAGCGCAGGATTTATTTCATCAGATACTACGAGAAGTGACAATTAGAGCTTGGCAATTTTATCTAGTAACCCCCCACCAAACAGATTGGAATCATCTCTGCACAGCCGGCCTGCTCGGAAAACTCCAGTGACCTCCGTTTCCGGCCTCGAAAGGACCTTGATATCTTCGAGGGGGTTGGAATTGATCACAATAATGTCCGCCTGGAAGCCAACTTTGATTTGACCTACATCCTGCAGGCGCATCATTCTAGCAGCATTGACCGTTGCACTTTTTAGAATCTCGGCTGCGGGCAAGACCTGGGACCTAATCTCAAACTCCTGAGCTTGGTAATTTCCCAAGGGCCCCAAAAGATCTGATCCATAGCAGAGTGTCACTCCTTCCTCGTATGCAAGCTTCAGGGCATTGAGACCAGATTTCATGACCTTGATGTTCTTCTCACGGTTCTCCGGAGGAAGAAAGCTGAACAAGGACTCGTCCGCCATGGCGCGGAGTGCAATCAGCGTAGGCGTCAAGAATGCACCCTTTTCCGCCATCAATTTAGCAGAAGCTCGATCGATTAGGTTGCCGTGTTCGATGCCCAAGACGCCATTGCTCACTGCCCTGGTGATGGACTGAGGCGTGTACGCATGGCACGTCACGTAGGTGCCGGCATTCTCAGCAACAGAAACGTAGGCCTGGATCTCTTCGGGGGAGTATTGCTGATGCTCGAGCTTGTCCGTGGGGCTGGCGATGCCGCCGCCGCCCATGATTTTGAGGAAATCTGCACCGCACCGGATCTCATCTCTTGCTGCCCGCAAGCACTCGGGAACACCGTCGGCCACGCGGCCGAGGCCGTTGACAAATCCTGAAGCGCAATCTTTGTGATCGTGGGCGTTGCGAAAATCGCCGTGACCACCTGTCTGGCTTAGGGCGTGGCCGGCAATGTGAAGACGTGGCCCTGGAATCAGCCACTCGTCACAGGCTTCCTTCAGCGCCAACGGTGCACCACCGCAATCGCGCACAGTGGTAAATCCCCGGTACAGCATGTCCCGGCAGACGTATGCCATCCGAAACTTGACTTGGTCTTCCGGTGTTGCCATGGTCTGGCGAAGGTCGAGGTCTCCCGGTACGGCGTTGATGTGGACATGGCAGTCAATCAACCCTGGGCAGATGTATCGACCACCTATGTCAAAGCGTGTTGTCCCTTCAGGAGCCTCTATCTGTTGACCTTCGGTCGCAATGCTGGCAATGATGCCATTCGCAATGTGGACAGACCCAGATTCTATGATTGCTCCGTTGACTGTGTCAACAATCTTGGCATTCTCAAGAATCCAAGACGGTGCCTTGGTCGTAGGGAGCCAAGGCTTGGTGAACTTCTGGAATTCTTCGGGAGTCATTGTTCTTGGGGCACAATATTTGGCTTTCGACAACGATGGCTGATGTTTTTGCAGGATTGAGTGTACATTCTCTCAAATCAGTCACGTGGATCTTGACATTCCAAAATATAGTCTTTGCAAGATTTCTTAAAGGCAACCGTTTCGGAACCAGGCCAAAAAATGAACACTTTCCCGATGAGCGTCTTATCAAGAATGGGTCGTGTAAGGACTGTGATTGACTCGCCTGCCACCCCATATGGTTTGACCCGGGTACGCGTACCCGGTCTTGGCGCGCCGGATGCAACCCGCTACGCAACACGATCCGGAGCTACGCACCAGGCTGTGAATTGCGTTGTCGCTCCTCTGGTAGTGTTGTACGCGCAAAGCGATATCGTAGATAGGTGAAGATAGCATGGCTGAAATGAGTGGCTTGATTGCCAGTCCATGGGGTCCGGGATGTTGATAGAATTTATCGACTACAGCGATAACGATCAGAAGGCCAAGAAAGTATCCAGCCCCTATATAATGTACTTGGTGTATGCTTTCTAAAATGCTGGTATCATCACGAAACGGAAACTATAGAAGCCCAGGATTAGCTGTTGTGAATTGCATAAATCCCATCACATCAAGCTTTGTCCGCAGTAATGCTGAATCCAGAAAAGAACAAGACCGCTCTTGGTCCTACCAGCGTTGATGATTCTCTCGGTGTATGCAGCAATGACCTCGTTGGGTCAGGCGAGATGAGTGAAGTCGACGAAGCGATGAAGAGGAGAGTTCTTCGAAAGACGGATTTCATCATTCTTCCAATGGTAAACAGAAAAGTAAATCCGGAGTACAATGTGTATCGAATGCTAATTCAGGCCTTTTTGACAGATGTGTTTTGTGTTTTTCTTCCAGTGTAAGTAGAATCGCCCAGAAAAACCGAGGGGAACAAGGCATACTCGATACATGAGAAAGCTCGTGGTTGAGTATTTGCTAACAGTTTCATTTCTCAGATTTGGATAAACAAAGTCTCGCCTACGCCTCAGTCTACAGGTTGGTCACAGACTTGAATCTGGCTGGGACGCAGTATTCCTGGACGTCTGCCATGTTCTACGTTGGACAACTCGTCTCTGAATTCCCAATCATATATCTCATGTCCAGGCTCCCTCTCTCGAGATTTGTTGGTATCACCATGTATGTGCATGCAAACCAATGAAAACCATGTACAATGGAGATGCTGATTTGCTGGAACCACAGTGTCATCTGGAGTATCGCTTGCATGTGCCTCGCTGCTCCCAAAACCTACGGGCAATTCCTCGTGGCGCGATTCTTTCTAGGTGTGACCGAAGGTGCAGTCAGCCCTGCATTCATCACCATCACGAGTATATGGTACAAAAAGAGTGAGCACCCACTCAGAATAGGGTAAGTAGGCATTAAGAACGATCAAAACAGTCGTCCGACGAGAAGCTTACCCTTGTCATAGTTGTTGGATCACTTGCAACGGCCTCGCCTCGACATTAGGTGCACTCCTCATGTACGGAATTGGCGAAAATAATCACATTGCTTTAGCAAAGTGGAGGGTCCTCTTTCTCATCTGTGGAGGCCTTACCACGGCACTTGGTGTTGTCTTTTATTTTCTCATGCCCGACAATCCGCAGACGGCTTGGTTTCTGACGCCAGACGAGAGAGTTGCGGCCGCTGCCCGACTGGCCGAGGAACATGACGGCGGAGACAAGACCGACTTCTCCATGGCGCAATTGCGGGAAGCAATGGTGGACTTTAACTCGTACTCTGCGTTCCTCTTCGGTGTCTTGGTCACGGCTCCTGCCCCTGTCTTGACGGTTAGTTTCTCTAGTCCGCCATCATATATGTCCGTTTAGCATTCCACTACTAACCCGCACGCCATACCAGTTCGCATCGCTCATGATCAAGCGGCTAGGATACACGTCGGCACAAACGCTTATATATAATTCACCAGCCGGAGCTGTCCAGATCCTCGCAATCTGGGCTGGCGTGATTGCCTGCAAATTGTTTCCCAGGAACCGCTGCCTCGTGGTTGTGGGCTTGATCATGGTACCGATCGCTGGCTGTATCATGCTTTTGACTCTGCCATTCCAAGGCTGGCCCATCATTGTTGGGTCCTGGTTGGTAAGTACAAGCACTTGGCTTTGCTTTTAATTTTTCTCTTGGATTATCTCCTATCTCTCAGAAACGATTTTGCAAGATTGCAAAGAAATGGCCGGACATTCTGTGACTAACAGGCATGGTTTGATAAATAGGGAGGTACTGGATCTAGTATCTTTACTATCACGATGAGCCTCAACGCATCAAACGTCAAGGGTAACACGAAGAAATCCATCGTGAACACGCTATATTTTGTAGGATATTGCGCCGGCGGCATCGCGTTTCCCCAGCTTTGGAGCTCAGTGGACGCGCCGAGGTATACAAATGGTCTCATCTGCTCTCTGACAGCCTGGGGCCTCTTTGTTATCCTCATGTTTGTTTACTGGACTGTTGCAGCGCGTCGGAACAAAAGCAGAGAGAAGATGTGCGAAAATCATCAGGTGAACAACTACGAGTTTGGTGCAGATGTCACGGATTTGGAGGACAAGACCTTTCGGTACAGCACATAAGACGCAGAATTACATGGTTAGAGGAGAGTGCCTGGTACAGCAGAGCAATCTAATCTAATACCTGCTCCCGCTAACACATGAAAGCTGCATTGAGGCAAGGTGTCATTCTCTATCCACAGAGCAATATTTCCAATGCAGGCTCCATGATGAGATTTCTATTCATTAAAATGTATTTGGCAGTGGGACAACAAGAATACTCCTCGAGCAACGCATGTATCTAGTCATAGTATATAGGGTTATAAAATAGTGATGTAATCAAACAAATTAGAAGCTGAAATGCTTAGAAATTCTCATGGAGGTATTACGCGTCACTGATCAGTACTTGTGTCCCAGGCCATATAACAATGATTCTGTATTCTACACGTACTCATACGATGCCAACCTCCGTTTGATTGAATTCTGTGAGCGAGGTGCCTTCTCTTTCGGTGGCTCGCTCGATAGCGGCAACTGTCAACTGTGCAAATAATATGGCAGTCGCATGATCTGCATTGTCATATGCTCCAGAAGCATTCATAATGTTGATTGTCCCAATCGTCTTTCCGTCTCTCTTGACTGGGATGTTAAGAATGCTCTCCCATCCGTTCGCCCACAAGTCTTCGTATTCGGCAAAATACGCCTTGATGTCCTCGCGATTCGATCCGATCAATATTCGACCCTCATCCAAGACCGTCCGGGACCAGTGGCTGCTAGTCACTTGTTTATATCCACCAGGCCGATGCACATCGGGCCTGGAGCTGTACAGTCGCAGGAGAAGGCGCGAGTCGCAATTGTAGGACAGGACGGTGCATGAAGTGTGGGAAAAGGTCTTGTCGAGGGTATCCGATAGTGCGAGCCAGAATGATTCAGTTGATTCATTATCCTGCATCAGGGCGGCGAGACGTTGAACCGATTTTAGAGTACAGCTGTTCTGTGAACTGGAGGTCGCCATAGTAAACACTAGGTATGAACAAGCAGAAAATCACGGCGATTGTATAGCTGTCCCGTTGTACGAGCTGCCCACCAGTGATGATAATGACAATCTGCTTCTTATTTGATGGGAAACAATACTAACGGACCTACTCAGGTATGCTTGATGCCCCGTCACAGGCAACTGCTACATTTGCTCCATGCATGGCAGATGGAGCGACACTGGACAGATTCGACTGGGGCGGGTGCAGGCGCCCGGGTATAGGGGCAGTCCGCATGTGCGACAGCCAAGCGACCGCTAAGAGTGTGTACCTCAAGCGGTATCCGAGAGTGATCGCCGAATGTTGTGATAACATGTTTCACAGAGTCTGCCCTGGCCACCTTCGGCCTTGCACCGATACGGGATCTTGACATTTCAAATGCATGTGCCACTATCGCATGGTGACTCAGGTCCAGGGAGTCAATGGACTTGGAAAATGCTCCATCGCAGCACCGGACCGGCGCACCGGATAGTGGGACCACGCGAGTGTATAGCGAGTATACTCCCCCACAGCAGGCAGTGCCACAGCCGCACCGTGCTAACAGATAGCACAAACTTGTTTTAGTTGGATCACGGAACCGAGCCCGATATACGGGCTTGGATTCCGGCTCCTTCTCATTTGTTCCGTGTGACGGCATCATCTACATTATCTATTCTGCATGATCAATCATTGTCTATGTTACTCTGCAATCTTCTCCTTCTTTTGTACAGGTTCGCATAGACTATCGCCCACCAGTATTCACCATGGATCTATACGAATCTCTGAGCAATACCTCCTCGCTCAACCCGATACGATGCATCGACATGCACACGACGGGTGAAGCCACTCGCATCATTCTAAGCGGCTTCCCACAGCTCCAGGGGACACTGTTAGAGCAAAAGAGGGAGTATGCTGAGAAACATGATCAGTACCGAAGACTGACCATGCTGGAACCCCGGGGTCATGATGGAATGTATGGCGCCTTGATCGTGCGCAACTCTGAACTCATCTCGTCCGGCGAAGCGCACATTGCCGTGCTCTACCTCCACAACGAAGGCTACTCGACCATGTGCGGCCATGCTGCCATTGCTCTGGGTCGTTTCCTCGTCGACACCCATGACCTCAATGTGTTCCCTCTAAGAAACACACTGGAATTCGACCCCAAGACACACACAACCACTGTGAACCTGCACACGCCTTGCGGCATCAATCGTCTCAGGGTTCCCACAACGCCCGACGGCACCAAGTCGGATCCCTCGAGACCCGTGTCGATCCTGTCTGTGCCATCTTTTGCGGGAGCGTTGGACCTGGTTGTGGAGATTCCGGAATATCTCCGGTGGCCAGAGCTGGGTCAACGAACTTCAGTAACCGTTGACGTGACCTATGGTGGTGCGTGGTTCTGCATGGTGAGCGCCACCGAGCTGGGATTTGCCGGAGGCCTGGCCGACCGAGACATGGCAACATTCGACAGAGTGACCCGCATCGTCAAGGCGCAGATTGCGGAAACGGAGAACCTGGTTGAGCAGATTGCTCTGCCTTTGGATATCCCGTGGTACTTATACGGAGTCATGGTGGTGGATAGGGTAAACACCGCCCAAGTTGATGGAGTCGCCGCCACGGAGAGCGGGCTCTGCTTCTTTGCCGACCAGCAGATTGATAGATCGCCTACTGGAGGTTGTGTAGCCGCGCGAATGGCTTTGGCTCATGCCAAGGGCGAAAGCCAGCTATTTGAGAGGCACGCTTTCAACTCGTTTGTGTCGGCGGCTAGCAATGGGCGTGGTGCATTCATCGGATCGAATGTAGAGGAGGTGGCAATTGCAAGTGGCCATGGTCTATCCACGAAGGGGGTCGTAGTGCGGATTGAGGGAGAGGCCTTTTATACAGGCGCGGTAACGTTCCTTAAAGAGCCAGAGGACCCTATAAGGGACGGATTCTTGGTCAAGGGGCTGGAAGATGCTTGGGGTCGGAAGTAGTGATTTACGAAACACACCGTTTGGTTCAAAAGGCTTATATCATGCATCAATCTGAGCAAGAGCTCCAAATCAATCGTAGCTGATAGTGATAGCATCACTGCCCACACCTAGGTATGATTGACCTTTGATCTCTTGAGAAAGTATGGCCACATTGAGGTATGGGTGTGTCAGGCCTGTCCAGCGCAGACCAGATTGTTGGCTCTGCAAAACGGTAATTATGTACTAGTTGCTTTTCTTCATTCAATCCTGATACACAATCTCTCAACTTCATGGGTACTGGACAAGTCTCGCCAAGAGCTATGAGAATTGGAATACTTGCTCACGGCTTACTTATCCAAAAGTGGAGTTGGCAGAGCTGGTCGTGCACTTCAAAGAGCTATAGGCCCTTGCTAACCCCCACCCTCCCCAGCATCAACTAAACTTTGAGTATAACCGACCAGCTTGAGCGATCAATAAGGTACCAGAGCCATAAACAGTCTATCCGGGCGACACTAAATCATCTGTATTCTTGGGTAATTGCGCATTAAGTCTATCTATTATCAGTGCAGAGAAGCCAATGTTATTATCAAGTGCTGCAACATACTGGTATTGTGTTGGTATTTGGTCTGGTGGCTACTTGCCCTGACCCCACCTTTGCTGCCGCCGCAACGCAGAACCACACTTATAAGGCCAATCGAACACTAAGTCCTGTTGCTTTACTAACTCGGCCGAATCTACTTGACCTATGGCAACATCTTCATGTTCATCAATATAACTCATTTCGTAAGTGATCATCAACGACAATGTTATATTCAGATTCGAGTGGGAATCCATTAGTTCTTAATGTTGATATCTGCTCGCTCCCTGTTTTGCAACTGTAGTAGATCTAATTTCGTCCGAGTACTACGCGCTTGCTGAAGAGATTTGCAGATCTAATGAGGCCATTAACGCCGTCGCTCTAGGGACCTGATACCACCGTCTCAGTATATTGAAGGCCTTCTTTCTCAGCTTTGACGTGCTCGACAACCGTTGCACGCTTCTCTCTGTCGAACAAGTTGTCGACTTCCTCAAGAGCAAGGCCTCGTGTTTCCACCCAAGTTACCAAGACAAAGACCACCAATACCACATCAAAGCACGCGTTGACCATGTAAAATTGCCACCCGATGGCCTCCAGACCAAAGGGTACAGCCATTGCCGCCAAGATACCGCAGCACTTTGTAGTAAAAGTGTAGATACCCATACCTACGCCTCTAATGTCAAAAGAGAGGACTTCGGGGGGATACAAGACAGTCAGCGGTGTGATTCCCCAACCATAGACGGCATTGTACAAGAAAATAAGGGCAATGGTGCCATAAATTCCACCAGTGTCAGTCGATTCGCCATACAGTTTGGTCAGTCCACCAAACAGGAACAAGCAAGCGCTCTGCAAGGCCAGACTGATGGCGCACAACCATCTTCGGCCTAGCCAGTCGGCGTACCAGGATGAAATGATAGAAACAACTAGTGTCCAGGAGGCCAGGATGATATTGATCTGGAGTTGCGAACTTGCACTCTCAATGCCCGCGCCCGTAAGCATGTCGCCAAAGTAGAACTGGATGATGTTGGTTCCTGGGAGCATGACAATGATGGAAAATGTGGATGTCAGCATCAGACGCTTCCGGTTGGACTTCTTGGACAGCGCTTGGAACAGGGACAAGTTGCGGTCCTTCTCAAGGGCAATGGTATCGGCAATCTCCCGGTATTGGACCTGCGATTCGTCGGTATCACCGCCATTGACAATGTTGAGAATTTCCAGAGCCTCGTCGTGGCGATCGCGGCTAATGAGCCAGCGGGGAGATTCGGGGACGAATTGCAATATCAAAAAGCAGGCGAGACTTGGTACAACTTGGAGAAGACTGGGAATGCGCCAGGCATACGTAGAGTCAATGTTTTGGGTCTATATTTCGATATGGTCAGCGTGTTGCTCTATTCTTTCAGATGGTTTAGTTGAACTCACCCCGTAGCAGACACCAGCGGCGATCAAGGTGCCGACACCCCAGCAAGCGTAGTACATGCCAAGAGCCAGGCCTCGGTACTTGACGGGAGCAGTCTCGGCAACCAGGGTCGGGGCGGCTGTTTGAGCCAGCCCCATGCCTCCGCCGACGATGCATCGGCCAGCAATGAACATGCCAATGTTTTTCGAGAATCCTTGGATCAGACCCCCAATGAGGGTAAAGAGAGCCGACCAATACACGCATTCTCGCCGGCCTCGCCAGTCGACCAAGAGGCCGGCAAAGGGTGCAACAGCGGCACCACCGATGTAGGAGATGGCCGTGTTCAGGGACGTCGTGGCGGTAGTCAGGGTGAAGTAGCTCTTGTAGGTGGGCATGACATTGAGACTGCCCATAAGCGAACTGTCATAGCCGACGAGCTAGATGGCACCGAGACGCAATTGATCAGCAAAGGCTTCTCTGCCCAGAGAAGTCAAAACATACCACGGAATCGATTACTGAGACCAGTACCAAGCATACGATGAGCCATCTCTGGTCACGCGGTATAAGTCGCGATAGTTTCCGGGGCGCCATTTTCACTTCCCGGGTGATTCGAAAAATTGGTTACACACAGTTAAGTTTCCCTTTCAAGGAATGAGAGGTAGTTGGGGTTGGCATCTGCCAAAAGGCAACCAGCAGTGTGGATACTTATACCCGGTTGCCATGCTGAGTGCTTGTGCGACTCTTATCTCAAGAGGGTGGAGTCTTGAGCCGCTCGATGATAATCCAAAGTGAATGTTATCGGTGTAGAGATTACTGCCCAGTAGGGGTCAGGGCGCGGATTTGAACTATATTTGTAGGGAATCACTGGATATTCCCTTCCCCACGAATCCCCAACTTGGTGTTACTGGGGAGGATGATATCAAATCTATCCCCCACCATTAGATAAGCTGCCGCTTTCCCCGCCACTGAAACCAGCTGTAGGTGTTTTGGTAGGGATTAGCATATCTCGCCAAGATGGGCACGGAATCTTTGTCCGTCGGGATGCAGATTCACCACTGTACGACATTCCCCGCGCTCGAAAATCACCATGGATCCATCCAACCACCAACTCTACAATTCAATCACGTGGGGGAGGGGAAGTTTGTGTTACAAGTTCATCGTGATATATAGTAGGTACGTCAGATCCCAAATAACCAGCGATCGATTAATAGAACATAGCAATCACCCGTCAAACATGATTTCGGATTGAAACAGACCCTCAATATGTCGTCGCTTCCTCAAGACTATCTAGAACGCGTCTATGCCGGCGTTCTTGGCAAGCTCATTGGCGTATACCTGGGCCGGCCGTTTGAAAATTGGACATACCAAGAAATTCAAGCCAAACTGGGAGACATTGACTATTATGTGCACGACAAACTGAACGTGCCTCTGGTCGTCATCGATGACGATGTATCGGGCACCTTTGCGTTTGTCCGAGCATTGGAAGAGCACGGCGTGCGCGCAGAGCTCTCATCGGAAGAGGTTGGCAAGACCTGGTTAAATCAGGTCATCGAAGGTCGAAGCATCTTCTGGTGGGGTGGAAATGGCATCTCGACTGAGCATACTGCGTTTCTCAATCTAAAGCACGGAATTCGTGCCCCTGAGAGCGGTGCCGCCAGCACCAATGGGCGCACCATAGCGGAGCAGATTGGCGCCCAAATCTTCATTGACGGTTGGGCCATGGTGGCGCCGGGAAATCCAGATTTGGCATCACGGCTTGCGGAGGCGGCGGCTCGCGTGAGCCATGACGGCGAGGCGGTATACGCAGCCAAGCTGTGGGCAGCCATGGAGGCTGAAGCCTTTGTATCCAAGGACGTCGAACATCTCCTCGATGTCGGTCTGAAAAGTATACCTGACAACTCTCTCATTGCACGCATGATCGCCGACGTTCGGAAATGGGTGCAACAGGACGGAGACTGGAGACAGGCACGCCAACGGATCGAAGAAGGTTACGGCTATGACAAGTATTTGGGCATTTGCCATGTCATTCCTAACCACGCCATCATGATCATGGCTCTGCTCTATGGGGGTCACGACTTTCACAAAGCCATGCACATCATCAACACTTGTGGTTGGGATACGGACTGCAATTCTGGTAACATGGGGTGTCTGGTCGCTCTGATGCATGGCTTGGCTGCTTTTCAGGGCGGTCCGGACTGGCTTGGTCCCCTCGCCGATCGAGCCATCATCTCCAGCGCCGATGGTGGTTATTCCATCAATAATGCCGCTCGTATCAGCTACGATCTCGCCAATATCGGCCACCAACTAGCCGGACAACCGCAAATCCAACCGCCAAAGGCCGGCGCTCAGTTCCACTTCTCCCTTCCCGGTAGTGTCCAGGGTTTCCAAGGCACAGCACACCCGAATCTACTCCGCATCAACCAGACCCGAGACCCTGGAGTGGAGAGCCTTGGTATCTACCTAGAGGGCTTGACCGACACTAGCGACCCTGTAGAAGTCACAACTGCAACATTTACGCCACTCGACATATTGAAAGTAAATCGCCATTACGACATGATGGCTTCGCCTCTGATTTATCCCGGCCAGACAGTCAAAGCTGAGTTGCTTGCAGCTGATAGAAACACGGCAGCCTCAAGAGTTTGCCTGAGACTCAAGGCGTACAACGAAAATGATGAATTGACGGTTGTCGACAGTATTCCCGTGACTCTGGAGCCTGGGCAGCGAGCTAAGCTCGAGTGGACCATCCCTGATACTCTGCAAAATTGTCCAATTCAGCAAATCGGTCTGGCGATCCGCTCCAATGCAGCTTCTCCCGCTTTGACTGGTGCCGTGTTTCTTGACAGCCTAGGATGGAGCGGCACGCCTCACATGTGTTTGAAGCGGCCAACAAACAAGTCCCAAAGCTTATGGCGTAGGGCCTGGGTGAGTTCCATCCACAAGATGCACACGACCATGGGGCCGTCATTATTCCTCGCCCAAGACCGGGGGCAAGGCATCTTGAGCCAAGGAACGCGGGACTGGACCAACTACAAGGTCGTCGTGTCAAATTTTGTTGTCAATCATGGTGGACCGATGGGCGTGGCGGCTCGAGTTCAGGGCCTCAATCGATATTATGCACTCATGCTCACCAAAGATAAACGGGCTGTTTTGATCAAGGCCGCAGATGACAAGAGGTTGGAGCTCGCAAGCAAGCCGTTTGATTGGAAGCCCGATGTAAAGTATGATGTTAATCTGACCGTCCAAGGTAGCAAGATTCAGGCGCAGGTTGGAGGGGTGGATTTGTTGGCAGTGGACGAGGACTATACGGGTGGAGCGATTGGATTGGTTGTCACGGATGGCTCACTTTCTGCTGACAGTATTACTATTACTCCGTAAGATTTTAAATGTCATGAGTCATCCTGTAATTCTCGTATGCGTCGCGTTCAGTGTGTCTATAATACTCGTGATCCATAGGGTGGCAGCTCCACGCCTGGTACATACAGCCCTTGATTGGGGCTGGATATAATTGTGGAAACAGCTGCGCTATCAGATTGAAATATTTGCCGTCATTTCTTCGAAAATCCCCAAATCAGCGTCCAGGTGGCAAGGCCGCAGACTATCAGCAAAAGCGGCAACCCTAGTCTAAGCCCAGTACACAACCCTACTCTCAGCACCATGCTTTCATTGTCGCTTTTACTATCGTTCGCCTGGAATGCAGAACTTGTTGATGTACTTTCCGGTGCGCTCTTAGGGGCAGCCAAAGGTGCACCAAGAAGGATTAACCAAAACTCACCCCATTCTTCACAAAAGCTCCGGCGTGATCATCGAAACAATTAGGGCCTTGGTAATCGCAATGAAGGCTCACAATCGGGCATCGATTTAGTTTAGGGTAGTGGTCCCATGTGGTCTCGTCTACTAGTTTAATTATTGAGGAATATACGAGTGTTTAGACGCGGGTCATTACATTCAACTGCATTAAACCACAGCCTAGTAGTTGCATAGATCAGTCGCCACCAACAACCACGAATATAAACCTCCGCTGTTTGCTCATCTGTGAGACAGATAAGCACCCGAACTAAACTAGCACCACCTCTGTGGCTTGAACAGTCAATTAGGAGGTCCGACAGGTCATTGGTGTAAGCAATGAGACTAGCATGTCGAGACAAATTGATTTAAACAGCGTAAAGTGCACCTGGGTAAGTCGCCTCCTTAAAATCCAGGTAGGCCGAAAGGAAATATTGCAGAATAGATATTTTGACTTGCAAATGTAATTGATAAAATAATTTCTCTCTTAAATGGTTGTATAGAAATATCGTCCTGATAGCATTGTGAAAATATTTGGTAGGTATGGGTAATAGTTGTTGTATTAGTTGAGTTGCAGACATCTAACGGAGGTCGGATGGTCAAAGATATATACATGCGGAAGCGCTCCACTTATTCCTACATTTTGACAAATATTATCAAGATTCAAAGCAATTTGCGGCTCTGGTTTCTGGATATAATGGCACTAGCCTAGCTATCTTCGATAAGAGTACTTTTATTTCAAATTAAACATGCACTTTATTAATTTTCTGCATAAAGGGAGTTGAGCCATATCACGGTCGTGCCTCCACAATCAAGACTTGAATTTCACAACGTTTGGTTTTCTCTTATGTAGACACACGTTGTTATGCAAAAGTAATTGATAAATATTGTCCACCTATCAGAATTGCTATAGACTACTCTTATAACATCAAATATTTACAGAAAAGACTTAAGCCTTGACAAGAGTGAGGCCGTAGGACGAGAGGATCTCGTTGACGGGCTGGAAGTAGGTGGTACCGCCGCTGGAGCAGTCACCAGAGCCACCGGAAGTGACACCCTGGGCCTGAGCACCAGAGTAGAAGGAACCGCCAGAGTCACCGGGCTCAGCGCAGACGCTAGTACGGGTAAGGCCAGTGACACGTCCCTCGGAGTAGGTAACGGTGGCGCCGAGAGCGCCGACGGTACCGCAGTGGACACCGGTGGTGGAGCCGGAGCGGCAGATGCTGGCACCGACGGCGGAGGCGGTGCTGCCGGAAACGGGCAAGCTGCCGGATCCGTAGCCGTCAATGTAACCGCGGAGAGTGGTGCCGCTGACGGTCTTGACGTAGCTCATGTCGGCGCTGCCGGGGAAGACGGATCCCGAGAAGGTTCCGAGCGCGGCACCGGCGCTGGTGGTGGCAGAGTCACCGGAGGAACCGCAGTGACCAGCGGAAACGAATCCAGTGGTGACCGAGAAACCGATGGAGCATCGGGCAGCGCGGTTGATGTAGTAGGCATCGCCTCCCAGGACGGTGGCCAAGGTAGTGGGCATCTCATTGACAGTCACGACCTCGAACTCAGATGCGGCAAGGCCGACCTCGGTGGCGAGAGACTCGGCGTGGGAGATGCTGGCGGGGAGTGCCTCAAGGATGAGCTTGTTGGAGGCAACATCGACGTAGTAGGCAGCGATGCCCAAGTCAGCCGAGTCGGTGGCGAAGGTCTGGGCCTGCGAGATGTCCATGTTGTCAAGTGCCGACTTGGCCTCCTCAAGCTTGGTGAGGCTGGTGGCAACGATGGCCGGAGTGGCACCAGCGTTGGTGACCTCGGCGGCCAGGGATGCGTCAGTGATACCGACGTTGATCGTGGTTCCGTCCTCGGCAACCCAGGCGCCGGCGAACGAGTCACCAGCCAGGGTGCGGACCTGCTGGATGACCTCGGTGGCGGCGATCTCGCGGGCGACACGAGCAGTGGCCTGGTCGGCGTCCAGTCCCAAGTCGCGCTTCATGGCAGCCAGGATCTTCGGGTGAAGGCTGGACGAGGCCTGCGAGGGAGCGCCATAGGCGACGGGCAGGACGGCTGCCAAAAAGGCGAGGAACTGAGAGAGCTGCATGTCTAGCGGTCTGAGACAATAACGTGAGAGAAAGAGGCGTTGATGTTGAGGAAGCTAGATGCGAAGCAAGATGAGGCTGCGATGCTGCTACAAACTCCCAGACTGGATGACGGCGAACATGCTCATATATACTCATTCAAGATCCAGCATCGTGAATCGCATCATGCTCGTTTTGCCTCTATCCAAAATAGAGCTCTATACAATACTGTAACCCAGAAATGAGCCAATAGGACCCGTTACCTTATCTGGCCACGGATTTTTAAGCTTAACTGGCCGTCGCCAAATACCTCCTTCCCAATCCGGCCTGATCCACCTCGCAACTATCGTGACTTGTATCATACTTCTATAGATGTCCTCATTGCCCAGAACAGAGTCCTTTATCAGATGAGCCGTTGCCAAGAGCCTCCTTCTTAATTCGCCCCAGTCCTCGCCCTCAAGGTGACCCTACGATTCAACTATTTTCAAACTTGGCAAAGGGACGGTATCATCCCGGGCAGTGTTGTCTCTAGTCGGCAGATGGAACACCCAACGCCGTCGTCCCATGAGATGCATGTCTCCATTCGCTTATGCTCGCCGGTAAATTTGTTAACCAAGAGGTTTAACGAGAAACCTGCGACGTTCGCAGAGCGTGGGGGGGCCTTTTCTGGCACGATGACAGATTGAACGATATGCAACTGACATAATCTCACGTGCATTTTTGCCATCGGTGGCATATATTTGTGGCTTTGCACAAAACCTCGCAGTCCTCCGGTTCCCGGCAATAATTCTATGTGATCCGAGTTCTAGGCCTTTATGCCTTAACAGATTCCAATGTGAGTTAAGCTGCCAAGGTGTTCACTGTACACTACCAGCCTTGGCTTGTACATGGCTTGAAATGGAATATGAGTAGTGTTGCCAAGAAGTTCACTCTACCACTATAGGCCTTGGCTGCTACCTTGGTTGGAATGCAATGAGTTAAGGTTAATTTGCCGAGCCGCTCGCTCCACATTATAAGGCTTGGCTGCTACGGTAACTTGGGATGCAATACGAGTTTATGGTGAGGCTGCCAAGAGCTTCACTCTACACTAGAAGGCTTGGCTGCTACATGGCCCAAAATGGAAGGTCATAACCCGCGAATTAACATCTAGTGTGTGAGACTTTTGGAGATTCACTGATACCAGAGCTGCAACCAAGGCAAAACGCATGTATGTCGTGGTCAACCTCGCGAAATAGACGAACAAACTAGCATGACTATACTCCCGGGTTCTTAGATAAGCCCGAGTATACGTGCTGGATGGTCTCATCCGAATAGAATGCGCTAGCCAAGAATAACTGTACTATACAGAGATAATTCAGCGTGGTTCTGAGCTGATTCAAAAGTGTAGTTGTCAAAAGCGTATTGAATATTGTCCCTGTGGATCAGGAGAGTGCTTCGCTTAATCACCAAGGGGGTGCTTTTTAAAGTAGATGTAGGGCACCCGTCCTAAATATATCCATTCATTCTCATGCCGATAGTAGAATGCATTGCTCGGGACCTTATGATGATTCATGATCCCAATAATCCATGTCCCCACCAAAAGGGTTGGGGTATGGGATTCGCCACTTAATTCGCAATTGGCTTCATGATATATTTGTGGAAGAACTTGGTACGCGCTCGGATACAGATTGCCGTCAACAAGGGGGGATTTGGTATCGCAGTCACTGGAGATGGAGAGAACATGGCAAGACCTTCAGTCTCAACGGAACGGCCGGCAACGGCCGACATGGCAGCTCATTGCCAAGACTGTGATGCTATCAACATGTATTGACAGCTGCCCGTTGTAGCTGGCTCTGGCCATCAGGGTGTACTGGTTCTATTGTGTCAGCATGTTGGTAAGCAATTGCTCTTCGACACTTCCAAGACGCCGTCCGATGTGGGGCAGCGCCACTTGAATTTAAGCTTAAAGCGCAAAGATAAGCGAGTTCCGGGTGTCTACGGTAGCGACCTAGTAGTAGCCTGCAAACAACGGTACGTGCATAGCCGATTTCTAAGCCGGTTCCGCGGAACCAACTACGGAGTAGTTGTGCATTTACAAGGCCGGGACGGAGCTCCGTTGCTCGGCTGGCGCTTGTCATGACAGCATTCACTCTTTCCCGATTCCGTGGCTCTCTACCATTCATAGGACCCCACGCTGCGGCTTTACCGGACTGAATACGCGTTGTCCTTGCTTCGAGTGATGGAGCCGAAAACAATTCGCAAGGTAGCACACCCCACTGACAAAACCACTGTTTCCTTGGGCTCACACCACTGCCATACAGTCATGCGATCTCTGTTATCGCAAAAGAATCAAGTGCAATGGAGATCGTCCGCGATGCTCCAATTGCGTGATATACAAGAGCGACTGCACTCACGATGCTGCTAGTCGACCGAAGAATAAAACTAGGAAGGGTCACCGTCGAGACCAACAAGCGCAAAAGCGACGACCACACACTCGAGGCACGAATGAAATCAGCGTTGCCAATGGAAACCAAATTCAATCTGACATCTTTCTCGGGGAGAGCAGCACGGGGAGCATCGCAGCATCAGATCCGTCGTTTCTCCTAAACGACAGCCCCTTCGTGTCTACCAGCCCCAGATCAGTGCACGGTTCGTTCAACGCATCATCGATTCCGACCACCGTCTCTCTTTCGGAAGAGACAGTGCGCTCCATTGCCAATGTCTATCTATCCACATTAAACAACATGCTGCCACTCTTCCACCCTCGCCGCCTCCTGCAAATAATCAATAGCTGGTATCGTCAACCATCCGAACGAACTGCCTCTTCATGGGCGTGTATCAATCTCATCATTGCCTTGACTCAGTGCCACAGCTTTGGATATCTCGATCCAGTGCTACAAATACCCAGTGTCGGTCAATGCATCGAGAATGCACAGTCCGTCTTGACAGATATCCTCAAGGGGAATAACCTGGAGCTCGAACATGTACAAATCCTACTCGGTCTAGGTATGATCTTTCTTGGCAGACCAGAACCCGCTGCACCAATGGTCTTTGTCTCGGCTGCAATGAGGTTCGCCCAGGCTATGGGCATACACCGGAGGGACTACTATGATGGCATGGCCATTGCCCCTGAAGAAGCGACGCAACGAAGACGTGTCTTTTGGATCGCGTACATTCTAGACAGGGACGTTGCGTTGCGATTAAGACACGCACCGATCCTCCACGACGATGATATGGATATGGATCTACCACCAGAGACGATGCCACAGTCTGATGAGGACAAAACTGACCAAGCTGGCTTCATCAGCGTTAGTGATGATGGCGAGGGCCATGCATTGACGAGTTTCAACTTTTTCCGCGCACGGATCGAACTTGCACAAATTGAATCCCGAGTGTACGACTGTGTGTCCTCTGTGCGAGCAAGCCGCAGGGATCCCGGCGAGACGGCACAGTTGGCAGAGAGTATACGACTCTCCATCAGACAATGGAAAGCAAGGATACCGGGCCAGTTGATCAATCCAACCCCAATGTTGCCGCAGGCCGATGTGATGCACGCGACTTACCTACCACGCTTTCTTTGCACTCTTTCTGCCATAGTAGTGGCATGTCTCGGCCAGCTCTGTCGGGTCAATTCCATGGACTTTAGCTGGATCGATAAAGTCCTCACCTACGCTCACAGTAGTGACGCAGGGGCGGTGGGACATATACCTACCCCTCCATCCCAGCCTCCAGGTTGGAATGCACTGGTGAGAGAGTCCAGGGCATTCATGAAATTGTTTGGTAGTATCCCGCTTAAACATCCGATATTCATAGTCACGCAGCTAGGTGCCTTTGCATCTTCATTGCTTTGCCTATCTGTCGACTTATTTCTGAATTTTGACGATGGTCATTGTGTAGGTGATCAAATATTGAAGGCGGATGCCGCGTGTTTTCTGCGAGAATTGCCAGAGGAGAACAGTTGCTATGTTGTGGAAAAGGTCTTGGAGGCAAGCAGAGTCCTGGAAGTGTACTCTGAGTCTGAGTGGCAGCTGAGGCTCATGACGGCTGGACTGGCAGCATAAAAAGATAAGGAAAAAGGATTTAATGTATATAGAAATCGAACAATACGAATTGTACACCCTTATCTACCATTCTGGCAGTTTGCAATACATGAAAGCAAACTTTTGATACATTGCTGATCAAGACGATGAGACTGAGTATTCGAGCTTGGCGCCCTCCCATCCCTTTACTCGGGCCCTTTCCATCCACTGCGCAGAAGAAAATCCTCAAACGTACTAGCTCTAACGCCAAGAACCTCATACGAATCATCATCCTGCGGGTCCATGGCTCCAAAGCAGACCTTGTCCGTAGGCGTAACAGCGGCCCATTCCATCATCTGCTTTGCATCTTCCCTGAAGGCAGGCCCAACAAAAGGCGCCGTCATGTCCGCGAACTCGTCGGCTGTATTAGGAACGTGGACCGCGGGCTGACCAGTGACGCGGGTAAAAGTGGAAGCCATCTCATCAGCTGTGATGCGGGGGGAGAGGACGAGAAAGTTTCTGTCCTTGGTTCTGGGAACGCCAAGTTCAAAGACCTCTGATTGGGACATGAGTTTATACTCTGTAAATGGATTTGCATAGTATAAATGAGACCTACTGGCGGCAAAGATGCCCATGTCGTAGGTTGGGTCAGTCCATTGAGTGACTTGGCCTCCAGGAATCGGAGCAACGAAACACACCACACCATCCTCTGGAACAACGTGTCAGTCATATTTGCAAATATACATCCGCATCAACAAGCATGAAATTCAGCGGTCTTACCTCTTCGCTGGCTGTATTGCGGCCATGCTAGATTTGTGTAAAAATAACCTAAGTGGCTTTCGTCAGGTAAACTGTGAGATTATTCATGAAGAGCGTATTTCTCACCAGGTATGAGGCCAGTGTAGCCATCAAGCTCCTTTCTGGCAAGCTGCTCAATGGCATGCTTGTTGTTCATATGATGAATGCCTGGGTAACGGCCTCCTGTAGTCTTGACCATGTCGGGCAGAGTACTAAACACAAAGTGCTTGACGCCACATTCCTTGGCAGCATCCACCATGTTGCGACCAGCATCAATCTCATGCATCATCTCTTCCTCTTTCTCAAGCACCTTGAAAGGGTATACCTCGCTGGTCACGGCAAAGACACCATACGCCCCAGTAAAGGCCGATATGAGTGAAGCTCTGTCATATACATGACCAGAGACAAGGACAAGGCGGTCATCTGGGGTTTGATTGGCTGACAGAAAGGCCTGTGATTTGGCGGAAGAAGGATCGCGAGTAAGTGCGCGAACGCGCCATGATGCGGTTGTGGAGGTGAGGAGGGAACGGACGACACCACTGCCCTGATTGCCAGTAGCGCCCACTACCACAATTGTTCTTGACTGCTCAAGATGGGACATCATGTAGGAGTCTTATTATGGGTTTCATAAAAAGAGTATGATGAGTCGTTGATAGGAAGTGACAGGAGAACAAATTGATCATGATTTTGTAGACGGTATGTGGTTATATAGATTAGTAAACCATTCCAGTAGGATATTTTTCAATTTTCTGGTCTATTTTCAAATACATACAGTGCTGAAATTCCAGCAAGATTGTAGCATTGATGCAATGACTGAGAAATCCAAGTTCCGCGGAAGCATATACGATTAGTCAGGTGTAAACTCAAACGGGGACTAATTACACCGAAATTCTTGGATTCTTCAATCGTTAGAACCGTAGCAAAGGGATCATCCCCTGGCAAAGCGGGTATATAAACGCGTGTTTCCCGACTCATCTGGCGATTATTAATGGATCTATCCTCATCAAAAAAGTATCGTGATTTGAAACTCATCATGGCGCCGCCTGCCCTCCCCAACTTCGATTCGTTCACCGAATCCTGGCATAGCGAACCATATCCCTTCATCTCGCCAAAGAGACAGGAACTTTCAGCAGCAGGAAGAAACGTTGTCATCACAGGCGGAGGCACAGGAATTGGCAAGGCCATCGGTATTGCCTTTGCTCAAGCTGGCGCGCAGTCTGTAGCCATTATAGGCCGCAGACTCGACCGTCTCGAAATTGCAGCACGAGAAATCCAGGCTGCTGGTCATTCCACCCGTGTCTTGTTCGAAACGGGAGACGTGGAAAAACGCGAATCGATTGAGGCAGCGTTGGATAGCATCGTGGCCAAAGTCGGCAAGATTGACATTTTTGCCGCCAACGCTGGCATGCTGCCGACAGAGGGCCCGGTGTCCAACTATGATGAAGCAGAACTTCGACGATGCATCAAAACAAATATCTTGGGCGCTTTCAATTCAGTTCAAGCATTTATGCATTGCGCAGCCCCCGGGGCCAAGCTTTTCAATATAGGGAGCGGCATCGGGCATTTGGCACCTATGCCGGAGATTCCTGGTGTCTTTAGCTACGCGGCGTCAAAAGCGGCAGCCTTGAAGATATTTGAGTACTTCGCTTTTGAGAATCCGGGCTTTCACACTGTGAGCATCCAACCAGGAATTATTGCTACTGAAATCAACCCAAATATCACAGAAGGGGCCGATCAAGGTAATGTCAAAAACAGCTTCATGCGATTGGCTGTCACTGTGCTAACCGCTGCTATTTATAGTGGAACTGCCGGCTCACTTCTTGGTATGGCTTGCATCAAAAGAAGCCGAGTTCCTGAAGGACAAGTTTGTTTGGGCAAATTGGGATGCACAAGAGCTTTTGGCCCGGGCGGATGAAATTCAATCTTCAATGCTCTTGAGAGTGTCTTTGAACGGCATTGGCATGTAGTATTTAGATGTGATTATGTATCAGATGAACATGCTTATGAACCTTGAATAAGTGCTCATCTGCATTAGGCGCCAATTCCGCTAGAAGCGGTTATAGCTTAAGCCAGCACGGGTGGGCCGGCGAGATCTCCACGGAACCTATCGTTCAGCAGTGCTTGTTTAGCCCTCTCATCGTCGAATGGGATCGCACTGGCTCGGTCATAGATCAACGTTGCCCGAGTAAACATTACAAAGCTTTCATCCAGGTTGATTCCCAACTCGTCATTTTGCGAAATTAGGCCCAATTGCGCTATTCTAAACGAGCTGACAGCCAGATTATCGTCGCAGAGCCAAAACTTGAGAACTGCACTCAGAGTGGGGTTGTCCATGCCCCCATAATAGAGGCGCGCATCGAGGCCAGGCACTGAAGTATGAATGCTGGCGTTGTATATGGATCCATACGGGAGGCTGGCGAGCAAAGTCTGCATGATAGCGGCAGCGAATGTGGCATTGTCGAATGAGAATTGATTTGCATTTTCTGCATTGGCAAAAACGAAATAAAAGGCATTGAAGAGCTCCGACGATTCCGTGATCACACAAGAACTATTGACGGCCTGGAAATCTTCATAGGCATACATGCTGATGGAAGCTGAGAAATCGCTAAATGCATTTCCGTCCGGTCCAATGACATCTTGGGTGTAGTTGTTCGGTGGGGGCGTGAAGAATGCTTCTTGCGAGCGGCTGTACAGTTCCGTCACGTCGCTGTGACCAAAGTAACTGACTTGAGGGGTGTTAATGCCTTGTGCAGTGGTGTTGATGCCATAGGCCGAGTCAAAAGCATGGTCTTGGACGTAGGCAATGGGCTGGTCAATGCTGTCTGGGGCGTTCCAAGCTTTACGGCCATGCACTATTGTATGGTGATAGAGGTACTCTGCAGTGGTGAGCCCTGTACGACGACGGTTTGCGACAATCTGCTTGGGAAAGCTATTAGGCCATGTGGAGTTGTCGCTAGAAGTTGCTTGTGCGATGACGGGCGAAGAAGCCAGGGAGAAAAGGCAAAGAGTATGTAACTGCATCTTTGCAACAACGGACACTTTTGTTTGACCAGCTACAGAATGCACAAAAGAGGTTACATTCCAATATATACCTACACAGCACGCCCTGAGGCCGGAATCATGTGGGGGTGGGGGAACGGCCGACAAGGGGCATCCGTTTACAGATTTCGGCCGTCTATGAGGTGCTTCCAATTGGAACTCGAGGCCGAGATGCCATTAAGAAATAGTCAATCCTTGAATAGATTCACCCATGTCTAGCGTAATGTCAATTGTCCTTCCCGCATATTCCGTACCAGCACGGCAATTGCCCGTTGACTAAGCGGCGATCGACTTTACCTTCCGGATCTCGGCATAAGTCCTATCCAGGTTACCTAGTGTGCTCATCAGGAAATCGTCACGGCGCCTTCATTATGGAGCACTCACGAAGAATTTCGTACTACTATCCACAAACAGTGATACGACGTCTTGTGCAATGGGCGTGGCTGTACTTTATTTAGCCTCGTAATACAATTTGCATGCGCTGATGCCACTTTGGTGATAGGTGGGGGTTGTCGGAACTTGCCTGTGCTAATTTTTTTTTTTTTCGCTGTCTTCAAACTGCCTTTCAATCATGCGCAGCATTAACCTGTTTTCTGAGTTCACTCTTGCTATTGTCTGGCATTTCCGGATCACTAGCAATATCGAAACCACGTATCACCGAATTTGGCATGGCACTAGACGCAGGTCAATCCAGGTTCACCTACTGGCGCCTCTATTATGGAAACTTCAGACCAACACGCAGCCCAACTGGGTCAACAACTATTCCCTCTCCTTGGAGATCAGTGTGTCCCAATTTGGAGTTGTAAAGAGTCTGAATTTGTCTGACATCCCTTCTTATGTAGGGTACGATGGCAATGGGGCGGGGTAAAGCTCGGCAAGGCTGAGCAGCGAGAACAGGCTGTAGCTTGCAGACTGCACGTGAGCGCGACTCCAACTTCATCTGATGGTCAGCTTCATGATCTCAATCAATCACAGCCTCGCAACATCTTCTGCCTTAACCATTACCGAGTGTTGACAACAGTCACAGTAGTTTTCGTCAAACCTGCCAACTAGTACAAACCTCGCCCCTCATAGCAGGCGTGACAGTACGCTACTCTCTGAACTCCTGTCCAAGCTTGGTTAGTGGTAGAGCAGTCAAAATGCGTCTATAAACGCCCGAACAAAAGTCCTAGAAGAGTTCATGGATATCAATATACCTGCCTACGCCATCCTATCACATACCTGGGGTCCAGACAGTGAGGAGGTATCGTTTCAAGATGCCCAAGAATACGAGCGGATCCCACCTACAATGGGGCGGCGCAAATTCGACGGGAGCTGCGCTCAAGCTGTTAAGGATGGTCTAGACTACGTCTGGATCGATACGTGTTGTATCGATAAGACCAATTCTACAGAGCTCAGCGAGGCTATCAACTCAATGTTTCGATGGTACGCCGATGCGAGCATCTGCTACGCGTATCTCTCTGATGTGGACGGATATGTCGACCAGTGGGACACAGACTCCGCTTTCAGTCACAGCCGATGGTTCAGTCGTGGCTGGACGTTGCAGGAACTGATCGCTCCCAAGGTTTTGCGATTCTACCGCAATGATTGGGACTGTCTTGGTACCAAACGAGAGCTGTGCCCGGTGCTTGTCAGCACTACTGGCATTCCTAGACAGTTCCTTCTGGGAGTGATGGATCTAAATGAGGCAAGCGTGGCTCAACGAATGTCCTGGGCGGCCAAGAGGAGCACAAGGAGGAAAGAAGATCTGGCATATTGTCTTCTGGGATTGTTCGACATTAGCATGCCGATGATCTACGGCGACGGCGACCGTGCCTTTATACGTTTACAGGAAGAAATCATGCGACAAAATCGAGACGATTCCATATTGGCCTGGGGACTCCAACGCATTGCATTGAGCGACTGCCCTCGAGGCGCACTAGCAACCAGTCCGGCAGACTTCTCTTCGTCAGGCAGAATCGTGCCCAGTGAGCATGAGAATGAACTTTTAGACCCGGTTCATGTTGCTGGTGGTAGCCTACAACTCCATCGGTGCCTTCACGAGGACGAATCGGGCCATAGCTTCATTATTCTACACTGTCGTCTGAATGATGACCCTGACCGAGTCATTGCCATCCCAGTGACCAAGTCTGCCTCGCCCGGTCTGTCTGACAAATACGAGAGACTGTACGACCGCGATCTGAGCCTGCTTTCAGTCCCTGCTTCCAAAACACTGCCTAAAGTACTACGGCTGCTTACTACAGTTCACAGAGGCGGGGAAAGCTCAAATTCGCAGCTCACCTTCTACATTGACAATTCTGTCGAGAGGTTTGTCAAGGTGGCCGAGGTTGAACCTCGTGTATGGTGGGATGAAGAAAGGGACATGATTGTGCCAACCGTTCAAACAAATGGTAGTGACGTCAGAAAAGTCTGTATCCGACTGAAGCCCCTCAAGACAGAAGAATTCGACGTTTTAGTCATATTGGACCCCAAAAATCAAGACTCGCAACCCCGGGTAGAATGGCACGTCTTGATATGCTCCCAAGCCATTGAGCTAGATACGGTCCTACAGAACCTGGATTCGCTGAAGCCAGATGAATTTGGGAAACACGGCGCCAACAATGGCAGGCGTGGATTGCACGTTGGCATTCGCCCAGAGCTTGTCGGGAACCGCACCATGTTTGTTGTTCGCGTGGAGTCCACGAAGTGGAGCAAAGAAGACACAGTTGATATATCATATGCAATGGGACAGATAAGTATCATGAACGATCTGCTCCACGGTTTTCAAGACGAATACACAGCCACAAATGAGTACATGCATGTGCAGCAGCAGATTGATCAAGAAGAAGAAAAGTTGGAACCCATGCGTGTACGCATGACCGATCTTGATCGACAGATTCTCAAGCTACAGCAGGAGAAGGAACAACTCTCGAACTCTCTGCAACATGCATCGCTCCGCAGCACGATGCTTCGTAACGAACAGGACTCAAAATCAGATGAAATGCGCCGCTCATCTTCAATAACAAACACAACCCAAGGGCTTTTGGCTGAAGAATACAAGCACAAATTGGCGATGAAACTAGTCCACAATTGGCATTCGCTTTTCCCAAAACCATGGTATCACTCCAACGCAGAAACGATTCATACGCAAGATGCTTTGACATTGAACGAGCTGAGTGAATTTGAGCATATCTCCCACTCTCGGGGGCATGGCTTCGAAGTTCTGAGTTTCATATCTGTTAGGAAAGCTACTGTCGTCTGGCCAAAACTGGCGGATGAGCCATTGGATTTTTACGAGAGTCTACGAGATAGATACAGTCTTCAGTACGACGGGGTTGAGTACAAGTCATACGAGGATATTGCAAATTATCACCGTCTTCAGTACGAAAGGGCTGAGCGCGAGGTATGCGCAAGAGAATTAGCTGGTGAAAGGAGCTGAGTGAATTTGAGCATATCTCCCACTCTCGGGGGCATGGCTTCGAAGCTCTGAGGTTCATATCTGCTAGGAAAGCTACTGTCGTCTGGCCAAAACTGGCAGAGGAGCCATTGGATGCGTCGTCATAGGCGAGAGGCCTTGAAGACCCTCCTACGGTGCGAGAGGAAAACAAAAAATCGGCTGCTCCCTATATCAATGCAGACGACGTGGATGCCAGCGCTTTAGATACATCGCCGCCGCAAGTGGCAACTAACAAGCCACCTAGTCGATGGCAGCGTGGACCCGGGTACAACCGCTAGGGAGGGAAGTTAGCCGTCCACAGTGGGATGCCAGCGGCTGGCTCGATGAAACGGTGCAAGCCTTAGCCGTGATGAGCAACGCCGCTGGGCATGATTCCAGGATCCTCCACAATCTGATAGCCGGAGACAACGACACCGATGTAAACTATGCCCCGCTGACTATATATGCCCACTCCAAGCCATTCGAGGAGAACTCAAATATGCTGTACTCATACGCCAAAATTGCTTGTTCGTCAAACGAGTTCTTCATTCAGACGTCTAAAAAGACACAAAGTCACTGGTTGGACTTATTTACCAAAAGGATTCGAAGCATGGAGTTGACTCGAACTTTTGCTCTTGAATTCAACGCGCTTCTCGGCTATGGCCATAAGCCTTTGGACTGTCTCGTGTACATACCATTCACGCGTAGTGGGGATAGTGACCGCGAAAACTACTTGTTGCCAGATCGGTTGAGAATGCCTACCGATCGCGACGAAGTGTTCGACAATGACGCGTCCTACATATTCACGGAGGCTTTTTCTCATTTCACCTTGGAACGGTCTAGAGGCTCGCTCTTCGTTGACAAGATAATTGCACATGGCAACAACATACTTGCGGCTGAAATCTTGACTGATTCCTATGAGAGGTTCCAAGAGTATGGTACCAAACGTGCTCGGGATGGCTTGAAGGATTTCTCTACGCATGAATGCAACGACATCTGCCGTGAGCTTAGGATCCAAACCACTCAAGAGCAACTGGGCGCAGGTGAACTCCATTTCCGCGAAACATGGCTTGTAAGAAAGGAGACCACCTGCTGCTCAAACAAGCTGTGCCGCAAGATCTTATACCTAGGAAGATCTAACTAGTCCTACCGGTTCCCCGGGCACTGGTGCGATGGCTGCTAGCCGCAGCTTCGGGACTCCATGGCCACGTACAAGTGCGTGAAGGATGGATATCACTTCGATGAATCACAGTTCTTTTACGCATCTCAAGATATTTCCATGTCTTTAGAATGCCATGATCATCGAAATCGCTAGATGAGATGACTGGGAAGAATCTACCACCTAGTAGTTATCATAGCTAACACATCCTCTTCACAACATCACTTCCGTGCATTATGATCCAAAAGTATCTGGGAACTCCCCGATAAGTCTCATATCTTTGTGACTCACTCATTAAATTTGGTCTATCAAGCTGTGATATAGCCTGTAGTTACGGTTCTGTGACCTTGACCTTATAACGTCACATCATACCATATTTGACGCCCGTGCACTTTCTGCTTGGATTTGGTAAAGATAGGTGCGATACTAACACATGTCCATTTGCTACTTAGTTCTTCTTAAGGCAGTGAAGGAAAAGAAAAACTATTGATTAATGAACGAGACTTTTATCTACCTTGTATGCAGCTAATATAAGACCCAGAAGGCTTGGTATTAGTGCCTATGCTGCTCCTGAATAATCTGCCAGGGTCTAGTCCTCCAAATTAACACTGAATGTTAGGCGTCCTTTGTATACTGTATTCAATCTTTCGCTAGCTGCGAGTATGCCTAATGGCATGATAGTCGCGTGTATCCCTCCCTCATTTGCAGCGATAGCCAACGCGGTACCATAATATTGAAATGTTGCACTAATGTAGTCAGTACCTACCGCAGATCACCTGCTCTGGTATATTGGATAGCTGTTTAGGACTTCTCGTTGTTGATCTTAGATCAACTTAGATATCTTTCTATGCTCCTTCGATCACATCCTTCCCTTCACATATTGGCTCAGGTGAGGTAAGCTATTGAGTAATCTATAAAACGCTTAGACAGAGATGAATAGACCTAGGGGACCCAACTGTCTCCACGTTTCGTTTTCAGTGGTGCCCATCAAGGTGACCAAGGAGCATTCTTGAACCAATAAGAAATCTTTTTTACAGAAACTTCAAAGCACCTGGGAATAGCTCGGGCGGCTTCCGATAGGTGTATCCCACGTCCAAACATCTGCACCACTAGATCTCTCGTTATCTTGGTGCGTTGCCTTCTTTCTTGCCCGTTCTATATTGGTTGCGATGCATTTATAAGCCAAGCTGATTTCTTCTATTGCGTCTATCACAATCGCCCGACAATCATTCATAACGGTTATAAATAGTGTAGGGAACTTGGTTCCACTATCTTTCAGAGCAGTTGTAGTCTTGGCAAAGTCCTTTAAATACTGAGGCTGTAGAATGGTCTCACCATCCAGATGGATTTCACTTCGTACATGTTAGGTGCTAGGCACCACACTAGGTACTAGTACCTAATTTCCCCTGCAGCCACTGTAGCTTTCCGCCCTCTTCTCTTTATCACCTTTTGCTACACTTGCCACACATAGATTGATGATCATCAGAGCCTGATAATCCACAGTCTCGTGGCCGTAGCTAGTTGACATAATCATCTTCCATCAAAAACCTTCTTCTCCGTCGTTTTCCGTGAAGTACCAGTACAAATCAGCAAGGCTCTGGCCTTACAGTACAACAGGCGACGGCAAATAGATATATATTCAACGTGCCATCTCAAGAGAATACTTCCCTTCATACGATGGCCTGTAGATAACGCCTTCCGGCGTTCGGCTGACTAACAGTATACCAGTCTGTACTATCTACCTAGGTATCTAGATACCTTCATCGTACTAAACCGCAAATTCCAGTATTCTAACAAGTAGACAAATATAAAGCGATTATTTTACTACCAGTGTTTGCCACTAGATTTGGTGCAACAGAACGCACACAGGATTCTTAGATTTGAATTTCTCAGCGCCAGGCTTATATTCAATATCCATGCAGATTTCACGGCCTGTGTATGGTTAAGCATGCCGATAAATACATATACTAGCGAAATATACCAGATATGCTCATCTTTAGTTGGGAAGTTCTTAATAGACAGTTACGCACCTTACATTGAAGCGCTGCCGAGAAGCACGCATACGTAATACTATATCGATGCATGGGAATATGTATAACATCACTTAACTTATCTTCCAATTACGGTTTTTTATTGCTAAGTATACAAAATATGTAAACTATTCGTCGATCAAGGTGCCGCTGTTTAACTGGACTTCAAACAGACACAGCCTTATCGCGAAAAGAAAATACTACAATTTATGGAATTATATAAATTTACTATTAGCTAGAGTCGGAGATCTGAAGTCTTTTATGCGCTCTTTTCCTTTATAATTTGGGCGAAGTAAATGAATACCATTCCAACTAACAAACTGATACCCATGAATACTTGGGCACCGATGTAAGCGCCGTGCTGAGCCGCGATAATCGCGCTGGCAATTGGATTTCCAGTCAAAACGGCAAAGCTGATGACAGTAAAATTCATACCAATGCGGGCTCCTCGCGTGCTTAAATCTGTGGTTAAACTGGAAATGCCAGCAGGGAAGAGGCTGAGAATGCTTCCACCAATAATTCCATATAAAACTGTCCAGGCGTATAGTTGGCTCAATGTATGGACTGCAATCCAAGAAAAGACCATGACACTCGCTAGTAGGCAGGCCGGTATCAACATACCAAGGGGTCCTACTTTGTCAGCCAAGTAATTAGGTAGAGTTCGGCCAATGATGCCGACACCATTGAGGACCAAAAGAAGGTTCAACGATTCAACATAAGTTAGCCCGATAACATCTCGGCTAAATGAACCGAGAAAAAAATAACCGAAAAAGACAGCCCAAAAGTTCTGTGACAGATTAGACACATAATCGCTGGCAAAAAGTACGAGAATCAATAGGAAACCTACAAAAAACATTCCCACAGTGAAGAATGTATACTCCCGTTCTTTAAAAGAGGCCCAATCCACTAGATGGTAGGGGCTTTGTGGAGGTAGTCGTGACTTCATAAAGGCCATTATAACGGCCAGTGTTGCGAGTTGAACAAAACCAATGGCACGAAGCGTCCACGCAAATCCGATGGTCGGTATGAGTTGCCTAGCCATAGCAGGGAATATGAGCCCGCCCGTAACGGATCCACAAGTGGTAAGGCCAATCACCAACGAGCGTTTCCGCTCAAAATACGTCGAAACAACAGCAACAGCTGGGGTGACGAGAAAGCCGTTGCCAAGTCCGCAACATATCCCTTGAGAAAGGACTAATTGCCAGTATTGAGTAGCACATGAGGCCGTAAAGATACCCACGAGTATCAAGGTTGCACCGCAAACTAGCATGAGGCGCAGGTAACCAGCATCGGTGTAACGCCCGACCACGGCACCAATGAAAAAGCTCAGGAACACTTGGATTGAGCCAATCCATGAGACATCCGCAGCTGGGAGGTCTAAGACTGAGGTATAATAAGTTTGGAAGATCCCGAAGCTATTGATGAAGCCCCAAGTATTCATGAAAATGAAATGGCCACATAGGACTGTTGCATCTTTTAGTCGGAACACCTAGAGTGCACTTTTGTGATTGCTGCTTACCGCATAACCATGCCCTCCACCCTCCATCCGGTGGCGGATCTGTGGCTGCTCTAACCTTGACCTCACCATGGGCTGTAGCGGTGACATCCATCGGTATGTCGAAGTACGTTGTCGTTTCCTCTATGTGCACGAATATCTTCCACTGGCTTCCATTGCTTGATGTTCCAGACCCAAGTGATGTGTCAACTCCGTCGCAAGTCTGTGGCATTTTGTTCAGCGTATTTCTTGGTTATATGGGCTAGGGATAGTGCTACCGGAACTTTGAATCAGAATGGGAAACAGCTTTCTAATCTTGACCTGGAGTTCACGCAATAATCTCTTGTTTGGCGCGACGTCAATGAATAACAATCTGGACTCCCAGTAAGTACATGATGGATTTATGGTCATATAGGGTAGCCTCTCGCATCCATGTGAAGCAGTACGAGGTCTTACGAAACATACTCGGCAGCAGGTAGATGCCGCACTCTCTCTTCGGCCGGCCATGGGGTCCAATCGGAGGATTTCGGAGTCCCGCCGCTCGGAATGTTTGTGTTGTAATCTCCGAGTGCATGACTCGGTCTCGGCCACACTATATTCAAACTTCTTCTCGGGGTTTGTATCTGGATCCCTGCTCCTTTAGTGGATACTTTCTGTTTGTCATCTTTTGTGAAAACATAACGAAGCTGCAAAACATTAATTTCTTGGAGGGCATTGGAGTAGGAGATACTGTAATAGGTTGATAACAAGGAATCGATTTCACATCAGGACATGCTTCGCTATTGAGGCGTCTCCTACCTCCATAACTTTCTACACAGCTGCATGTTATCTTTCAGCAAACTTGATAGACCCGGTAACTAGCACCAAAGCAAATCAGAACGATACCAATACCTATGCTACAATCAAGAGACCACGCGCTAAAAGTTCGCTACTTGTCTTAAGCGTCCGACATATAGTGAGTTTAGCTTTACGTCAGAATAGATAGAAGTAAATGACAGAGTAATGTCGCAAAGTTCATGCCACTGAAGTTCGTGCATACTTGTCGGCGTGAGGATCTCAGTGTTGAAATAAAAGCCCAGCCACCTACGTTTCGGACTTCATGCTCTATGATTACCTAACACATACCTTTTACTTCTGCCATAGATACGCACAGATACTCAATCAAATAACCTGTTATTTTAACTCACCATAACCTCGTTCATCTCAACATTAAAAATAGGATTATTTCCCATTTGCAGGGCGCGTTATCGAACATAACACAGGATCGATATCACTGAACCCCCGAGAGTTACCACGTGTGGAAACAATTCTCGATACTTATTTGTCAAAAGAAGCTGATAGTGCAAGGACACAGAAGAATTCGCTTTGAAATTATGAAATATCCATTTACCGCAAGCTTCCAAGCATGTATAAACGAAAGGCGTCTGCTTAGGCGGGCTCACTGATCCAATGCCTTACCCACTTCTATCAACTTGGCGAAAAGTTGCTCAACTGTCTGTCGCGTTGTGGATCGAGTGCATGCCACTCGAAGAAACTCACCATTGACCTCGTCAGGTGCATGATCTATATACCATCCATGTTGAGCAAGTCTATCGTACAAAAAATGCGTACTTCGACTGTTCAGAGCCGCACGATCATTGAGTGAGTCGATTTGTTTCTGATGTTTCCAGTAGAAACATACTTGAGCAAAGACGTGGCGCTCAGTCAGGAGCTCGAAGTTGGAATGAGAGCTAAGGAGTCGAGCAAAGTGCTGCGCACAATCGACAGCCTGCTCAACCTCTCGACCAATCCCATTGGTACCATAATATTTCCAATGGAGAAACATTTTGGTTGCGTCTGATCATCGACAGCACTGCACTGTCAGTGAAGCAAGATCTCGAATTTCAGACACATTGGGAGCATCTTCCAGCTGAGCGGAATTCCTCCAGTCCTTCGAGTCATGCTTTTGATCCAGAGGTTGGATCTTTTCTGCCTTTGTATTGGCATGGTTTTCATGGAACAAGTATCCAGCCTTTAGTTTATTCGCAACCCAGAACGTGCGTAAATCTCTTGCTAACAGAAAGGCACAGAGCAAAGGCACCCCGGGCATCTTGTGCGGGTTGAAGGCGATGCTGTCCGCCAGCTCGCTTCCGCGAAGCATGTGTTTCAGCTTGTCAGAAAAGGCGACTGCTCCGCCCCAGCAGGCATCCACATGGAACCAAGCATTCGCCGCCCGGGCGATCGCACCAATTTTGTCGAGAGGATCAAACGCGCCGCTGACAGTAGTTCCGGAAATTGCAGCAATCATGTCGTACTGACGTAGTCAGTACCCACCGCAGATCACCTGCGTGTGTATATAGTCGCTCTTCAGCACCTCTCTTTTGTAGACTAGAGATCAACTCAGACAACTTTCAATGCTTCCTCGATCATCTCGTCTTCAGTTCCCCCTTCACACATCGGCTCAGGTGAGAAATCATCAATGGAATCTTGTCACTATCTACTGCAGCGCGAACCAGGTTCTCAAGGCTAAGCATGTCCATGATCTCATTGTCCACAGTTGGCACTCTGATAACAGAGTCTGACCCGAGCCCAACGATTTGGGCAGCATTCGATATCGAGTAATGTGCTGACTCTGACACGAAAATGGCGTACTTTTTGGATGCGCGTCCTTGGATTTTGACGTCTGGAGAAATAATGTTTCGGGCTACCAACATGGCAAGCATGCTGCCGGCAGCTCCACCTGGCACTGTGACACCTCCGGCGTATGGACCACGCAGGTCGAATAGCTTGGCCAGCTCGAGACTAACGTGTCTCTCCACGGTGGAGAGAGCAGGTGAAGTTCGCCACACATGGCCGTTGTTATTGAGAATGGACACATATAAATCCGCAGCAATGCCAGGCAGTGAAGGTCCCGATACCAGTTTTCCCAGAAAGCCACGAGATGATGTATTCACCGAATAGCTGCTTAGCAGATTGATAGCATCGGAGAACCCTTCGAGCCCGGTGCCTTCTGCAGGAAAGCTGGTCAAGATGTCTTCAATCTTGCTAGTAAGACTGGACAGTCTTTGTTGCTTTTCGTCCTGGTGCTCAACTGCAGTACCGGAATGCTGTATGGTTGCCCCCTCGACAGATCGCAACAGCTGATCATGTGTTAGCTTTGGCATATAGCTTTTAGGGATTTAGATGGGATAAAGACATTTGTAAGTTCTTATTCAGCCCCCTGACTACCAGCGTTGACACCGATCGCCATAATGCGAGGTTGGATTTATGGTGAATAGAATCTAGCGAGTTTGGAAAGGGAGATATCTGGATGCAGGGATCGCCCTTAGATCATCGAAGATCAAAGCGTGAAAAGCTTTAGGAGTGGTTCCAAAAACGAAGGACTATCTAATAATGCCTCGCAGCTTATATTTAAAGATCTTCCAAGATTATCGCGCGTAGCCCAAGAGATTTATAATTGAATCGTGATACCGTGAAGTTATCCAACAAGCCGGAGTTTAAACACCGGGTATCACATGCTAGTCGCCGGCCCGCGCAAAATTACAGTCATGTCGCTCGGACTGCGGAATCTAGGAGACTGTGTTTACGCCATCTCGGCATTTTGCTTATCTAAAAGGACTCCGAACTCACCGATGGTGGAATGATAGTCCGTCGTCTCGTCACAATACACCCCTATACTGCCCTCTGCCTTTTACCCTTCACTCTATTGCAAAACAACCCTGACATTAGCGTCTCGAATGTTGTACAGCAAATGGACGCCCTAGTCCTCGCAGGTCGTGAGTCTGGACATCCAGGGTAGCAACAGCGTAGCACCATCCTCCTAGTAACACGAGCCATACAGGCCAACACTCCTGATGAAGTCAAAGACCTCGCTGCCGCTGCCGGGATCCTTATAGCTGGCTGCGATTGAGAGGCAGTGCATCCTGATCAGAGGCTCAAAAAGCCTCGTCAGAATAGATATGAGGCTAGCATGTTTTCCCCGTACTGCCAAGTTCTTCTTGGCTCCATTACTAAACACATAATCCTACAAGTTAATAAAACCCGGCTTTGAAAAGATGGTAAATAGTAACATGAGGACTTACAGCCAGTCGACTATACGCTCAGCTTGTATTTTGAATTCTTGGGTCACGAGTTGAAGCGTGAGAATGTTCGTTAGTCGCAACAATAAACTCAACAACAATAACATGCAACGCAGCGTATCTGAAAACGTATATATCTGATGGTGAATATCTCCTTGCGCAGTCCATTAGCTAATTGCTGATAATTTGGTGGATCAGTCAGACAACTGTCGATGTTTACAGGATCCTCATAGCCGCCGAAAGCCCTAGATTTTGTCTTGATTAGTTTCTTTCTTTCCCTTTCTGTTTTAGCCATTGAATCAAACCAAGGAGACAAACTTCTCTTTCATGCCACTCACATTTTTGTGTAGCAGAGTCAGCTCGGTACTGTACGCGTCCGAGTTTGCCAACATCTTCGTCATGATGAGCATGATGCCCGTGACCTCTGTTGAATCGAAGAAGGTTTGCGTAAAGGTCGGCTGCAAAGGGATCATTTCCCACCAAAAGCCCATATAACTGCACAGGTCGAGCATCTGCCCTTGAAGCCATCGTTTTGGGTTCTGCAGGAATGTCGCCGAGGCTGGATTTGGTTTGTTCGCGACAGGGTCTTGACCTTTGGCCTTAGTATATGTCGAAAAAAAAGGTTTTTAACCTTTAATAAATCAGCAAACACTCTTGGGTGGAGGTGGAGAGCATGTCTCGCTTAATCCAGTAGATATAAATATATATATTCATTCTAAGCGACTTACTGTTTGCCATTCCTATAATTTGTTAGCATAATAGGGGACACGTCCATGTTATTCGTCTGGCCGAACCTACCAAGATATGCTCGGAAGCGAGATCTTCAGTCTTTCCGCTTGCAGGAGTCGGCTGCTGTCCGAAATCTAGTGAAGTTTACTTACTATACATGTATCTAATATACTGAGAAAATATAATAGGCGAGAAAGGAACAGGGGAAAAGGGAAGCATACCAAAAATCAGTGCACACTTTGGTTGGTCCGGTCGAAACCAAGGCTGTAATCCATCCAATAGTATAGACCATCACAAGCCGAATCGCCCACACCAACACCAAGGACCATTCTGTTAGGAAATTCCGCCCGTACTCCTATGACCAGTGCCGTCTTCAAGATTCAGATTACATTACTGTGATGCGCTAAACTCCTACTTTGACAGATGAGTGGAACCCGGCTTTAAACAATAACTGTGAAAAGTACATAAGTACTCCTGTTGTTTCCTCTCTCCCTCCCCATATCTCTCTCCGCGACTACTACAGAGGTAGCTTTTAGCTAGATGATGCTTACTGCATTGATGTATCGTAATAGACATGGTAGATTTTATCAGGCGGGTGACATTCCCGAACAAGAAAAAGAAAAAGGCAGCATACAATCTGAACTATATTGAGCGCGAAAAACAATGTAGATACTTTGAGAGCCAGGTCTTCCATCAAGCATGGCAGTTATGTTCATAGTGATCGATTTTAAGCTCATCTCATTATTCTTGTTCATCTGTATACCAATTACGTCTAGTTCTATGGTCGCTCCTCAGAGACAAAGATCCCCGTTGTCACGTTGTGATATTTCACCCCAACTTGCTTCCATAACTCCATTATGTCCGCTTCGGGTCCAAACGAGGGGTAGCTGTACCATGTTGCTAATGGTCCTGAGTCTTTGACCTGGTATCGGAAAGTATGAAAGGTCACATCTTTGGAATCCCACCCCCGGAAATCTAGTTCCATGAACTTTAATTGGGGCATTTGGAGTGCAGCCCGTGCAACAGAGCGGTAGAAATTGTTCATCATATCGGGCATGGCACGTCTCCGCAAACTGTTCACAGCTTCATAATCAGAGTCCTCAGAGTCTTCAGACTCGGAGTCGCCCTCGGACTCACTCTGCGATTCCGGCTCAGCGTAGTCAAACCGCCACCGCCCGTCTGGTGTGCTCAGCCTTAGTCGCATGTGCAGATGTGTAAGGAACGGCCAAGCTGGCCTATTGTCTGCATCAGTCGACTGTGTTGACCAAAACTCGTCACCGATAATGAACATGCTTAGAGTGAGATTCTTGGACCTCTGCGACAAACCACGCAGACTGACCGTCAAGGGATCATCTGTGCCCTGCGGTGTAAAAATTACCGGCTCTGCGGAATGGTTCTCGTGAAGTTTATTGTCAGTCTCTTGGTGGAGAATCAGCATGTCAGGCACAACCTCGAAATCTTGTACCACTTGCGCTAAATCTGTTGGGCGTGATCAGTCAATCTGCACTCTCAGTGACCAGGGCATAAAATTTCGTACCAGCTCGAATCCGATGTCTCCTGTCAGAATAGTCCCTTGGGTCATCCCACACATGGCCTGTAGCGGCCCGGACATTCCGTAGCCGGCCAAATAGAGCACATACAACAGCAGGCGCAAAATGACGTGCCCCCGAGGTATGTGGTTTGTCTATAACGTCAATGACAGACACTTCAGGCAGGCTCGCAAAGGTGTGTATATCTTTGAGCTCGAGGACAGAGTTTTCATAACGTTTTTCGTAAATCTGCTTCCACTTGGGCCGAGGCCAGAGCTGGCGTTGTCTCATTTCTTCTGGAGGGGCATAGTGCTCGTCGCTTGGGGACATGGCCACCAACCGAACGGTCAGTCTACGGTCCTTTGGCAGATCCTCCATCTTCCATTTTGCCATGTGTTCAATAAAGGCCTTGATTGTCGCCGTGGTGATGACGCTGTTGTCGAGCTGTTCCTCTGGCGTTTCCACTTGACCCCAGGCGGCATCGAAATAATGCGGGAGAATGACCTGTAGATGTATGCTTTGAACGTAGCCGCGACGGCGCGGCGACATGATGGTGTTGGCATCACTTAGCCGCTCGAGTGAAAGGAAGAGTATTGCAAAAGATTCGCGCTCGATGATATCCTGCCAGAATTTGCATACGCTCGCATACACGGGTGCATCCTTTGTTAATGCCCAGCGATGGTGAGAGATTTCACTACTACGATCCACGGTAACAACGGATCTGTGCTCGTGAATGAGAAGGTCGATTATTCTGCGCATCACTTCGGGAGGGAGGGTGGACGACATGGTGGCACAAAGGCGGATGCGAAACAAAATGTATCTTATTCAGATCGAATATGACGTGAAAGTGTGCGTTTCTGGAGATGGTGAAGTTGCGGTGACACCACTGGATTAACAGAAGGAAAAGATTCAAAGACCAGCGACGTACTAGAAAAGAAACAAGCTTGTATGTAGGTAGGTAGTAGTAATTTGTATTTTGAAGGTGGGATTCGGGCTTAATTATATACTAATGTAGTCCAATGGGGACTAAAAGAGCCTTTACAACTAGCACTTGAGCTAGGTAATGTAGATATTTACGGAGTATCAAAGCTTAATGACTACTAGGGACTAGGTGCCCTTAGGGTGGTGACACCCCCTGCAATGGGTCCGTTGTTGAACAAGATGTTGACTCTATCAAAACAGTCAGGTACAAGAGTCAATTCAGCGGGAAATTCAGATGCATATCCATGAATATTGGTGACTATGTAGTTGCTTACTTCTGAAAACGACAATAAAACGCTACAATGTAGATTATATTCAATGTTTTTACCAGCTGCTTTGCTAATGATGCCACCCCCGCAGCGCAGTGTCGGTTCAACGCAATGTTACCCCAAAAGTTAAAGCCGAAACACAGCCGCTCGGTAGTACTGTGATCGCTCTCACTCATCTGGGGCGATTAGTCAGAGTTCGGCTGCGGCAGTGAGTGAAATCAAATAGGTATGTATGTAATCTGATCAATCCGTCGTCTCCATGTGCATACTCACCTTTGTCAATTTCATCTGCTCGAGTTCCAAAGGTTGGCCAGAATGGATACCTTGGTCGACACGCTCCCCTTCTCTGATCGTCACGCTGTGTCCCGGCTCCATGTGATTGTTGTGGGCGCTGGTATCGCGGGATTGGTACTTGGTCTGGGTCTTTGTAAATTCGGTCATGAAGTCACAATCCTGGAGCAAGTCCGAGAAATCGCAGAGACCGGAGCTGGTATCCAAATTGCGCCCAACGCATCGCGGATTCTCAACAGGTTTGATATCCTAGAGGAGGTAATAAAATATGCCAATGTGATTGAAAGAAATTCAATAAGGTCAGTGTCACTTTCATGTTGCAGCCCACCCCTGTAGCATGTGTGTATTCTTGTGCTGAAATTGCTCCCAGACGATACGCGAATGACGACGAGTTGGGGTCGGTACCAATCATGCCCGCAGTCGGAAAAGAGTATGGTGCACCACTATTTGTGATCCACAGAGGAGATCTACAAAGGGTATTGCTAGATGCTGCAAAGCTTCGGGGTTGTCGTATCCTTACCTCTCACCGCGTCACTAGAATAGATGAGTCCTTCTCGGCACACGTCCAAGTCAACGACTCGGAGTGGCTTGAGGGTGACCTGGTCATAGCTGCCGACGGTATCAAGTCTGCTATCCGCAGTCAAATATCCGCAGCAGACAATTATGAGTCCCGGGCCATTCCAACTGGTGATGCGGCGTACAGATGTCTCATACCCCGGGAGACAATGACACAAGACCAACAAGCTATGGAGCTGCTCCAGCATAATGTGGCTCAAAAATGGATAGGCCCGGATGGCCACATCATGGCATATCCTGTCAAGTCCAATCAAGCATATAATGGTAAGTCACTCCGTTATTTGCTCAGTCGCGCACTGTTTAGTCAATGGAGTCAGACTAATTGATTGGCAAGTGGTATTCTTGCATCTTGCCGAAGATGAGACGTCCACCCAGGAAGGAAAGGAGACACCTTGGACGACTACGGGTGACAAGAAAGAAATGATGAGTTTCTACAAGTCGTGGTCTCCTCTTATCCAGAAACTCCTCAGCTATGTGCCAGAAGGCGAGATCAAGAAGTGGACATTGAACAGCCACCCGCCACTACCAAGTTGGGTCAAGGGAAGGATAGGTCTCATCGGGGACGCTTGTCGTAGGCCCTCAATGGCGTGACTATTCATACAGGACTATGTATCTAATCGGCCTGTCTAGATCCCATGTTACCCTACGTCGCGCAGGGCGCAGCGAATGCCATCGAAGATGCAGGAGTCATCGTTGCGGCTCTTACCTGTACTGACAATGTAGAAGTGGCGCTCCAAGTATATGAACTGGTTCGAAAAGATAGAGCTGAAAAAGTTCAAGCAAGCGCTGTGAGGAATAGAGAAAATCTTCACCTACAAGATGGTCCTCAACAAGAGAAGAGGGACGAGGCAATACGTAGTGCAAATCGAGGTGAAGGCCAAAACCCCGATTTGTTGGCGGACAAGGAATGGCAGAACTTTATGTGGGGAGTTGACGTGATGCGAGATACAATTGAGCAGTGGGATGAACTCGTGGTTAAAGCAAAAGAAGAAGATAATTCTCGTGCCGCCAATGCAGGAACATATCTAGGTTGGCAAAGCTGAGAGGGAAGTGGATGGACCAAGTGTATTGCGCACTTGTTCAATTCACGACGACGTCGAAGTCCTCAAAAGGATTTATTCAATGATCATTGAATACTATATGGGAAATTCTTCGATCAAGTGGCTGCGACCAGAAGGAAGAAGAAAAGTCGAAGGACGCTTGGCTGGCCGTCAGGCGAGCTTTCAACACTAGATAGATGGACGGGCTGTACTAGAACAAGCTTATCTATTTTTATCCATCAACACGGGATAATCCGTCAAGCCTCATGGAACATGCCATGTGGTATAGGGTATAGCTCGACTTTAAGAACAAGTGCAAATGAATTGAAACTTGAGGAAAGCTAATTATTAGCCACAAGAAGTCTCAGCCTCACCAGCCTCTTCGAATCAGGTGCCAGCTCATCGATGATTGGCAAAGTCTATTTCAGCTCTTCAGGTGCCGAATCCCATTTCTCATCGCCCGATCAAATGGTATCCATTCTCATTTATAGAAACGATGTGGTCGTTGGCGGTCAACAATATTTCCACTACAGTTGATATCATCGTTTCATATGAGTGGCCGCAGAAAGCTTACAAGTTTTGCTACCTTGCCGTCTTTAGCCAATGCGCGACGTCTCGATTCTTGAAGAATTCGCGCCCAATCGTCAGACGGGCACAGAAGCATCAACCTTTTCACTTTGAACCAGCCACATGTGCAAATCCTTTGTGCTGGTGCTAAGTTTCGCCAGCCTCACCGAGTCAAAGTCTTGTCCATACGCATGTGACGAATTTGTACCAGAAGATTTCTGAATATGTATATAACTATCTCGTCGCATCACATTCCCTTCATTTCCAAAATCAATTTGATATACTTTATCTGTTCATCACGTCATTTTACATCCGATAAGTCCTGTGCTGAAGAGTCTACTCAGGTACCCGACTAAATCTATCTCAGCATGCCTGCAAAAAGTTTTACTCCGAGCCCAGACGAGTGGATCAAGCTCTATACTCTCTCCCTCTTCTCTAACGCCGTTGCCAACCGTCAGGGAACAGAAGCCGCTTTGCAGCAATGCATGGAAGACATATTGCCGAGTGAGATAGAAAACCTCGACAATAGCTGGGCATTATCCTGGGGTCCCCGCGTCTACAAAAAGAACAAGCTGGATATTCACAACGGCCCAGACAATGTGTGGTATGCCGCTGTCAATGAGAGCGAAAAAGTCGTCGTCGTGGCCGTTGCGGGCACCTCGACCAAGTCACTGCAGGGCTGGGTCATAATTGATTTCAACGTGGCCCAGACGGTGGACTTTGAGGAATGGACCGGGACTTGGACCTCTGACGAGATTCCCAAGCCCACACACAGTCGTCCCGAGGCGGAGCCTGCCGCTCGAGCTGCCATGGGAACGTGTGTGGGTGTCTGGAACGTGGTCAGCCATACCTCGAGCGCGACTGCGCCTGGCACCACCATTGGCCAGTACTTGGAAACTATGAAGGATTATACCGTTATCTTCACCGGGCACAGCATGGGTGGTGCCGTTGCCCCTCTCACTGCTCTAGCACTGCGCCAGTCACAGATTGTGCCAACCAACAGCACCTGGTATATTCTCCCTTCTGCCGGAGCCACGCCTGGAAACCAAGAACTAATCGACATGATGACCGCCCAATTTCCACCCGGCCCTTTACCCAGTCCACCAACAAAACAATACGCCGTCTTTAATAGAGACTTGTACAATACCCTCGACGTGGTCCCGCAGGCCTGGTCTCTGGACCCGTCGTCTGACCGCAACGTGAACAAGATCAATCAGATTTACGCCGGGATCGGGGAACTCGCAGCCGGCGATGTCAAGCGGTTGGTCAATGATCTGGCGGTGCTGTCTCGCGTGTCCGGCATCAAGTACGTGCCCATCGCGGGCGTACCCTTTACCCAGGATCCCTTTGACGCAGGATCTATCGAGACTCTTGACGACGTAGCCAGACAGGCCGTGACTGAGCATGTCAAGGCATATCTGGATTACTTTGGCAACACGGATGCAATAACCAGGTTCTCTGACAGACTTCGAGCGCATCCTGGGGTCAAAGGTGCTGTGCTTCAGATGGCATCGTCCGCGCAAGCGGGAGAGATGAGCGACGGCAAGGTCAAGTTGGGACAGGAAGCGGCTGTGCATTCTCATAGTATTGGGATAGGCTCAAATGTCATTTGATATCCCATGCTACCAGTGTATCGACTGCTGTGCAATTACAAGAAATCTACATGGTTGACTCTAGGTAGGCTATTGCAAGAGCACGAATGAAGAGTCCCATGATCAAGCCGTCGGCTTTCGTCCATATACAACATAACTATAATATGCCATGTCAGTCACCAGGATCTAATTATGTACTGTAAACAATCGCTCTTGACTCACAAGGGCCAGTATCCATGAATACTTTCATCCATAAACTCTTCCTTGCACTGCTGCACACGAACCTCAATCTCGGGCGGCGATAGTCCTTTGCCTTGCAGCATCTTGTACACCAAACCCTGTGCATTGTCTAAGAGCACACGCTGCATGTAACGGCCAGACTTCTTGATGCGCGGATTCTCGTGCCAGCCGTTCATGGGCCATGGAAGTTTGTATTCCTCGACATTGATGACTTGAATTGTCAAAAGACCACCGCGTCAGCTAGTTCAAACACTAATTCGGGGAGTGTTCCATGCGCGATCGGAGCCTCGGTTTTACAGCTAAGGGAAATTCGGACTTACATCCTGCCTCAATGAGCCACTGCTTATAGCTCTGGGCCACCAGTATATTTCTCCCCATGGCTGCGGCTCCCTCGACAGCCATCTGCCAGGTGCGCTCAGCTACAGTCCCCCCGGCGCCGAGGAGGAGCGGGCCAGCATCATGGAACTCGATCCATCCACCTGGCGCCAGGCTCTCGTATGCCTGCTGAATGACGGACTGTGGTTGATCAAAGCACGTCGTAACCAGGCGGAAATGTATGTAGCTTTCGAGCAAGACACGAATCAGCTCTCATGGCCAAGGGGACTTGATTTCGTCACCCAGTCGATACTCACTCGAAATGATTCTTTGGATGCAGCCATGGCTCCTCGGCATCCTCCTGAACAAAGTGGCAGTTCTCGGGCCTACTATCATCGGGCTGGATGCGGGACAGATCCGTGCCCAGCACATTGGCAGTCGGGTACAGGCGCGCAAAGTCCATAGCCCACAGACCCGTCCCCGTCGCCACGTCCAAGACGTTGCGCGGCGGGCTCTCAAAGGGCACCCAGGACAACATGTCTCCCAATAACGTGGTCAAGCCAGCGTGCTGAAAGTCCAAACGATCTTGCTCAATCTATGTGGGTACATGGTGAGCCATCATATAGGTAATTTGGCATCTATTGACGGCTTATACGTGGGAAACGGTGAATCCATGGCAAACATACAGGATCATTGGGCAGAAAGTACTTTCCTTCGCGATATCCTTGGTATGTGCGCCCATTCAGATCATGAATGGAGCCTGCTTCCAAAATTGAAGTTCCGGTCGACTCGTGCGTGTCGCGCTCCGTATTCATCAGGAGATTGTTTGGCAAAAAGTTCTCGTCCAATTGTCCAGCTTGATTACCGTGCAGGACCCCATCTTGCTGTGTGTTCTGCTGGTTGTATAGTGGCGCCGCCATTGCGTCTTCTGATGATATGAAGCGAGAAGAGACTCTACTTCATGTAACCTTCAAGAATTCTAAATCTGTGAATCGAGGAGAGTCAGAAATTCATTGGGCCGAGACGTACAGAGTGACGCGGTTGCTGCGGCAGTAATTCCAAGGGAATAAGATGGAGATGGATCCGCTTCTGCATCCGAGACCCATCTGGACTCATCTTGTTCCTTGAACGTCCCGGCCAAGGACAATGCAGGGACAAGGCCACTGGTCGAGTAATGGTGCTCATACTGATACGTAGACATGATCCCAGTTTGTGCAGACAGCATCGGGGCTCAGAGCCAACTCGGTAAGCGTACCCAGACTGTCGGTTCCTCGTCTGGTTTCCGCCTACGACACCACTCTCTACATCCAAAGTCGAATGTCCTTCGGAGGTAAGTTTAGGCGGAATGAATTCATGCATCTCATCCCTGGACAAACCTAGCACGACAAGTCTAGGCTCGCAACAAGAAATATTGTAGATCTTTTGTTTATTCTCTCGTTTTATAGTCTACCAATCACAAACATTCGTGCATAATTCATTCCACGTTCTCAAAAGCAAAGTTTGGCGCACCGGGCACAGCACTTTCAGCCTGTGGCGGCAGGCCCTCTCTTTCACCCTCACCATCACCAGCAACAATCTTGCCCTTCTTGCCACCCTCTTCCACTAGGATGACCTCGATGCTCTTGAGGCCGGCAGTCTTCTTGAGAGCCGGAATCATGGCCTTGAGAATGTGTAGCTCATCAAAGGCTAGCTTACGATCGAGGACCTTGTCTGCAGGCTCGCCGACTTGAAGACGTCGCTTGAGGTTTTGCACAAACGGCATTGCCTTCTTCATCTCGCCCATCTTACCAACCTTGCCGCTCAATCCCTTCTCGTCCTTGAAGGTCTTGCTAGCAGGATCCCACTCCTCCTTCAAGAGGTCAATGTACTTCTCCTGCCAGGCAGGGAAGCGGTCGGTCACGAAGATGGAGAGCTTCTTAGGCTTCTTGGGGTCGAATGCCGTCTCCTTGCCCTTGGCCTTCTTCTTGAGCTGAGTTTGTTCGGCCGAGTTGACGTTTGATGAAGTAGCGCGGACATATTCGCGTGCGGCCGAAAGACCGGCGTCCGTGGCGGGAACAGTGGGGAATAGAGCATTCTGGACGGTCTCGGGCTTCTTGAGAACCTCGAGCCAAATGTATTCTGACCAGTGCGGTGCTACCACGGTCAACAGGAGAGCCTGGAGCTCAATGTAGCGAAGAGCGAGGTCTTTGTGCAGCTTGATACCCGCGGAGTTGCAAGCCTCACGGTAAAAGTCACGGGCATTTGTAAAGTCATACAGACCAGCCTTGAGAGCAAGCTTGTAATCAGTGTTCTCGTAGTGCTTCTGCGCCTCGGCGACGAGAGCGTTGATTTCGTTGTTGAACAGGGCATCTTGGAACGAGTTGAGCTCGCCAGTTCGGAGCTGGTCCTGGTCTTTGACAATTTCCTCACACCATTCCTTGAGGTTGAACAGACGCAGGACATTGTTGTCAGCGACATCCTCCTCAAGGTTTGCGTCGGTAACACCATCACCGGCATCGGCAAGAGCGATACGTGTCGCATCAGCACCATACTTCTTGAGCATATCGTCCAAGGTCATAAAGTTACCGGTCGATTTGCTCATCTTCTCTCCATTCAGGGTCAAGTGACCGTTGGCTCTGACGCCCTTGGGCCAGTACTCTGGCGGGAAGATTGCAAGGTGGATGTAGAGGAAGAAAGTCAGGTGGTTGGGGATCAGATCCTTTCCAGAGACTCGGAGGTCCATCGGGTAGAAGTACTCAAACTCACGACGCATGGCCTCAAGGGTCTCCTTGGGGATCCCGGAGCCGGTAAGAACGTCGTCACCAAGCTCCCTTCTGCAGAAAATGTAGTCCCAAACTTCATCGCTCATCTGCTCGGCGCCAATGCTGCCAGTGCCCTTCTCGCGTCCAAAGATGTCCTTGTGGAGAATGTGCGCAACAGTGTAGTAGGCCATGTAGATGGTGCTGTCACTCAAACTCTCAACCAAGAATTGAGGGTCCCACGGGAGCTTCGAACCAAGACCATAGGTTCGGGCACATGCCCATTGGTTAAGCCAGTTGAGGACACCCTCGAACTGGTTCTTTGTCTCGCCAGTGTAGGTGTTGAGACCCTTGCCGTCAGTGTTGGCAACCCACTCAAGGGCAGTCTTCTTCCATGACTCCTCACCATAGTCGAGGTACCATTGGTCCATAAGCGCCACAATGCAGTCGTCGCCTGATCGACTGACGACCTTGCGCTCGGGCTCCGAGTAGGCAAAGGCCTCTCTGGCATCGATCAGCTGTTGCCTGACCTTGGGCTTGGCCGACTCGACCTTTTCTCCCTTGAACTCGCCCACCTTCAGGGTACCTTGGTAGAAACCCTCCTTGTATGCGAGCTCCTTGGCCTCCTCCAGCTGCTTGGTATCCTTGGGCGAAGCAATCTTCATCTGCTTGACCAAGGTAGGAGCGCAAAGGTCTCCGTATGTTGGTGTGTCAATGATGGGGAAGATCTCAAATTCAGCCCACTCCTTCTGAATTCCATAGTAATCGGCCTTCTTGGCAAGGTCGGTCACGGTTGCAAAGTCATCGGGACTGTCAGAAGGCACCGACGTGACAACACCGGTTCCCTTGGTAGGGAGCACAGTCTCCATGGGGAGGACGCGAACACCCTCCTTGTGAAGAGAGAGGGGAGCGTTCACAAGGGTTCCGATAAGGTCAGAACCTTGAATCTCGGCAACCTTCTCAACCTTTCCTTCGGTTGCAAAAACACCCTGGTACGCCATGTTGCGAGCAGCGCGTTCTGTCACCAGGAAGTACTCGTTCTCAGAGGCTTTGAAAATACCATAGGTGATCTTGGGACCGACAAAACAGCACGTTTGTCCGTACATGGTCTCTGGCCTCAAAGTGGCGGGTACCATGAAGACATTTCCGCTGGCAGGGATCTTGCCCTTAAGAGTCTCCCCAGCCTTGGGTGCCCATTCCAGGACCTTCAGCTTGAGAGCAGTGTATTCCTGAGGGCCGACAGCCTCACCCTCTGATCTGTCGTGGTCCATGCAGGGCTGGCCATCCTTGATGGAGTAGATGGTGTAACGCTTGCCGAACTTGATTTTGTTCAACTCCTTGAGACGATTCATTTGCCAGCGCACAAAGGCGTCGTAGTAGGGGTTCGCATCGGTGGTGACGAAGGATCTTCTCCAATCGATACGAGCACCAAAGTTGGTCAGGTCTCGGCGGCACAGAGGCGGGAAGAACTCGAGCCAGTACTGCGGGTCGGCAAACTTGTGGATTTCCTGGAGAGGAATACCAATCGCCTGCATAATTTGGAACTGATACTTCATCTTGACGGCCTTGGCTGTGGCCTTGCTCTTGGTAGCCTTGAACTTGGTCGGGTCCTCCTTTGCGCCCTTGGGAGGGGCGACGGGCTTTTCCTCAATAACGGACTCTTCCTCCTTGTAGTTTTCAAACTCTTGGCCAAACAGCTTGACCTCGTTCACGAGCTTGTCGGCGCAAGCCTTGATCGGCATACCGGTGCAGTGGAAACCCATGGGAAACAGGACTCGCTTGCCCTGCATACGGGCGTAACCGGCAGTGAACTCAATCTTGGACATGGAGAAGGAGTGGCCAGCGTGCAGGGTACCGTTCATGTAAGGGTAGGCCATGGTTCCAAAAAACTTGGGGTATTTCTCGCGAAGCTCGGCGGCGGATATCGTGTGAAGAGGAATCTCCTTGGTCGAAGGAGCATCGGGTTGAAAGACTCCATCTTGCTCCCACTGGACTTGGTACTTCTTTTCAATTGCAATCAAAGCGTCTCGTTTCTCGGTCTAGAAAACGTCAGTATGTTTAAGATTAGGTGGATGCAACCCGCCAGAGAGGTCTCTTACACCTTTCAACTCCTTGGTCTTGGACACGGTCAAGCCTTCGAGGGCCTTGGAGACGGAGGTGGCAGCCATGCTGGATAGACAAATTTAGTCGATCCGACCTCGCTGGATTTGCTTCTCGGAGTTTCGAGGACTGGAGTATTTATCTATGCGTCCTCATCGACGCCTAGACAAGGAAAGTGAGCGTATGAGTCAACGAAAGGGAAAAAGACTCGAGCCTGACACGCGATCTGGCTGCTGGAGGTGTTATTCCAGTGGCTTGCTCTGACTCAACCAAAATTCGATGCGCTGCAATAAACTTGGGCCGCGGGGTCGAAATCAATGGCCACCGAATCGGGACCAAAATTGGAGGGGCTCTTTGCATTATGCATACCAGGGTCGACATTTTATGCATTTCTAATCCCGCGTGCTTTATTTATGCTGAGGCGGTGCTCAATTCCAACGGCATTCAAGCCACAAAATCACTTTCACATAGCAGCTAGCTCCCGATACGCCATTCAAGTAATTCGATCTATCGCAAGTCCCTGCGCAGCACCTATTCAAGTCGCTTCGACATCTTTCCCCCCAAAAGTTGAAGCGACTGTCGTCAAGGACGAACTTGAGACGACAAAGCCCCGCGGATAACCAGTAACCAGAGGACACGACCATGTTTGCAACACTTGTGCGCCGAAGCGCAGCAGATTCATTCCCGTCAAAGTTGAGGAGCACAACAAGATCGCCATCAAGCTTAATCTACACAAGTCGATTCAGGCCAAAGAAGATATGGCCTCCCGACTTTTCCAAGCTGTCGCGGAAAGAGCAATTCCGATTCGAGAAAAAGTACAAACGTAGGGTAAAGCTCGCGACAGCACGGCCGCGGTGGGATAAATACGTAAAGATGGCTCAGTTGGTTACCGTGACCGGTAAGGGTGCTGTACTGCCAATCGGCTGTGTGATGCATGGCTAAACATTTTCTATAGGCGTAACTGTCTATAGCGTGCTATTTATGGATTGGAACACGGAGCATCAACCATTCCAAGGGGTAAGACATCTGATATTTCTTGTGATGTTGGCCAATATAGCTAAATCACCACGCAGTTGCGCGACAGCTTCTGGGCTGCCCTAGAGTCATTCTCTCCTACGAAACGATACGAACGAAAGAATGCCGATTAACGGAGATCTCTTGCGCTGTCAACTTCATGGAACAAAGTCATCACTGCATTTATAGGCGTTTGGGGATGGGGAGGGATACCCGTCTGATTTTCAAGTGTAATTCTATATGCCAGCTCCAGAACAACGGATGCCTCGTTGTCGGACCGAGAGTCCCGCGGCGCAACACCTTTGAGCATCAAAATCCAAAGTAGTGACCATGCCATAACTCCGAGAACACCGCCTATGCATCATGACCTTTTGTATCCTGAATTCCTTGCTCGCTACCGTCCAGGCCAGACAAAGGTTCCGCCCAGTCCTGCGCCGAGACCAGTGCTCCTAGTCTCGTTGACTGGCCTCTTTGCGACTGTGCCTTGTGACTTTACTCCGGCGACAATGCGATCCAGGTTTGTCTCAATGACTACTCCTCCTACAATCATCTCGCTCAATGCCGCGTGAAGGGTCTCAAAGTTGAAGATCAAGTCCAGCTCGCAGACGTTTTCGAACAACTTGTCAAGGGACTCGACGTAGACCTGAATGAGGTCCAGTAGGGCAAGGGGCGATTCGGTCGACGTGGAGATGATTATAAAGTAGAGTGTCGCATAGTTGCGGTAGGTGACAAGAGACGGGACGTCATTGTGCGGTTCTGAGGCCGAGTGTGAAGTGCCAGAGGCGGCGAGGATGGGAGGGAGCGGCAGGAAATTGCAAGCACCGTCGGGTCGGTTAGAAACGAGGGTGAAGATTTCGCTGATGAGACGTTGCTGAATGCTGGTATCCTACAAAGAGAGAGACTGTCAGCATTGTGCAGTACTTTTAGGTCGGCGTAAGGACAGCGAATGGGAGGTTTTGGCTTACCAGCTGAGTGTAGAACTTGGTCAGGCGGGGTTGACCCTGGCCGTTGAAGACCAGAACAGCGTTGATCATATTGAAGGGAGCATAGGAGAACACGAGTATAACGTCGCCGTGGTTGTCGGATACTGTCAGTCTCGATCAGGAAACCGAGGCGCTGCCCAGCCTATGGCTATTGTCAGCTCTACAAGTATCTGGAAGCGCGCAACGGTCCGAAGTTGATACAGGTACGCAATGCCTCTCTATCAGTCGCCTACCTTGAGGTACCCCACATGTAACCTTGCACCACCAGCCTCACAGGCAAAGAGCAGAAACAAATCTGGTAACAAGGAGTCGGCGTTCGGTCACAATCTGAAGGCGCTAGAGAGAAGCGGGCTGAGTGGGGCTATGCTAAAAGCAACCTTGGTGCAAGTCAGCGTTTCCTGGCGTACGGAGCACCAATCACAGGGCGGTACCCCCGAGACCCTGACTGGGAAGGATCTCAAAGTGCTGGTTTTCAAGGTTCCCCCCAAAGTCCAAGCCCAGCTCAGAAGTCTTTAAAGTCCGATCCCCGCGTCCAGTCTTTGTATTCCGTTTTCCCTCTCTTTCTCATCAACCACCCAAGTCACCATCTTGGGTATCATACTCCTTGCCGTCTCTAAGGGCAGACGGCACTTGTACAATCCCACTAGCATCTAATCAAGGTTCTCACCCGGCCTCAAGTGGAGGCCGACACAACATACCAGAATGGAGTCCACCATTGCAACCTACTTCTACGTCCCAAGCCAGATGCTCGCCCAGTGGTTCAGACCATCACAGCTCTTTGGCGCCCACGAACCAACCTAACCTCGCGCCGTGGGAGATTTCCGTATTTGAGCCCTCGGACTTCTTCCACTATGGTGTCGGGGTAGGGGGCCTTCACCCGGACCCTTTGAGTCTGGGTGACAGCTCCCTGTCTGACAATTGGCTCACGGGTGCCGTCGATAATGGTAGCTTCGGCCTGGATTTGACTGGACTCGATTGGTCTGAAGGCGCCCGCCCGGCGCCATTACCAGCTTTTGATATTTCACACATTTTACAGAATGATGTTTATGGTGAGTTTGAAAATACTCTTCCGATCTTGATGATCAAGGCAGAAGGAAACATATGCTGACCTCATGTCGCCAGACCACATCCTGGCTACTACTACCACCACCATGCCAAACACGGCAGCTTTGACAGTGACTACCATGCCGTCTTCAGCAAATGTCACACCTTTGCAGCAGTCTCCATCCTCCACGCTTTCTCATGATTTTGGATCAGAGACCACTCCCCCATTTTCTGCTTCCACAGAGCCAACGGGTCAACGTAATTCACGAAAGCGCTCGCCCCCGGTGGATCCTGAGACGGCTATCAAGCGTCAGCGAAACAATATTGCTGCACGAAAATACCGCCAAAAGAAGATTGACCGCATTAGCGAACTGGAAGCTGAACTGAAGGAAGTCAAGGATGACCGTGATGATCTGCGAGTTCGTCTTGCGCGTCAGGAGGCCGAGGTTGCTGCTTTGAAGAGTCTGTTCAAGATCAAGGGTGGTTTCGATGTATAATGTCAGCAGGGTAAACAGAAGTATTGTGATCAAAAGCAATGAAAAGATTTTTAATTTGCACCATCAGTCGATGTCGGCTCTTGCTTTATCGCTCATGTGTCTCTTGTAAAAGAGAATTCATTTCGGCAAAGGGAACGTGGTTTTCTTAATCACGATGCACATGTAGGATAAGTCTGACTGACGGTGCATCCAGGAGAAATGAATGTCTGCTTACCATGAAGTCGTGCAATTCATCGCAGCATTTAATTCATCGATCAATAGTGGCTTTAGCATTAATTACTATTGCGGATCAGATTTCATCGTGGCTACAAAGGTATCTTTATGCATCGCATCTCAAATAGACGATGATATTCATCTCTTTATATATAACTGTCCTATTCTCACTGTTCTATTGCAATATCATAGAGTATCATACTGCATCATATTCTCACCATAATGATACACACATGTCTTCTTTCTGGTGCGACCCAAGGCCCTTTGACCAAAATAGCCATCTGAGGAAAAGGGAATAGGGAATGGAAAATCCAACATTGAGAAGGCCGAGGTCTGTTACTCAGAGATGCTGACTTGTGACGGGGTAACATGAATCAAACAGGGATCGTCTCCATCTCGGTCGAGAAGCTGCATGATCAATTATGATTCATCCCCGCTAGGCCTCTTTTGTGAGCTCCGCCCACTTTTTGCCAAGCCACCCGGGGGGAGGATCCCAAGATACGTACCAGATAGAGCAGGTCAGTGATGCCACGGCTAAAGTTCCGAGCGTCAAAAGAGGAATTGCACCATGTTGGTGGTCAGGGAACAATTGCACCGCAGACTGTGTTCTAGGTTTTGTTTTGTTTCTATTAAACATGACCATTGTACACTACTCTGGATGGGATAATTATTGGAATCACTCTGGGCAATTTACCGATCGGCGCTTTCTCGATAGCAGGTATTCGAATGTTGAGGGGACTGGAACATATGTATCCTGCCAGCATTGATGCATCTGGGCAATACGTCAAGCACTAGTCCCAATATACCACCTATGCAATGCACGTATATTGTGCTCTAGTAATGCATCCCCAAAAGCCAGCCAAACTTTCTCATTTGCCGTCCTTACGCCCACCTCCCATTCGTTGTCCGTACGTGTGCGCTGTGAGCAGACCATCAACTGATAAAAGCACTCTTGACTGCGTACATCTTTACATCTACCTACTGAAGAGTCCAAGCGTCACTTCTAAATAAGAACCCCTATTGATTCAATTAAGGCATGGCGACTACATCACACTCACTCTTGGTGAGACTATCCCCGGTAGTCATGCAACATGAAAATAAAAGCCAAGTCCCAAAAAACACAAAAAGATAGTTATCGGGTGATGGGAAATGCATCCATCGGGAGTCGAACCCGAGTCTCATGCTTGGAAGGCAAGAATGATAACCGCTACACTATAGATGCTGACATCTCCGCTGAAGATCCTATAGAGGCGGGCGTTGAGAAGATGCGGCTTATTGGAGAATAGGTTACATTATTTTGGCCAGAACGTTCTGTTTGGCTTGTGGAATTGTCCTAATTTTGCAAAGGTGTCCCATTTTTTACAATAGAGTGCTGTCATGGGAATCATCGTGAGGACTGGAAGAGGAGAGCCGCGGCTCCACCAGGTTTGTCCAGGGTGTCAAGTCTTGGTCGGCGCCGAACGAACGAGAGCCCAGATTGCCCTCTAGTTCAAGAAGGTTGTTAGTGCTCACCTACAGCTATCTCTGTGCCGTCCAATGAAAGGTACCGTGCGGAAGCGTGGGCGGGTTACCAAACTCAAATTGGATTGTCTGCCAAGAGCGTTGAATTAGCATGCTATACTCTGCAGGCCTTTGCTAGTCACATAGAAGTACTCGATCGTGTAGATCGTGCGGATTTCAACTGTGGCAGCAAGTGTTTGGTTTGGGGCAAACACCAGTGATGGGGAATAGTGAAAAGGATGGCAAAGATCGCAACGATTCATGCCGTGTCTGTGCTACACAAAGATGCCGCTTTGGAGCTGTTGCTTTGTCGACGGGAATCAACTTTCATGGCCTTCTGATTGGCAGATCTTTTTTACCTCGTCATCGCGTGAACATGCTCTACGAACTTAATCCATATAAGCTCGAGACATCTCTCGATCCCGTTATTGATAACCCCAAGTTCAACGGCTGATGTCCAGAGCTCAAGAAATCTGCAAGTACTGTACGTGAGATATAGCCGCGTGGTGGGCTAGAGGAAGAATGCATTTTGTTCTTCTGAGCTGCACTCAGAAAGAGAGTGTAATCCATGACCTTTGTTCATGTTTCGAAAATTCTGTCTAATTGGAAATGGTGCGGTCGCTGAATAGCCTACGGGCTATAGGCAGCAGAGAACAACTTTCCGATGCCAAAATGACCGTTTTCAACGACTGCCCGCAACACATCACTGTGATTATTGACAACAATGACAATATGTCGGAGGACTTTGCCAGCCCTAGTATCATTGCTTCGGGAGGAAATGCATCGGGTTGCGTGGATGCGAGTACTTGGCCAGGTCAATCTTCCTTCGACATGAGCTTCCACTCTGGAGATAAAATGCACATCCTGCTGGGACAGAGCCCATTGTATGCGACCTGCACGATACCAGAGTATCTACCTAATGGCAAGGGAGGTGTAGTCTTGGCTCCGGGCCGGCCATCACAAACTGGCGGGGACTATAACTTCTGGTTCTTTAACGGGCCGGGAGTTCTGACACCTCTGATCAATAGTGTCATGCAGGCAAATCTCCCCGCCATTATCAAGTATATATCATCAAACTCCATCAACGTCAAGATATCCGAGACGAACAGTTTGACAATCAAGGGGCTTCAATTGGACCCTGCTTCGGTGCAATGCACGTACGCAGGTATTCTGCCCAAGTCTGGGGGCAGCAGCAACCTTTGGAATGTCAACATGGTCTTTCGACTGAGAGAAGGATATCTTGTCGGCACGGAGACCATCAGCGATCAAACAGGGAGCTTTAATCTCTCCGTCACAGATTTGGTCGTCTACATACAGGCCCAGATCGACTTGACATTTCACACGAAGCCACACGTCACGGCTTTGCAATGTTCTCTGGGAGACTATCACTTGTCTGGAACAATAATTGACGTCCTGGAAGCATTATTCCCCTTGATTGAAAATCTCTTCTCCATTGGCGCCACGCCATTTAGAGTGGCAGGTTTTATCAACACCATTTTCAATGCCTCTGTGATCAGTGTTATCAACTCGTTTATCAGCAAGGTTGTAGAGACACCTCACCCAAAAACAAAGTATGCATCCAGTCTGATACATAGTCTTCGTTTTGGTTCGTCTGTTCTTGCATATCCAAGACGAAAAGTGGTCAAGTTGTCCCGCCCACCCTTGGGGACGGATCTCAGCATCTGGATGTCCACGCCTCAGATACAAGCAAGAAGGATGGGTCGACTTAAACTACCAGGGACTCACAGCAGTGCCACATATGGGCTCACTGCAGTATTGAGTCAGATTGTCTATCCGCATGTACAGTTTCTCTGGAACATGAGCGCCCACGCCTCTCCCGCCAATGGAAACTGGCCAATATGTATACCCCCCGAGCGCAAGAACCCCTTATACATTGGGCCGATCTGCCACAACTTCATCTTGGGCCGGGCAGTCAATGCCATTTCGCGCACTCAAGGGCGCAACATCTTGGAGCAGCTCCAATCCGGCATCCGGCATTTTGACTTTCGCGTCTACTACGACACGCGCGACGGCCACTTTTACACGCAGCACATTCTGCGCGGCCCGCTCTTCTCCGACGTCCTCGCGCAGATCCGCTTCTTCATCAATGCGCACCCGGGCTCGGGCGAGCTCATCTTTGCCGCCATCTCCCACACCAACTTTGGGCACCACCCGGCGCAGGCCCCGCGCTTTGCCCAGCTCGTCAACTCGTACATTGCGCCCGAGTACCTCTACTACGAGCCCGACTCGTTTGGGCAGCCGTCTTTTGACTTCCAGATCCTGTCCGAGGCGACCGTGGCCGACATCACCCAGGGCGCCCCCAAGGTCATGTTCATGAACCTCGACTGGCGCGTCTACGCCTTTGCCGACGTCATTACCAATACCGACGGCTACGCGGGGGCACCCATCCGGCCCGGCGACGAGCCGCGCACCGTCGACGATCTCTCTGCCCAGCAGGGGCTCGGCCTGCGCTGCCATCACCCCGACTCGGCGCCGCTGTGGTCCGTCGACTGGGTCCTGACGCCCGATCTACCCACAGTGGTGCAGACGGTCCTGATTCATCTCACGGGCGTGCAGAAATGGGCGCTGCAAGACATGGCCGCGCAAGCCAACGCGTCACTCGCGGGGTTTCTGAATCTGCACGGCGGCGCGAATGCCAGATTTAATGTGGTTTCGGTGGATTGGCTGGAATACGGAGCTGAGAAGAGCGTATCAGAGCTTGTGATTGGAATGAATCATTAAGAATATGTCTTTTGCAATTTTGGATGAGCGGCGTTTGGTTGTGGTATTCTTTTGCTCAAGTTTGCGCTCAAGTTTCCATGTCATTTCAATATCATTTGTCCCACGTAATAAGTGGAATTAATTTCAGAATTTCTGCTCAGCCAGTCCCCGGTGTCATTTGGCCTTGGACTTAATGGCCTTTCTGGAGATAATGCGCCCACGACCTAAATCACCAGAATAGCCAGACAGTAAAAACACTTTCGTAGTTCTGTCTAACCTACAGAGCATCATATCTGCTTTCCTACCATCTTCTCCGTGCATATCGTGTCAAATGATTAATACTAATTTGCACTTTTCCACAACTGGCATTATCACTCTCAACATAAGCATGATGACAAGGCAATGCGGGTTCTAGAGCATGGCTGATCTTTGTGTATTTGTAATCACAGCGGACCACAGGACAGACCCCACGTGCTCTCACGGACTAATCCCTTCATCTCATAGAAATATATGCATGATCATCTTGCATCCGTACATGGCACAGGATCAAAGTAAACAAAACCAGACAATAGAGAATATGGTTGCAAGTGAACCCCCATTTCTTGGCAAATGCAAGCTAATGCAACCTGCTTACACGAGTACGTACCCAACTTTGGAAGCCCTTTTTCCATTCCCTTAGACGTTGAGACTCAGTCGCCCGCACCTTTGTCATGAGTACTCGGTGCAAGTCGAAATTAGTATAAATGCTAGGTAAGCAGGTTGCAGGAGCATGGTTACTTCCACTTTCTCAGAACAATATCCCCCATATCGCTCAACAGCATGGAGATTTCCCGCGACCATGACTCGATGCCAAGTCCGCTACCCTTGCAGGCCATGTCCCAGCAGCGTTACGTTCAGTCGCAAGATGATGATTGGACCGGCGTTACAAGCACCTCTGAGAGGAGAAGACTGCAGAACCGACTAAATCAGAGAGCATATCGCAAGTACAAACCCTTTGGTCCAGTGACTTTTCAAAATTCCGGTCCTTGGAACTGACAGTTATATCACTGGCAGGCCAACGAAAGAATCGTCAGGTGAGAAGACAGGGCACTATTACCGTGTACCAAGAACTTCTCGGTGTCGTTGGACAAGATGAAAATAAGACGAAAGGCAACGAAGACACCGCCGCGGCTCCGAGAGACGCCGTGTCCTTGACCCTGCAGGAGGAAGGCTACAAGATGTTGACGGCGCCGCAGCGGCGCGACAATGTCATCAGGTTTGCGCGCGAGGCCTACGAGCGCTACGCCCTCGGGGCGCCACGGCCGAGCCAGCTGGGCATGCTGGTCAAGCTCAACGTGCTCAACGCGCTGGCGCGCAACGCGCGGCTCATTGGCCTGCCCAACGACCGCGTCTGCGACGACGACGCCATCTCGCCCTTTAGCCTGTCCGGGCCGCTGCCGCTGCCGCTCCCGGATCAGACGCTGTACCCCGAGGCTCTCAAGCCCACGGCCGTGCAGTATTCGGTGCTTCATCACCCCTGGATTGATTTGCTGCCCTTTCCCGTCATGAGGGAGCGAGCTATCCGGGCAGTGAGTTCGGGAGTCTTGGACGAGGACGAGATTGTTCTTGATTTGATAGAAGTCTGGCCCAAAGATGCTGTACATACACCGTTTCTCATTGTTTGGGGCGATTCTTCCAATCCGGGAGACTGGGAAGCGACGCTGCCGTTCTTGGAAAAGTATGGTTGGCTCGTCTGGGGCTGTACAGAACTTTTCGAGTCGACTAATAAGTGGCGGTCAAAGAGGGGTGAGAAGCTTCTGGGATTGTGAATTGTATAGCGAAAAGATGAATATTGACGCCAGGCCTGTTCTGAATTTTCCTCTCTATGTTTTAGCAGCTATATTAAAACAGCCGTCTCAAGTATATACAGAATAAATGGTTGAGTACATCCAAGTCGGTGATACCCATCACCAATAATAAAGAAAAACAACAACAACACGGTCTCACTTCTGATTGATCATTGAACCCTTTGATTCGTGAGAGCCCCTTTTACAAGCCGCTTAGCAAGAAGCACCGGTAGGGATGTTCTCACAGTCCGAGCTGGAGTCACCGCCAGTGACAGAGACACCAGACCAGGTCCAGTCAGAGCAAGCGCCCGAAGCACAGAGAATGTAAATGTTGGTTCCGCCGCTCACGGTACCAGTGACGTCAGAGACGGTCAAGTCAGTGATCGGAACACCATCGGTAGGGGTACCAGTAGGGGAGCCGTTCTCGTAGTCCTGCTCAATGACAATGCCGTAATCGGTGATGCCGCTGAGGGTGATGCCGGTGTAGGTGACGTTGTTGACGCTACCGGTGGCGCCCGAGACCGTCTTGATGCGGACTCCGTTGGCCGAGTCGCTGATGGTGGAGTCGGAAATGTAGACACCGTCCACATCGTTGTCGCTGCGTCCACCGACGGAGCCGATGGACAGACCGTGGCCGCCAGAGCAGGTACCGCCAGTAAATTCAATGTTGGTTCCAGAGTTGACAGCCAAGCAGTCATCCTGGTTCTTGACATTGGCATTGATGATGCGGATGTTTGTAGACGATCCGACATCAAAAGCGTCCGTGTTGTGACCACCGTCGTCGCCATCACCAGCAGAGTTGTCAATGGTGATGTCCTCGAGGGTCAGGTCAGTGGCGCTGTTGATGGAAAATCCCTGGACAGGGGTGTTGAGGACATTGAGGCCCTTGATGGTGGACTGCTTCAAGCTGTGGGCATAGAAGAACTTGGGCTTGGTGACACCACCGTTGGAGCCCTCACCGTCCCACCACTTGGCGCCGTTTCCGTCAATGACGTGGCCAGAGGCGCCAGTCACGGTGATATCGGTACCGGAAACGCTGATGAGAGGGCCCTCCCACTCATCGTACTCAAAGGTAGTAGTACCCTCGAAAGTGACCTTGAAAATTGACATGTTAGTTATCCGCAGAGTTACATTGTAGATGGTCTCAAACAGCACGCCCAGGATTGTATAATACTTACAGTTGTTCCGCTGTTCAGGCCAGTCAGATCAAGAGTCTCACCAGCAGGAACGGTAACACCGCTAATGACAATGTCAGAGCAAGAAGTCTTGCTGGCACTGGCAGCAGCAGCATCGGTAAAAGTACAGCTAGAAGCACCGCTTCCAGTAGTCTTGGTGGCAGAGCTGCTAGAGGCAGTCGAGGAAGTCTTGCTTGAAGCAGCCTTGGTAGAAGAGCTCTTGCTCGACGTGGTCGAGGTCGCCTTGCTGGACGAGCTCGTGGAAGTCTTGTTGGACTTGGGCGCGGCAGCAACCAGGGCGCTGGAGCCCAGCAGAGCAAGGACGAGAGAGGAACGCATTTTGAATGTGTTAAGTGAGAAGCGAGTGTATGTGGAAGTAGAGACTGTATGTTCTTGAGTGTCTGGCTTGGCAGAATAGTTGAAAAGAAGGGCTAGCCTCCAATGAATGAACGAAGTGAAGAAGTTGAGCGCTGATGCCAAGAACCAAAATTCATCTTGGCCTTCTTGGACTTCTTTGATTCTTATAATCCATCCTCATCAACATCTCCCTAAAGTTGCCGCAAAGCTTGGCCCTGCACCATGTCCCAATAGGGATTGGATATCTTGTCTATAATTGGGGGATTGCCGATTGCGAAAGCAACTGCCAGGCATATATTGGACGAGTGGGGGATTGATTAAGGGTCGGGATCTTTCTAGGCTCCTTGCTTTGCTTATCCAGCATCTATCGAGTTAGCTCCAGTAAACCAGCTGAGCAGCAATCCATGTCGACATGTTTTGTGTCTTGCAAGTGGAGGCGGGCTGGTGATGCGGAGCCGGGCACTGAGATGCTTAATGCCTGCAGAAATCCCGTAGCAAAACATGAGTATATTACCTCCCCCCACAAAACGAACAAGCTTCGGCCAAGAGATATCAGCAGAGCCCCAAGCTTGGCTGGGTTCAAATCCCTGCAGCGTATGCAGAAGCGCCAGGTAAGGGATCCTCAAGGGTGGCTTCACTGAAATGAGCGCCAAGGGTCCTGAAACAAAGCCAACTCGTTCTTGGACGGAGCGCTAATTCCGGGCCCTTCCGGGCTCTGATCGCTGGTAGGTTCTTCCTAGTCCCCTAAACGGGAGCGTCGGCAGAAATTCTGCGTCTACTGTATACGAGCTCTTGACCGCAATGAATTTGACTGCTGCTTGGATCATGTAGCCACACGTTTGTGATTTCACTTCTTCATTGGCGGAAAATCATTGAATCCATGGCGGAATTGTCTTCAACATCTGACGTCATGCTCAACAGCCCTGCCTTTTGAGCTTGATGGGGGCAATATGGATAGAAATTCAGACTACCACCGACCGAGACCCGGTCTGGGTTGACCTCGAATCGTGGTAGGCTCCATAAGGAAGTATATTATGGATTTCAATATCGCCATAAAAGCAAACATCAATTCATCTTACAGTCTTGGCGTCTGTTTGATGGCTGGGCACGACCGGGATTGAATGCTTGGTTCTTTTCGGAGATATTGTAAAAGATGTCGATTGTTCTAGATCAGACCATTCATTCAATGTGGATGGATTTAGTACGATCCACTGTGTTATTGGCATTGTTTTTGGATGCAGTGATGCTTTGCGGGTGGTCATGAGCTGGCTGCTGGCCGTTGTCGGTCAACCTCTGCCTTGTGGATACCATAATCTTCCAACGGTCGTATAACAATATATCCGGTACTGATCGGCCAAAGCAGTGGCGTGTTCCAAAGGATAACTCGGATTTAGCAAGGTCAAGTCTCTCGTGGTGTCTATTAGACAATGCCGAGATTTTTCATCCGCTCGAGGACCATGGCAGCAACCGCCTTCATCCCTTCGCCATTTGGATGATAACCACACTTTTGGTACAATTCTCTCAATCCGAACCCATTAACCCAAGGCTCTTGGGAACCCAACCCGTGCCCCATGCTTTCACTGGCCACGGGAATTCTTGTGCACCAAGTCTCGCGGCCCTGGATCGTCTGCACTGTCGCTTCTTGTACTTGTGCGGCCCTGCCCTTGTGGTAGTCTATCCGGCCCGCATCATCAAACGGCAAGTCGACTCCGGGTTGGAGATCCGGTCCCAGTAATGTGAGATATTCCACAACAATGACTTGCGCGTCGGGAGCCTTGGCATGTATCGCATCCAGGACAGTGCCGTACCGCTCAGCAAGTTCTTGTACGTCGAGGCTGGGCGCCGGATCTTCGGCACCGCCAGCGACCCAGCTGTAAAGTCTCGACGCCAAGCGAAACATTGTGTACGCGGCGAAGCTGTCCATGAACAGACCGCCAATGTACATAATATCATTGCCGCCGCCGAGCACCATTACAATGTCTGCATCTCTGGGAATCTCGCTAATCTGAGGCGGGAAAGCCTTGCCGGTCACCTCTTGCGGCTCGCTGAGAAGATTGAGCAAAGTTGCACCAGACACGCTCAAATCGGTGAGCTTTGCACCCACTTCGCGGGCCACAATGTGCGCGTAGTTCTCGCCGGACCGACCCGCCAAGGGCTCGATCTGCGGGGGAAGACCGGGGCCGGCGGCGAAAGAGCTGCCAATATTGACGATATGAAGCGACGGCATGATTCGCGTATTTGTTTTATCGGTCTCTAGGAATGCAAAGAGAGGCGATGAAACTGATTTTGTTGTCTCCAAGGAAGTTGGTGGAACTGCTGGGGAATCTGGATGTAGTTAGTGATTGGCACCTAGTGCACAGTCGTGCTACCTAGTAGCGGACCTCCACCGAACCAGAGGTACATACATGCCGGCTAATTACATTCTTGCCAAAAAGACTTGCAATACGTCAAATCCAGTCAACAAAATGGATGAAACTGAGATCTATACGGTTCAAAAGGTAACTTCGTCGAAGTTGAAATATGGTTTGCGGAATAGGCTAGGCCATATTGGTCAGTCGTTGTACCTCTAAGCTTACCGGATACTGGTGTATAACTAGGTAGGTACCTAACCTAGTACATTGTAGGTAACGACAATTCCTGCTGCTGCAGGTTCGATATGCAACATACATCGTTCTCAAGAGCCTACTTCTATCTGCTTAGCGCACGGGATAGTTGCAGTGTTGATCTGATGCAGCTCTCTGAAGCAAGCATTCAACCAACGGCCATACTTGAGTTTAGTCATCTCACACCCTAGGTTCGCCATGAGAGGGACGTTCCCCAGGATAAATATAAAACATACAAACAAAAAATAACGATGACATTGTGATCAGACTCGGCTACCAACATGGTGTCGTTGGTCAGGTAAGTGAGTGACGTCGAATTGTCGACCGCAGAGAGGGAGAGGGCGTTTCAGTGAGGATTAGAAACTTATTACCCCAGGCCTCGATTCACGTTGTCATGATAACATTGAAGCGTCATGACTTTCCTTAGGCTGTCTACTCTACATGAGAATGAAAAATCATTAGAGTCGACCTGAGCTTTAAGCCTCGTGTTCGGAATGAAAAAGTACATGTCAGCAGACTAACAAGTTACTCTGACCACACAATGTTAATAAAGGAAAGTACAATAAACATAAATATGTGTAGACTCGTAAGCGAAATTTTTCTTTTGTTTTCTCTGTCGAAATAACCTCCGCTGTATCACTGCCTCCTATAGAAGTCATTCGTGTCTGGGTATTCGTCTTGCGGATTATAGGCGGCTACACTTGGGTAGAATTCTACTGCCTCTCGATGCGAAGTACTCATGGCGATTTCCCGCATCCGAATCTGTGTTTCTTGATGCGTAATCTGTGCAGAGTTGGTGAAATATTGGAATGCGGATCTTATTTCTCGCTCGAATTGGTTGAGTTGAAAAGATTGATACTGCCGCTGTGCTTCATCCCACCTTTTCTCGTGCATGAACTGAATCAACTGGGTCGCAAACTTTTGACAATTATTTTGTAGCAATCCATACGTTTTCCCAGAGTTGTCTCTTGTGAGAGCACTATAAGAAAGATCGCTTTGACTCAGGAAAGGTCGATAACGATTATCCAAGCCGGCAGCCCCAAATTTATCTAAAACAAGTTGTGCTAAAATGGAAATTAGTCTCCAGTCGCACAGTTACTATTGTTTGGAAAGGCTAGAAGTAAAAGCCAGAACTTGCCTGCGAGTACGAATTCAATCTCACTAAAGTACATAGTCAAGTCTCTGTGGTCTTCAAGTTTCGTGAAATCGTTGATGTCAAGTTCCCTGCGCCATTCTGGTCCATGATTGGTATTTGCGGCCCAAACATCTTCGATGATGAGCTCTTTCTTGTCGAAATCGGCAAAATTCATGCCAAATATCTTATATGGCTAGTTTAAACCCCATCAGCCGATCCGATGGATCATTTCGATATGAGTTTGTATACATACCTTGCCGTCACGTTTGATATAGACCCCCCAGTGTGCAAGCGTCGTAGAGACTGCCTGACTGTTTGATAAGAAATCGGGCGCCATGTCAAAGGTCCTGTAGGCTATTCCGACAGACCATTCATGTCGTTGGTAGTCCCTCTGTTCTTGCAAGATTGTTTTTTTGGAACGAGTCTCAGCGTCCAGTTGGTAGAATTGTATGGGGCAGTCGGAAATCACTCGCAACACTTTAGCTCTGTCCGGATTATCTAGGCCACGCTGCTGGTCTTCTCCGAGGTCGTAACCGAACTCAGCTACTGGCTGGGATTTAAGCCGACCGCGAGGAACAGATCTACTTTGCATTAGGCAGTGATTTGTGTAAAAAAAAAACGAAAAGCAAATATACTTACCGGCTCATGGTGAATGACCAGTGCTGTAAGTGATGCGAAAAGCTGCATTAATTTGATTCACGCCACAGATTTAGCTTGGAGAAGAGAGTAATCAGTTCTAGCTGGGGATAAAAAAACGGGCGAGCATTTGAAACTCTCAGCTGAGCCGGAACTGAGTATGTACATATAGCACATAGCCGCTGGTTGCTTTCATTCGAGGCGTTGATCACCACTTCGGTGAGCCAATATATGTAGGCCTTACTGCACCCGTTTACCTCGCTTAGCGGAGGCAGTCGGGTAGAAGGGGCTGAGGTAAGTATACAGTGTGCGCCATTCTAGAATCGGACTGTATTGGCGTTTCGAGATCACCAATCACGGGTTGATTCGTTTAGTATTGCCATAAGTGTAGCGATCAGGGCGTGTCTGAGCGTGGGGGCTATGCATCCATGGATGGCAGTTAACGTCGCGCTGCGAAACGGCATATCACCGCGTTCCATGGTCTAGACTCTAATGTAACAACCATGACAAAGGTGCAGGAAGAACCCCGCAAACATCGAGACGTCAGAGGTAACCAACGCTCTGAAGAGGCACTGGACAGTCACAAAGGTAGAACAACGGAAGGCCAGTGAGGGATCACTGAGCAGACATAGTCGCTGCCCCATAGTGCTCGGGCGAGCAATACTGAGCACGACCGTCAGGCTGAGCACGACACACTTGATGAACATGATGTTCTGGACGAGCCTGCCTCAGCATGACAGGGCACAATTTAGCACAATGGTGTTTGACGTAGAAATGAAGTATTATGCGAAGCATGGGGCAGGCGACTCGTGAGGGAGCATTTCTTTAATTCGTTGTTTATATTTTATTTTATTGTAAATGGACTGCATAGGAGGCACAATTGTATGATAAGTCTAACGTGGGTTCCACTAAAACCGTGCTCGTAGTCGTCATCTTCTACCTTATATCTCGATCTGATATCACAGCTTTAAGATGTAACATTAAAGAGGGTATGAATTCATAACCAACTACCTCTTAAAATAATCGTGGATACCAAGAATGACATCGGAAACTATTTACGTGCACATATTCAAATAATTGTTTCGAATTTAGTGCATATCGTGCCAAGCGAACCCAATGTACATACTCTAGCGCCTGTTTTCATCACTGTCCCTAAATCCTCCATACAAATGCCGCTGGGCCTAGCGTGAGTTTAATGCCCTATAGCTGGTTAGAGCTCTAAAGCCCCACCGGTAATATTGGTATAGTTAGCAACCCCCATCGTCATGCCTCGCGTCCATACAGCGAGGTCATCGAATAATCCCAAACAAGTTCCTGTGAAATTCAACACCCAGAATTCGCCTTCGTCTAAAGCATAAACAGACTTGTTATGGCCCCAGTCGTATTGAGAGACTAACCCGGATATTCGCAATGGTGCCGACAGATCTGCATTCCGGTTGACGCTGACTGGTATCTGACTTTTCGTAGTGCAACCATCTCCAATGTAATCCTTGGGCCACGTGGTATAACGCCCACAAGGTGTTTGGCGTGTCTCCAAGGCCGATATGAAAATGAGCATCATCACAAAGACGATACATATAACCGTGTGTACCTTGAACCAAAGGTGAGCAATGCATGGCACGATAGTTGAGTGCATTCGATTACGGATGGAGTAGTACCCGTAAACCAATGCTGTTGGTAAGATAATCAGCAAGTTGCCCAATCCATCGAGGAATGACGTCGTCGTATACAAGTAAGGCGTCTGGTTGTGGCCAACTTTGCTCCGGAACATCCATGATCCCGCCAGGAAACAAAGACCCAATATGATGGAGAGATATATTGTCCGGAACAATACGATCCGCCAATTCAACGTATGGTGATATCGATCATGGGCGGTCGCGAATATTTCGGGCTCCAGGAGCAAGCTATCCATTGAAACAATCGGCTGCATCTGTATTTCGGTAATTGGCGGTGTTCGATCTTCAGTGGTCAATATTCTTGCTGAGTATACGAAGTCATCAACCAACCACATTGCAGCGAACAGGCGCAGCAGTCCAAGCAGGGCCAGAGAGATGAATATGGAATCCATAGCCAAGAAACCATCGAATGACACTGCCCCATTAAGGCCGCCGAATAGAATAGTCGCGGTCTGGGCACCTTGGAAGGTAGTGATAATGGTTTTGAACAACTCCACGGAGATGCCAACTGTTGTGCCATCGGGAAGAAGGCCACAGAAGGGTAAGCTGGCGACGACCATGTTTTCAGACCCATCCCAGCCGTATTGAGTCCAGAAAATGGCATTTGCCCCAGCGATGTCTATCGACTCCCAGTGGTATGCTCTGATGCGCCTCTCGACGATTGCTGCATAGCGGTAGATGATCGATATCGGATTGTAGAGGCACATGCGGTCATGCCATCTCGGCCTTGAAGGCACGAGATACGAAACCCTCGATGCGCCTGCAAAGATGTGCGCGATCAATGGGGCAAGGCAGACTGTAAGTAATGTGACCCATGATTCGAATGCGATGCTATTGCTCTGGTAGCGGAGCGGCTCGATTGTGAATGCCATTGAGAAGCATTGGTGGGGGCCTGAATTTGAAAGATAGGAGGAGTGCGCCCGAAATGTGGGGATAAAATACGCATTTTGTTAAAGTGACCTCGGACTCCAGGTCTCATAGCATCGAATAAGCCCCCTAATTGTCAGACTCTATCTGAGGAGAAGTGGCCGTATTCCAAATAGACATTGGGCCGCAACCTCCTCTTTTGTGATCTGCCGGCTGTGAGGTTCGTCTAGCCGCTGAGAAGGCACCTGCGAAACGGACCAACATCAAGCTTGGCCATGACGGAAATCTCTTGCTATATAATCAATCACATCATGTTCGATTTATCAACTCTGCGTACATTGTCCAGCTTTTCATAGGATCTACTATACTACGATAATATTCAGAAAGCTTATGACAACAAACAAAGGCGAATGACGTTCTCTAGGATCAGATTTTTCTATTGCTACAAACGAGACAGTCAGTCAGCCGGCATAAGGCTTGATTTCTTCGAGCCATCAATTGGCCCTTTTTTTCCCCCCTCTCTCGCCAAGTCTGCAGCATATTCAGCTGAAAAGAAATCCCACTTGTCTGACGAGGCTCACCGACCAGAAGTGGTATTGCTCCCGTGGATAGCCTCATGTCGAATCCCTCTGCCTGAACCTTATGCAATACCATCCTTGATGAAAGCACACAGTGCTTCTCGGGATCCTACCAGAAAGGAACAAGAATCCATACATATACGAAACTCGCCTGGATTGCGCGAGGCTGCCGAGAGTCGCATTGGGCCGCATAAGTAAGAAAACAGGATATTTCCAAAGAAACGCGCGGTATTACCCTCTGTTTTCTTCTTGGCCTGCTTGGTGCTCAGGCCGCGCCCATTCGCCGACCCCGTATGCATGCAGCAGCCTGGGGAAATATGAATAATGTGGTGTGTTGGGATGCGCTTTAATGGTGCAAGCGGAGCATCTTCAGCCCGGTGGACAAGACGGCTGCAGTATATAATGGTTGGGGGCCAAACAGCTATTGGAAGAAGTGCCGGCGAAAAGGAAGGAACGAAAATCATTTTTTTTTTCTTCATTCAAACCCCCTCATCAATCCCAAGCTGCAAATATGGGCAAGTCGAAAAACTCAGGTCGGGCTGCCAAGAAACCAAAGGAGTCGCGGCAGTTTGCTGCTCCCGCACAACACGAGTTCAAGTCCTCCGAAATCCAGTTTGCGGCAAGCTCTTCTTCTCGATCGTCTGGCTCGTCTGCTGCACAACCATTATCAGCTTCGTCATATCATCGGCAGGGGCCCGCTGGTCGCACAGCTAATGAAGTGGTTCCCAAGCGCTTTGCCATGCCACGATCCAAGTCGCCACCATTGCATAATCATCACATTCAAACGCCGTGGGAAAACGTGAGACCACCAAGGGAGGGATATCCCGACTGGTACGAGACCACTTCAGAGGTTCAATGGTATCTGACCCTGCCGGATCAGTTCCCTGCCGTGAGGAAACCCAAAGGTCATCATTAACACAAAAGTGCATAATCATGAATGGGGCTGTTGTGTTGTTTTATTTCGATTTCTTTCTTTTTATTCAGGGCGCCTCCAGGCGCTAATCATATTTCTATTTGGTATCATAAGCATGCAACAAAGTCATAATGGGTGGTTATATACACAGAGGGAACGAAACGGCTAGTTGACCATGGACTTTCCAATTTCCGATTGCCAGTCCTTGGCCCTTTCAAAACCATTCGAGTGCGTTTGGTAGTCAAATAGGGCCTGGTACACCTCCTCTTTGCTGTTTAACACAAAGGGGCCGTATTGAACAACCTCCTGCTCCAGAACCTGGCCGGCAATCAAGATGAAGCGCGCGCTACTCTTTGCGTCCTCGGGCACCGAGACTTCCACCAGGTCGCCATCGCGCTCAAAGACGACATTGTGGTACTGATCCACGCTCCTCTCGTCCTTGCCCGTGCCAAACTTGGCCACGCCCTCGAGGGTATAGGCAAAGGCATTCCAGCCCTGAGGGAGGGGCTGAGCAATCTTGCCGCCAGGCTTGACCTCGAAATCGAGGATCCAGACGGGGGTATAGGCAAGGTCCTTGACGCTGTCGACGCCGCCCGACTGGCCCGAGATGACCTTGACGTGGACCTTGTCGTCGTCCAGGTCGACCTGCGGGATCTCCTTGGCCTTGAGGTCGCGGTACCGCGGCTCGCACATCTTTAGCTGCTTTGGCAGGTCGACCCACAGTTGCAGGCCGACGTTGGCGCTGCCGTCTGGGTTCTGTCGCGGCATCTCGGCGTGAATAATGCCCCGGCCGGCCGTCATGAACTGGAGGTCGCCTGATTCGATCGTACCGGCGTTGCCCGCACTGGGTCATGTCGAGTTAGCAATGGTTCAAGATTGCGGTCACTAAGGCTGTTCGGGGGGATGCTTACAAGTCTTCATGGTCGACGGCTCCGGCAATTAGGTATGTGATGGTTTCTTGGCCGCGGTGTGGGTGATCAGGGAAACCGGCGCCGGGCTTGATGCTGAAGTGGTCCAGCATCAGGAAGGGCGAGAAGTTGCGCAGCTGCGGCGTGCCAATCGATCGTCGCACGCGTGCGCCCGCGCCCTCGGCCTGCTCGATGGCGAGGAAGACCTTGCGAATCGCTCTGGGAATAGTTGACGACGACATGTTGGTGTCGGTTTGTGGTGTGATTGGGTTTGTGGGAAGTTTGGTTTCTTCCTGTCTCGTCGCGCTCGTATCAATAACTTCCGGGCTGTCCTTTCTGTAGTTGCTCAGTGTCTCTATGGTAGCAGTTGCGAATTCAACAACTTGTTCTCTAAAGATGACAATGGAGAAGAGTGCGACGAGGATAGAAATGGTGATTGAAATGAACTTCATTGATTCTTGGAGGGGGATGGGAAATCCCAGGATATATACAAGTCTTTTCGCAATGTGCTGCTACTAGCCAATAATACAAAAAGCAAACGAGGGAACAGAAGCAGCGGCTTTATCCATGTGGAATTGTCATGAAGATTCCGCCGCACGTAATTGGCATCCCTTTCCGACAGTCATCTTTTGCTTTGCGATCATTCACAAATCCCGCCCACACCCCGCCAAAGAGTCTTAGTAACTTTTACATCAGCGACGCCTACCGCTTATGGTCGAGAAGGTCTAGGCCGTGATAGGCTTAGCGGTACAAAGTCCAGACATGCTGACAGATCCGCACGTAATCTGGTCGCCCCCATTGGAGACACAAGAGGGGCGGCATCTCTTCCGCTATATTAGTCATGATTGCCCATTGTTAAAATGTCAGATCATCTTCACTCATACCTGGCACAAGGTAAATATTTTCTGGCATTTTCACAATTTGTTAGACAGAGCACTGAACATGTAATGAGGGCGGATAAAAACTTTGAATCCATCTCCGTCGCCAGCAGGGTCGTAGATTTTCAACTGTAGACTTAGGGCGTAACTCGGCGCGTCATGGAAGGTGCGAAAACTTCTTCACTTCAAGCGACACAATTTCTGTCAGAATGCCATGAGCTAAACGCCAAGGCGTGTTGCAGTGCTTGAGTATACTGTGTCTTTTCGTTACGAGCCAGTGCTTGACGGATGAGATATGGCCGTACAAGCTACATCTGTTATTCGATTGCTTGTTGTTGTTGGGCCCACGAGAGAAAATGGTGGACTGCGTCTCTCTATGAGCAGATGGTCATCACTGATTGGTAATATAACGGTAAACAAAATTGATTATTTCTCTTTATATACAGCTTCCGTCTTGTTCTTGCAGCGCAAGGTAAACGGCCGAGAATGTTTCTGGAAGGAAGCACCTCAGTTTCCAAATCATAACTATCCAGAAACTTTTCAAAACTCCAATATAATTCCAGATGAGCTCAATAAAACCCCCCACGTTCATTGATTACTTGCAATTTTTATCCAAGGGAGATCGACAAGAAGAAGAAGAAAAGAACAAGAGTGAAAGTCTTGAAAGATTTTCTTCTTATATGCTAGGAAACTAATGATTAGTAGCTGACAATGCCTTTCGTACTGCAGCAGACTTACTCGGATGTATCATCGATTATCTGCACGGACAGTCGCAAAGAATCAATGTGTTTGTGTCTGTGTACAATGTCGCGGCAATTTACAGCCATGGATATCCCTTTTCTCCATGTGAGACTATTCCTTTCCACCGCGTGCCGATATCTTGAGTGTTGGGGTTCGTTTGCCTGGGCATTCTGTACCTACAGCGCGTTCCGCAGGGTCGAAGACTTCTTGTCTCTACAGTAGAGGTCAAGCGACCGTGTAGACTGGCGGTGGTTTTTGAGGCGGCGCCCATTCAAGAGTAATCTCTTGTGGCGTCGGATAAAGTGAGTACACTGGCATCGGCGACCGCGGCGGTCGCGGCGGCGGCGCAGCGACAACCCCGATTCTTGCCAACCTGATGGGCGGAACCGATGCAATCGACGACGCTGACGATGAATTTGTCGTCCATGAGGAAGATGAGGAGGAGGAGGAGGAGTCATTCTGTACCGGCTCAGCGCCTTCGCCTGCCTCGACCTCGCGCGCTCTTCTGGCTATGGCGTGGATCTCAATGTTCTCGATGGCGCCTGATCGCCGACCTGGGTAACGCTTGAAGTGGTAGCAGAGAATTTGGGCGATAATGATTGCAAGCACAATTGCCAGGACAATCAAGCCTTTATCACGACCGGATATTGCCATTATGTATCTTTCTACGGGGATATAAGCGACTGCTCGAATCAGTGGATGGAAATGAAGTACCTTTTAAGATAAATCTGCGCTTGAGGAATAAGTCGTCTAAGAATATTCCGACATGAGTAGTCGGCGATAGATGGGCTATGATTTCTTGTAGATATGTTCGTGTCTTGTGGTTGGGGATTGCAGGAATGTTGTGAGGAAATCTACGATTAAATTTGGTCTCGAGGAGGACGGAGGCGGCCAAATACAAATACCACTCAATGTGAGATTCCAGCAGCTGCTGGTTCCAACAAGGTACTCTTTTGGCTTTCAAAGCTTTCTCCGGAGCCTGAATATCAATAAAGTTGCGCTGCGGGAAGTACGATGCTTTAAAAGGCGCCGACGGTGGCAAAAGCACCGGCCGGGCAGCAGTGAAAATGAAGGTGATACCTTCTACACTTTCTTCATTGATAATGCTGGGGTTCTATGGTTTCTAGCCTCTTAGCTATCCCAAACTATTCGTTCGACAGTAATATCACAAGAATTTAGACAGGCTATCAACGTGTGGTGCTGGCTGAGGCGATTAGAAACAACACGTATTTGCTTCAGAGTCATCCATTCAAGCGCCCGACAAGGTAAATTTTGAGGCGCTACAAGCTACTTAAAGTTATTATCAATTTTTTCCCATTCTACCATCCAGGTGGCCTTTCTTGCCACGGTAGAGAACATATTTAAACTTAAACATCCGGTTCGACCTCATCCACCGTCGGGACTTTGTGAAGCTTGACACCAAAGTGAGCAGCAATAATGTGAACGCAATCCCAAATGACCTGTGTGTCCTCTTTGGACACGCCGATCCGCCGCGTACCCCGTATGTGCCAGTGCGATTCGAGCGGAAGATTCTGCATCATGATGGCAGGCAGGACAACCAGCTCCGTCTCGATATCGTCGAGGACCTGGCGGTCAGAGAGGTAGAGACCATAGGTGATATCGGCCGAGAGCCAGGCGAAATCCTTGTGGGCGTCAAAGATGCCCATGGTGTCGCCGGCGTTGCGCGTGTAAACCTTTTTGAACCAGTCAATGCCGCGCTCGTGGTTGGCCGCATCAGCCTGCCAGCCCTCTCGCGAACACGAATAGTCACGGTCCTCCTCGCGCTCAACCTTGCTAATGGCCACCACCGACTCAATTGGCTTGCATATACCGATGAGCGGAATGGACTTGACCAGTGTCTCCCTGAGACGCTTGACGAGTTGCTGGCGGGAATCGGGGGTTGGGAAGCCTTCTTGGTCACGGAGGTAGAGGTAGAGCTGGGCAGAAAGTTCCGGATCAGGCGACGCCGCGATACAAGTCAAGGCCACAATATACCAGCTTCCATCTTTGAGGTTGGTTGACTTGAATTTCTTCTCAACGTTTTCAAAGAGCTCCTTGAGCTGGTTGTCGACGGTGGGGGTTTCAGAAGTGACGGTCATGATGGGGTGCGGGGATCCGATGATATCGTTGCTCGAGAAGGTAGAGGTTGAGTTGGCACTCGGATGAGGAGACAGAGGTCAAGTATCAACAAGAAACGACAGAGAACCTCGCGTTAAAAAGGCAGTATGTCTGTAGTGAGATTTTGGTGTCGATGGAGTCTCATACTTTGGTACACGTTTAAGTGGTACAGATGCTGACACGGGAATTGGATTGTGGTCCATCAGCATCTTACTGCCCCACCGAGTCGCACCTGATCAGAACGTGGCTATGAAATGCTGATCGCTCTTCCCATCCGCGCATCGGACTTCTCCATGTTGCTATAAAACTCCAAACAAATCCTGAATGTTACAGCTTCCCGTTGGACGAATTGCGACGTTTAGCATTCAGAAAGGGGAACGCCAAAGAAAGCACATTGCCATTTCCAGACTTGCTTCGCTAAACCGTTTCGTGCGGCAAGTGCCTAGGGAAAAAGTGATTCGTGTCTAGCCTTCGTAAGCAACCTTGAGATAATAGAATAAATTTCTAGGATGCCATAGGGCGCACCAATGATATTACATAAATGTATCCAACAAAGACGTTGAAAGCGTCCTTCTGAAATAATCAGAAAATAAATTACGAGGAAGATGGGTTTTGCCCAATTGCTGCGTTGCCAGCATTGCTGAAATAAGCGCTAGGTTGGATGAGATCGGTTCCTAATTCTCGTTCAGCTGAATTTATACTCCAAATTCCTAAAACTATACCATGTCGAAGGAAGCCCATTGGCTCTCATCAAGGCAACTGTGCACTTTAGGGATCGACGCCACATCCACATGGTTATACTTGTAGCTCTATAGGCTTCGCCAAGCCAGTTTTATAGTGTCTCCAAGGTGGTCATGGCTTGTGCCTATTTGCCTGTTCCTACTGGATTTCTTCATCACATACCATAATCAAGTCATGGGCTAAAACCCACGCTTACAATTAATACTTGGTAAGTTTTCTTATAATGCTAGGATCTATCTCTCGGCCCTGTGCCCTGTGCAGGCTGGTATTCATCTCCTTTTCGGCCGGTTTACAGTCATTGAGGTGAATATGGTGTCCACTCGACCGAGTATTATGACTGGCCAAAGGAGAACATCGTCGGATGCCAGCGAAGAAATTCGTATTGTGCATTGCATCTCGAAAGTTCCCCAATGTTTCTGTCATCAAGAACCTTGAATAACATTGCCTTTGATGTGGTAAACATGTAATCACGGGGCTGTCTCGTCGTGGCCACAATGCCAGCCTTTCCAAGACCTGCTGCCATTAAGATCATTTGGCGACAATTCATCCTCACATCTGTAGTGGAGTCACTGGAAGGAGATACGGATCAATGCCTTCCCATGTTCATGTTTGTCGCGTTCCATCATCTTATGTTGTACGAGAATCGCCAGACTCGCTTACGCGTTTTTGTGCCTTGTGTGGAAGCTGCCGAGGCACCGCGGTAGATTCCTCAGCAGTCAACGACTCCATTGCTATCTAAATTATTCTTAATCCTGGCACAGATCTGTGTATTGCGACTGTAGTAGTGGATTCCTTGGCATGACCTTGTTCTTGGCGGTCGGGTTTGGCACGAATGCTGTGGACCCAGCAACTTCAACCACTGAAGACTGATTCTGCAAGCACAGTCTATTGTGAGGTCTCTCTATCAGACTAGTGAGTATTCTTCCTAGTTCTTCGAGGCGCAAACGAATAAAGTAAACGACTTGGTGCTCGAGCAGAAGCTCGGTATGCCCCTAGCGGCTCCCAGAACAGAGCCGCAATATCAGAGTCTCGCGGTTGGGATAGCGGGTGAAGGCCGACTTCGGTCCAGATCAGCCGCTTTTTGTCTTGTGAAACTGTCCAAATATTAAGAAAGTATCTCTCGGTAGCTCGGCTAAGAAGAGATTCCCTTCATCACCGAGGATTGAGAGGAAAATATTTTTCTTCTCTCGTGGTTTTATTTTGGGTCATAGAGTGGGTAAGCTCTTTTGACATGTGAATATGGTGGGATGTCCTCCCCTAGGCGGGACCTACCCCTGCCTCCTGGCACTGTTAGTGTAGCGCGTCGAGCTGACTGGCAGCATAGACCAGACAAGCGACCCTTGACGTTTCATTGAGCAGCAACGCAGAGTGTCGATAGTGGGCCGATGTCATGCTTGGATGAAGAGATCTCGGCGTGGCTGAATGTCCGATCGAGATGATCCAACCGTTGTTTACCTAAGCAGTACTGGGGACTTGTGCGTACCACTTCAGAATATTGTCTACCCACTCACTGCTGTTTAGAGAATAATCCAAAGCCTACATGATGGAGATTGCGAACTGGTGGAACACGGCAATCACCGTCTCAACGTACCAAAGTAAGGGAAACAAGCACTGAGACCCTGACACTCGAAGCGGATCAAGGGCATGAAAGAAACAATCGCGGCAACCGGAGAAGGTTGGTGTTCTGAGATACGCTACTGGATAAGTGTAACCAAGGTCCTTTATTACGTCGCAATTGGGGACTAGCCATGACGTCGAATCAAGGCTTTGGAATAGCGGCCGGTGAGGCAGCAAAATGCAAGCGAATTTCACGGTGAGAGCTGAGGTGTGTTGGACGCCGGTTTCATTCGCTGGTATCCCTACATCTTGACCAATTATATAGATGGTGTTTGGGGGGCATTTTGGTACTCAACAGATGGGCGGAATATATCCGAATGCTACAGAGGCGGGAGTAAATGATCCTTGACAAGGTTTTGAGTTTTGTACTAATGCCAAACACAATGCAAAAATATAACAACGAAGTGGTGATTCTCGGACCAAATTGAGTTGCACCACTAGCACGGGAAGGAAGGCTGTTTCTCTCACAGAAAATCTTTGCTAGCAACAAGCGGTTGGATATCTCTTGGCAATAGTAAAACGGGCAAGATATGCACAAGACGGTGTCGATTGAGTACGAGTACCTGGTGTCGATCTGGCCGCCCGTCGCGCCAAGAATACTTACTTAGGATGTCTCTTGGGATCTCGGGTCCAAGATGAAAGTTGGATGAAATCCGAGCAGAAGCAGCAGCCGATCCAGCCGTCGTCACCCTATGTGTGTCGATTGTTTGACGAAGCGGTTGCGACAGAAAAAGAGTCCATAAAAGATAAGGGAGTAATCGATGGTGAGTGGCAGACTGCTGGCTTGACTGGGAGCTTTTGCCCGGGGTGTATGTGTGTATGTGCTGCGAGATTGATTCAGGACGAATACGTACATGGAAAGAACAAAGAAGCAAAAATCTCCGATGCGGTTGTCAATAGAAGCAGCAAAAGAAAAAGAAAAAAGCTGCAGAATGGATACCTGCAGGTTTGGTGTCGTACTGAGCAGGCCCAGAGGAGGCAGCTATCACATGCCAATATCATTGCGCACAGCTACCACCCACCCACTACTAGTGGCTGGTTGCCTCTAGGTGCGCACAAGGAGGCGCGATTTGGTGCCTGGAACCAACCAGCAGCTCGACAGACTCGCTGCCGGCTCCCCTGTTCCGTCGCGCTAGAGGTGCTAGACAGCACTCGAGGACCCCGCCTCCAGCCCATTGGAAAGTGCTCTGAAGGGAGCTATGGCCCACACTACCTAGAGCGCCTAACGTGGCCAAGGTGGGCTCGGTGGGCAATTGGATGCACTTCTACCAAATGTGGCATCCATCAGCCATCTTTCTACGAAAAGAGTCATAGTACAGGGGTAGATTGCCAGTCAGTCAGCATTGGGCGCAAATCATTCTATCGGTCGGGTTTGAATCATTATCGAGAGAAGCGCCATTCGTGATTCAAGTCAAGATACAAGAGGAACAGAAATCCAACGGCACAGCTCATCAGAGTAACTCATGGCTACCATGAGACAATGGCAACATCGATATCCGGAATTCGCGATTAGGTTGGGGCATGAAACTCTGTTGGAAGCATGATAAGAGCTTCCTGCAAATGCGCAAACCCCCTGCCCAGTCACCTTGCCAGTACGGATCGAGTCCGACACATTTGTATGCAAGAAGGGCAGGCTACGTCAAAGGCCGGGTTTTGCGTGCTAAACTGAGGCGCGCGCCGCCTTACGCAGACTGCTGCTTGCTGTGCCACAGATAGAGATACCGCGATCGTTTCCGCGCTTTTCGTGCCATATACGCAATCCCATGCAATCCCACCCCCAAGGCGCACACGGGCATTGGTGAAAGAGGCAAAGCGGGCAACATGCCCCCCTCGTAGGTGAAGTTGAAACTCTCAAGAAAGAGAGAGAGAGAGAGAGAGGAGGGCGAGTGATAGGTAGACCCGATACAGCCGAGAGCCAAGCGGCCAGACGGGGCCATGAACAGGACTTAATCCACTCCTACCCTACCTACCTCGACCTGGAACGACATGCACATGCTAAAAAAGTCGGCTTCCGTCATTCTTCCTTTGTCTTTGTCAACCCACACAAGATGTACGTAGCTGCGTCTGCCGACCGGTAGCTACGAGTTGTGGGTAGGTAAGGTAGGTATGGTACACAAGATGGTAAGTAAGAAGGCAAGGTAAGGATGTTCCTGGCCAACGGATGGACTGACAGCCCGGGAGCTTTCTACTAGTGTGGCGTTACCTTGGGTCCATTGATGTCCGTCCGTTTATCCCAAGCTCCCATGTTGATTTGATTGCTCTTCCCTCGTCCCATGCCCAAGAGAACCAAGAGGAAGAGGGAGAAGCTTTGATAAGTACCTTACAATCTAAAGGTTGTGTGCTTTATTCTTCATATGCACGCCTTCCACCAAACATGTCGTGACCAGCGTAGACGTCGGACTCTTCCCAACCTAAAGAGCTCCTGTACCGCCAACCCTTTCTGCCCTCCCAAACCATAATTCCTCTTTCCCACCTCCACCACCATTGTCCGCCGTTTCCTTTCACATCCCATTCTACCTCTCGTCTCTACCAGACCCAATACATACTCTTTGCCTTTGGCTCGCTCGACACAGGAAGCAGCTGACTCGTAAGTGACGACATTGCGTCAGGGCTCCCCTTATCTTGTCGTTCGCTGACCAGTTACTTGAGATTGCAACTATCCCAAAAGCTCCATCTTCGTGCCACAGTTCGTCAAGATGTCTCCCCAAGTGAATGGCGATAGCCACGCGTCCTCTGCGACTATCTCGGTGAGTCCTTCTCGTCTAATACCATTTCAAATTTGGGTCCTTTTGGGGGGGCTAGTACACCAATCTACTGCCACAAAGTAGTACTTCATTGGTCACGGTCCCTTTCTCACATGTAACTAACACCAACTCTTTGCAGCACATCAGGGGCTACCCCGTTGTCAATGATGTTGTCTCGTACTATCAGAAGAACCCGTACGGCAAGAAGTCCCTAGAGCTTGGTGACTCGGCCTACCAAATCTTTGCCAGACCTCTCGTGCTCTACCTGGAGAGACCCTACGAGCTCTACCTGTCGGCCTACGTCCAGAAGGCAGACCGCTTCGGCGCTGGCGCTCTCGTCAAGATTGACGAGAAGATTCCCATCATCAAGGAGTCCACCGAGAGCATCCAGGCCAAGAGCAAACAGGCCGCATTTTACCCCATCGTCAAGACCAAGGAGACGGCAGACCACCTCTTTGGCGTCTACAACTCCGAGGTCAAAAAGGTTGGCGGTCACGGCGTCGTTACCACCGGCAAGGCCCTGCTCTCCACTGGCATCGTCCTGACGACCGAGGCCCTCGAGTGGGTCAACGAGGTCCTGCGCAGTGGCAAGGAGAAGGCCGAGAAGGTCAGCAACGACATTAAGCAGTAAAAAAAAGGGACAGGCGAGCTAAGCTAGAGAATCGCTTTATGCCGGTGATGGCTGTCGGAGGTGAACCTTGTCATGGCTCTTGATCACGTCGTTACACACTCACAACTGTCGAGCCATGAAAGTTTGGCAATGAGGTGGAGGAAGACATAGCGGGTCTCATGGTTGCACAATGCTGAATAGAATCTCTTTATTTCGTTGGGTTAATGGTAATAATATGTACGCTCATCTCTACTTCTGAGTGAATGTGGTCCTGTTGTGCTTGTATCCGACTGTGTTTGTTATTCACATATGGTGATGCCGATTGAACAATAGTGATGTATCAAATAGCTCGGCTTTTCTAGAATCAACTATTGTCACTCTGCAGTCAATGTGGCCCGGACCTTGAAAGTACGTACATCGTACGTAGAAAATGAACTAATGGGTCTTTATAGCCCTCAATTTGGTGGGTTGTGTATACTCACTCCTCTTGTAGGCAAAACCCGGGTTTGGGCCGGTAATAAACAGGTCATCGCGTATGAGAAAAGCCGCATAAATGTTTATCCAAGAATATAACCGCCCACCTTGATTCCGCAATTTGAGGTCATTGTGACGAATATGGACTCCCAAACGGAGATGAGAATAACGAGATTCATATTTACGTAGGTACTCAATATTGTTGCATGTCTTTGTCCTGTACCAACCAAAAAGAAAAAAGAAAAAAAAGCTCAACACTCCAATTCTGGAGACAGTGGTTACAACAATGCTTGACTTTATTGTCTAGTGTGGGGTACTTGAATTGAGTTGCCCATGTTATTACTATTGAATAACTCTCCCAGACAAACAGACATGACCTCAATCATTTTACCAGGTTTATTTGCGTCCCTATGACCGCATAACGTATTATAGCCAGAAAATCTGGAGGCTATAGTCTCATTAAGACAAGACAATGGGCCATTGGCGAATAGATCATTTTCTTACCTCTGGTCATCTGTCTTTCTCGCCAGAGTTGTCTGCCGAAAAACCAACGTCCAAGAGCCGCCATGGTGAACTCAGACCATCAAGTCCGTCTTGAGATGGCCTACTACAAAGTCCATGAGCCCAAGTGTGTCTGGCACGCCTATGTAAAAAGCAACAAGTTCTCGAGTTTGGTCCCAAACTTCCGTCTAGATTGAATAGATAGCATGTTCAATTTTTCAGAATTGGACTGTGCATACACTCGGAACCCATTTAAGGGGTTGGGATTGCGTTCGCGGGTCAGCTCGACTGCTTGTGCTCACATGTTTACTACAAACCTTGAATCAACCTTTTGCATCTCGCCAAGTCCAAGTGTGTGGCTTGGGTCCTGATGACTGGGCAAGTCTTCAAGTGCGGGTGCGGTTTGTCAAGCCTGGATACTTGTTAGGCACATTGTTATTCCTGAGTTCAAATCCAATGCCTCATTTGCTGACGACAAGGGATTTCTGTTGAAATAATATTTGTGTTCCCGGCTTGAAATCTCATGTATTCAGACTTGTTGACATTGGCATGACTTGGGGCCTAGATTTTTCCGCTTCTCTTCCATTCATCGAATGGATAAATTCTGACAAAGATACATGTATTGACAAGACTCGGGAAAGGTTCAAGATGGTAGAAAACTTGTCTGTTTCATATCGCACTTTTTCATAATTTAATACGGTACAACAAGAGCATGCCCTTCAGATTCAGCTTGAAAGTTGCTATTAAGCCTAATGCTGCTTCCATCGTCTCCGCGTTGAGTTTATTTTGCAACATGTCTGCTTCTGGTTCCGTGTTTGCGTCTTTTTTTTCCTGTCTTCTTCTCTCCTTCCTGTGCCTCTTGTGTCCCCTGTGCCTTTGATGCCTCCCTTGCCTCCCTTGCCTCCCGATATCTCTTGATTACTTCCTCCCGATGTCTCTTGATTACTTCCTCCCGATGTCTCTTGATTACTTCCTTTCCGTTGTTCTCCCGTACAATTCTCCGGCTCTCCATTTCCGCATCGATTGCCTCAGTCATTGTCCATCTGCGTCTATCCATTTGTTCATGGATGTCAACCATTGCGCGCTGGAATGCCCTTGTCCATCTCTCCACATCTTCCAGTATTTCCTTTTCAGCTTCCACGAATTGCTTGTCTCTGTCATCGTGGTCTCTGTTTCGGCAATTCCCGCACACTGCGCTATGTATTTGTGGTTCTATTGGTGGTAGGACTCCTATGCTGCAATGTCCTGATCTTAAGTTCTCTGTGCGAGCTTCTTTGCATTTATTATGCCCTGCGTCAGAAACTCCCCACTCGTGTCCCATTGGTCCATGGGAGGGGTCGCCGCAAATCTTGCGTATGCGTCTCCGCCTACACATGACTGAAAAATTTCTGTACTGCGAGGCTAAATATGTTATGTCATCAAGTACGGGAGTTTGGAAGGGGGAAGGGAGGGGTGGATGTACTAGTTATTGATGGTGAGACTCAAATATTAATTGCGCGAGGGCGGTGCCTGAATGGAGAGGTCGCAGATTGAACAACGGGATTCACTTGTGTAGATTCTTGGTATCGATGATGATAATGGGCGGTTTTTTCTTTGTCTGTGTAGAGAGATATTTGAGATGAATGACAGTGACACGAGAGACCTCGCGTTCATTGTTTACATTAAGAGGATTGATGACGAAGAACAATCTGTGCTCGATTCACCCTGTCATGGGCAAGAGAATTCTTTTGGAAGTAGCCATGAACGCGCACCTTGTTGTTGTAGGGCTATGCCTTCCATGCAGATACCATAGTTGCTGCCATCATGTTGCCCAGGAAAGCACATTCAGATGCTTGCTAGAGTCACAAAGTAGTTTTCCCAGGGTGGGTATTCAGTCGAAATGGCCTTCCTGTTGTTCTTACTCGACTAGCACTTGAGCAGCGAATACATATCAGTCTATTGACCAGATTACTTCACGTAGCCTAGAAGTGTCCCCATTGGCTTGTTTGCTTCGTGGTGAATTAGTAAACAAGTCTAGTTCCGAGGTGCCTGGAGCGGAACTGCCGTTTTGTGCCCTCAAAAACCTGTCTGGCATGCCGTCATGGATATCACGAAGAGCAATTCATGGTATATCCGCCGGTGGCCCTTTCATTAAACCGATATCCTGAGCAATGCCAGGTCATCGCGACTAGAGGCAGTTTTAAAATCCACAATCTACAATTGCAGGCAGGGTGCGACATGTTTACCAGGTAGAAAGCATGTGCATTGAAATGAAGCACCAGCTGAAAGAAATTTGCTGTAAGCAAGCACCAGCTAATCCCTTGAGGTTTCAATTTTGGTGTAAAATGACTACCTCGAAATATTGCAGGTAGGCCAAGATTCTAAATGAGGAGTCAGATGACCACGAGTGGCCGAAACATTGGGCGTCAATAGAGACACAAACCAAGGCTCCCTATGCGTTTATTTTCGTGAAGTATCGTTGATATCTCGGCGGCATGATTGTTACGTAATTATCATACAATAAAGGATTGTCTACTACATTTGTTCCGGCAACTTCTCATGCCAGAGCTGGTGCTGAGCAGCACCTACCAAGATGTGATACAGCATGTTGACTTGCGAGAGCTCCAAGAACGTTTCCTCGAGTTTCTGTGAAGGGAAAGACGACAGCATACCACTTTCTCCCAGAGTTTCGCCTCCTGATACTTCTGACGATTCACCTCTGACTAGCCACAGATTCCCCTCAACGTGTAGTCTAGAACGAAAGAAGTTCTACATCTTGTCACCAATAGGCGTACCAGAATTCATTATCCAAAGAAGTATCATGTAAATAATGTCAAATATTTTTGATAAACCCTAACAATGTCCATCCCTTGATCTGCACAAGTCACCTTGAGACTACATTGAGGCAGAAGGATGCTGGAGGCGCAACAGATATTCGAGTATCCTCTGATCGAGGAGTGCGTTGTCTATACTCTAGGAAATCTACAATCATCCAGCAGAGCAAGACAATCACGCGTTATAATAAACCTAGAGCCCGACGAAGACGGTACTCCGCGTAGTCTTCAATGGAGATATTGCTCCATGAGCGTCATAATATTACGTGGCTAAGTATCCGTGCCACTTTGACGTAGCATCAACTGCAAGATACAACAAAGCCAACTATCCCTCTCGACGCACAGATAATCCCGAGAATGAAAGTTGATAGTTGTTTCTGAAAATCAGGTAATCAGTTCGTACAGATAAGATCCTGAACTGGTCTGCGCCTCTTGGTTCTGAATTGTATAGAGTCCTTGGCATGGCCGTGAATGAATTAAAGTTCTACACAGAGCCTCTAGACATGTGTAAACTCCTGTCAAAATCCCAAGGCGTGGCCGGCCTAGAACGGTCTAGGATTCCCTTCCACCCAATGATTTCGTGCTAGTCAGGAATTGCTGACGACGACACCGACGACGACAAGCGAAGCTGGAGCAACGCACATTTGATATTGGACCTCTCGAGCTCCTATAGTCCACTATTTGCATAATGATCAAGAATTTAAGGTGGAAAACAAAGGAGATATCCAGTTCTGATACAACTCTCTTATTTATGAAATCTTCCTTTGACTCTATTGCTTGTAGTAACTGGATGAACATACCCCGCTTGTTCGAACACGATTAATACTTTTTCGATTGGTGTGCGGCTACAATCTTAGGATTCGATAGGAGGGACAATTGAGCTAGAAGACATTGCCTCGTATACCATTCGGCGCAGAATTTTCTTGTTAAATCATGACGAAACATGCAAAGTGGACCAACACTGATGATGGAGTCGTATAGTCGTCGAGAGATATTGGCTACTAAACCAGGCGCAGCAATACCACTTATAGAGTGGGCCGGCCCATCGTCATCCACCCATTCACGATACTACCCAGATATCGCTTGTGAGTGAGGGAACAGGGATTACATAAGTTGCAACTTCTGAGGCGAAGAATACAAAGAAGGGATGTCCCAGAAAACATGTAACATGCAATTCATCGGACTTTGATATTACTCATCAGGGTCCTAGGGTTCTTGTTCTGACAATCGGGG